TAAGTTTTATTCCTGTTATCAGACCCATGCCAAAAGCTTACAGCACTGGAAGGTTCGTAAACATTAACACATAATAGGCTTGAAAACATCCCTGTCCGCAAGCAAAGCGTGGGCAGAACAAAATAACATGCGAAAGATTTTATAGAACAGAGGGGGAGGGAGGATAAAAAGCATGGACTTCTGTGCACCTTGGGTTTCTTGCGGACTCCATGATCTAAAAACTGAGAAGCAAAAGCTTCATGTTATATTTCTTGACTGAGTTATATTTCATGTTATATTTCTTCATGTTATATTTCTTGGCATTTTATGCTGCCACTGGTGGAGGATCAAGTGTAAATTGTCCCCCACATAAATCCTTTCCACCTAGATGTCTGCTCAATGGCCCCACCTCCCCAAGATGCCTGGGGAGAAGGGCAAGATGGCATCCTCCTCCTTCCCCTTTAGAAGGAGACCAGTTTGGCACCTGTATCTGGTGTTGGGAGACTGTCCTCCTCCATTGCATTTGAGGGGTGCAGGCTGAATTAAGGGATACAGACTGCTCTATCCCACAAGTCCTCACTCCTGCTGCCTGAGGCAACTGTCTCACTCTGCCCAATGGCCTGGAAAGGGTTACATTAGAAACTTCCCCCATCGTGCTAGTTTTATAAGAACATCCAAACTGCCCATCCTTCACATTCAGTATGAAATGGCAAAGCCTCGGACCACATTGTTTGTCTAAGGAATGTATGCCTCCCAAACCCCCTAAAAACGGAGCTTTTCCCCTCCCCCAAAAAAGCTCAACGACTTTGACCTGAACCCCTAAAAAACAGGGGTAGATCATTGCCAGTTTTTAATTTTGTGAGTAGATCACAGACTCTTGTAAGTTGGCCACCCCTGTCCTATGTTACCCACAAAAGGGCTTATTTTTCCAGTTCCAGCACCTCTCAGGTGGGCACCATTGCCATTCTAAAAGTGTCCAGAACCTCTAGCCTACCTGGCAGCAAGTCAGTAGGTCCAGTCCAGGGTTAAATCCACATGTCCAAAGTCCCGCAGAGATCCTGGCACACCCAAGCTGAAGTCCTTCAACATGGGCCATTGAGCAGACACAGCACCTCAGCTCTGCTTCCCTTTTGCACTTTGCCTGCTGATTGCAGCATCTGGGCTTGACGAGGCAGGTGACCCTCACCTGTTCCAAGCCTACTCCAACTGAGGAATCTCTCACCTGCTGCCAAAGCTAGCGAGACTCACCTGGCCAGCTAGGGAGCTGGGCTGTGGGCCCTTGCCTGCCTCAATGTACTGGAGTGCCCTGTCTGCTGCTCCCTATGCCTCAGAGCCCCTCTGGCTCTTGTGATGGGTCCTGCTGCTCCAGTTCCTGTGCACTGACACCCCCCATCCCCTTATCATCCTCCATCACCCTGTACTTCCTACACCAACCTCTCCTTCCCCATCCCCAGCTTGCTCCAGCATGTCCCAGTCCTGGCTACACCCATGGCTGGGATTCTCTTCCTCCTCCCCATTGTCCTGCCAAGCAACACCCTCTGGGAACGACCAAATAGGACTGGAACCACCCTCCAATTCCCCAAGCAACACCCTCTGGGAACGACCAAATAGGACTGGAACCACCGCAAAGGGGTGCCACCCACCCCTAGTTTGGACAGTCACTCCAGACGCATATCATGATCAATGGTACAGAGAAGAATTAACAGGGTTGAGAAGAATTAACAGGGACATGTTTCTCTTATCTCTCTCTCAAAACAGGTCATCATACAGGGCGACCAAAGGAGTTTCTGTGCCAACACCGGACCTAAACCCGGATTGAAATGGATCCAGAAAATCAGTTTCTTCCAAAAGCACCTGGATCTGGTCTACATAGCCAGCATCTCTGCTTAAAAGGCCCCATATTGCAGGGCTGGAGACTTAGCAGGCCTCCTCCCCATCAGAGTAGATGGTGCTGAGCTTAATGACTGCACACTCTGACTCAGTATAAGGCAGTTTCATGTGAGCATTTGTCCTGCAGTTGCTTCTTGCAGAGTAACTGCAACCACATGTGGTTAGCTGTAAAACTGATGAACTGATAAGGAGGATAGTGGGGAATTTGTAAAATCTGACCCACTTTGTGCCTGGAGCCTCCAGCTGATGACTGGCTCCTCTTACAATACCAGTTGCCTCTCAGTGAACTTTTAAGTGGTCAGCATGGGACGAGCTGTCGCCAGGATTGAGCAATTGAGACACAATGCTAAAAAAATTGCCCCAGACATAAGAGATGTTAACATAGAATGCTTCAAGTTAAAAACTGTGCTCCAGAGCCAGATATTCAGTTGGTGGGGGGAATACTGAGAGGCAAATGAGCTTCTGGGGTAGAGTTCTGCCTCACACATGCAAACTATTAAGAGAAACTCATCTGCTCCTACAGTAGCTGCCAAATTCCAGTTGCACCTCTATGTACCATCAACCTAAGATACCAGAATATAGGAAGTGAGCAGCACATAACGACAGCATGAGCAAAACCAGGAAATTCAGTGGTGTGGTAGCCACAGCTTGAAGGCTGGTTCTAAATTAGGGGTCCTGCTATGATCTAGGAGTTCAGGACACAGGCTGGGCACTTGTTGTTCTAGCTCCATAGTTTAAAGTGTCAGGCAGCACGATGCTTGGATAATTGGTAGTAGCCAGTCTTCTGTCCACTCCTGCTATGTTAACACACAGCTCCTAAGCCAGTATAGGCTCAGAAGTGTCAGAGAAATTAGGACACCAAGCATGCACACATGGAAACTAGCCCTAAATCTGGAATTGGCATGCAGCACACACTAACTTGGAGAATCACGGAAACATCTGTCTCCATCAAACACCCTCCAGAGAGCAAGCCTCTTGGTTCCAACCTAGCTTACCGTGCATCTGTGACATCAGAGCAGCTAAGCCAATGGCAACAAGCGGGACTTTGAAATCTCTCTGCTGATTCATCACTATCATCAGTCACTCTTAGATGACTCTGTTACCCCACTGGCCTTTTCAAATAGCACCAGAAACATGACCCTTTTTTTAAAATGGAAGAACATAAATGTAGGCCACTGACTGGCAGTCCCTTCGCTAGTAATTAATGCCAGCTGTGCCACAGGAGAAGAGGTCCATGCTACATAATTGCCTGCTACCACTTCTGAAGCACCAGCGCCTTTGCCAAATGCCAGGCATGTCATGTGGGCCCCTAATACTCCGCTGGCCAAGGCACATAGAAACATGGAGCCGGGATTGGTTATACAGAAATCTCATGCATTTCATGATATAGATGTGTGGGACTGCAATCCAATTTGGAGTTCAGTGAACTCTTAGGTTTGGGAAGGAAATTGCTATTAATGAGTTGCAGCAAAGACATAGGCTCGAGGCCAGTGCAAGGAAAAATCACTTTAATGGGCAGAGCAGATGTTGCTTAAACTCATTGCAAAAGTTAGGCAGGCTAAGAGCCAAGAACTGCTTGGAGAAAACAGAGAAGCCTGCTTTGTTTTGTTTTTGTTTTTTAAAAAAGTAGTACTTTGTACAAGGAGTCCTTTGATGTGAAGCATGATCAGATAGGATGACTAGAAAGGATGGAAGGCTCGGCTCTCCAATGTCAGTGGACATACTGCAAAAAGTTGTAGTGCAAGCACAACAATGCCAACTTGGTTGGTGTGCCTAGAAGGAGGACCTCCTGTGCATTCATCATCCATCTAACGCAGAGGTGAGGAACATGTAGCCCTCCTGTTATTGTTAGACTGCAGCTCTCCTTATCCCTAAGCATCACTGGTCCCGGCGGCTGGACCTGATCGGCAATGGAGTGTAACACTATTTGGAGGGCCACATGTTCCCTATCTCTGCTCCAGCACAAGTCTATACATTACTAGCCATTGCTATGGCACTCTTTACACTCCCATCCTAAAGAGGTTATTTGGAAGATCTTAGTCATTTCCATGGGATTTAATTTCAAACAATATACTTTCAACATGTGAAAATTTGTCCATACAATAATCCTGTGGATTGAGGTCATGGTTTTCCCCACATGACTGTTATAAATCCCAGGTTTGCCCAGAGGGTCTATGGGTTGGTTCCAAAATGCAGGAAGTCTTAGGGAAGTTCAATGGAACACACAGGGCCATAGCTGGGCTTGAACAGAGGTGTGAACAAGCACCACCCCAGAATTTATTTATATGCACACATCTCAATCCACAAAATTGCTTTTGCTCACATGTATGGCTTCTTCTCTTTGCTTCTTGCAAACTCTCTTTTGGCTTTCTTTCTTTTTTTCTCATCTGGCCCATACTCTCTGGGGGTAATGTGCTGTGTGCTGGTGTGAGTCAGGCCTCACCCAAAAGTAGGTGGGGCCAAAGCCCAAAGGGAGGAGGCCGTTCCCTTTATCTCCATCACCTTATTTCCTCTCCCTCACTCCACCACTTTCCCCTCCATTCTTCTCTCCTCACCACCCACGTAAGCTGATCTGAACACACAGTGTGCAAAGTGTGTTATTATGCTATCCTAACAACTCATTTTACTGCAGCCCACAAGGCCTGAACTCAACATAAGTCATTACCCAAGGGAAGACTCAAAATGTAGTAATAAAAACATGGGTCTAGTTAATTAGAATATTAGACAAAGAACGGTACATATTAAGAGTATGACAAAAACAGAGAAAACTCCATTCCTTTAAGGCAGAATTGCCTTTATTTTTCTCTCCTACTTGGGCAGGGGTGGGGAAATAGTATGTTTCCAAAAAACTTCTGCTGTGACAAACAGCCGGTCAGCTCTTCTGGATTCCATGACAGCAGAACAAAACTCTCTACTTTTTACCACACTACCACAGCCTTGAAAATAATGGCACCACAATTTATCAGACCACGTTACTTGCATGTGTGCAAGTTTCACAGTGTCTTACAAGGTACTTTCCCACAAGGAATCCTTAGCAATTCACTTTCCTAACGAAAACAATATGCATGGCTGCTGTACTCAGTGAAGGATGCCCACAAATGTAACACACACCTCTTGTGTGTCTGTGTTTTCCACTTAACATTTTATTGATTTTGTTAAGAAATGTAAACATAACAAAAAGAAGAAAAACAAAGAATAAAAAATTATTGGAAGGACAAAAGTAGAAAGGTACAGGGCAGCTCCGAAGAAATAGTCTGATTCATAGAAACATTCCCTTTACAAGTAACAAAGTTATGTAAAAATAAAAGTATCCTCCACCTGTGAGTGACATCATTATTGAGAGCAAACGTACCATTAAGTCTTGGACGAGCCAGGTGTTTGAATATTATGGTGACACTGAGAGACCTTGTGCCTCAATATACTTACAAGAAATAAAATCATGCCATAAAGCAAAAAAGGAAAAGGGGATGAAAGGTCATTCGAGTCTGCCCTTTAGATATTTTTAGTTGATGAGGTATATTTCCAAAGAGGGCAACGCACGCCACTTGTGAGCCATTGTGGACACATGCGCCCAGCTAGCTATGGGTCTCCCCCTACCAGATACTCAACATTCCCCCTCACTTCTGTAGGTGCATCAGAAGCTGCCTTATACCAGGTTTGACTGTTTGGTCCATAAACCTACTAACTGATCCTTGTAACTGGAGATGCCAGGGATTGAAGAAGGGACCTTCTGCATACTGTTGTGGGAATGATAAAACTACAGGGCCAGGAGATGAGGTGGTTGGAAAGAGCCACAAATGGAAGATTTGCATCCAGTGTCAAGGTAGCAATCCTACCATATAAGGTTTGAAGTTCCAAACCATGTGACTGAGGTAGAGACATTACTTTTAATACAGGGTTTGCAACATGCAGCAGGCCTTCCATGGCACCCAAAGGGTACCTCCCCCTACTGAAATTGAAAGAAACATTCTGTTGTAGCCAATGAGTGTAGCTTGTGGTGTGTGAAGTATGCCCAAATGTTTCTCCAGTGCACAAATGTGCCCATAGGCCCAGAATGGTTGGCGGACCCTGTAAGCAAACAATGCTGTTCTCAAAACACAAGGGTCAAGAATGGCTTGTCTTCATGTGACTTTTTAACAGACCCAGCCTCAGAAGTGCTTAGAACTGTTTACAGATTTGCTAATCTCAACTAGACAGTCCATTGGTGCTCACTGGAAATCGGTCAGAACTACTCATACTTCATACTTATACTTGGGGTCTTTTTTAAATAAACTTGCATATTTTAGAATAGATGCACAGTGTACAGACAGCTTAACAGAGAAATTTAGTACATTTATAGATGAAGCAAAATCATGATGTCTACCTGTATACTTTATTTTCCTTTATTTACTTGGCTTTTAAATATTTTAATCTTTCTGATCTAATTTCCATGCATTTGTGATTTCTCTCTATGTGTATGTAGGCACATTTGCCCTTGGTACAGATCAATGAGATCTTTAAATATGTTGGCTAGTAAGAGGATATTTCTCAATATCTTAATAATAAAGAATGGTTTTAGAATGACTTAGGAGTGCTGAATCCACTCTAAGCACAACATCAAAGAAGATGGGGGGAAACCCACGCTGACCAATGTCAAGCCAGCACTTCTCTCTCCATTAAAGGCTGGGTAAGGACTCACTTGCATTCCTAAATGACTGTGCCTTTGATCTACTGTGTACTATTTGGTTTTGAGGCATTTGTTTTGTTTATTCATTTGTTTTCATCTTTCCTGGTCAAAAAGGCATTTTCCCACATACCCCAATCTGCCTCCAATAAAAACCTGCCTGCTAGCATTCATTCCAGTCAATTTTTGCTCTTCCCCCTCCCACACCCTTAAATCTAATTTACAGGTCGTAACTCTAATATCTTGTCCGAAATTGCCTGCATACATTGGCTAGGCCCATCTCAAATAACCACTTTCAACTTAAAAAACAAAACAAACAACAGCTAATTTAAAAGTATGGAAAGCTTGCCATATTTGAATCCTCTTGCCAGACAAGCAAGTTCGCAGTACTGAGGAAGCAGAACATTATCTATTCTGAGCAGCGACAAAAATAGGGACAAGGACAAGGAAGATCTTGGGAACAGATGCATTCCATGAAGTGTCTTCAGTGAGTGAGCTGGGATACTAGAGCGGGTTAGGTCAGGGTCACCGCCATTGCCATTTTTCTTGGCTTTTTTATTATTATTTTTTAAAACCCTTATAACTCAAGCGTAAACCCTGCCTGAATCCTAAAATACATCAATATTCTCAAAGGGTTAGTGCCTTTCCTCTCTTGTGAGAAGTAACCCGAAAGAAAATGTGTATGTGGTATTGAAAGGTCTCCTACACAACACACTTGGCCTCAGAGAAATACATTCTGCCACCTGAGGCAAAGGGACAGATGTCACCTTTCCCATTCCACATCTGGACTGGCAGCTGAATTTTCCATTAGCGGTGTTGAAGTGACACCATCCATCATACCTAAGGGAGACACTACCTTACAGGGCACAGGGAAGGCCATGGGGTACATATAGCTTTTGGCATCCCCACCCTCCAGTTTATGGCACTTTACTCTGCCCAATGTTAGGGGCTGGCCCTGTCTCAAAAACCAAATCAGCTATCAACACATGCTATTCAGAAAACTCTCCCTCCTGTCAACATGGGGGGAAATGCAACCTCAATCTTCTTGAAGTGATACAGTCTGAAGAGCAGCACATCTAGTGCAGAACCCAGTGCACTAAGGCCTCCCTCTTTCGGAGATTAAGTGGGGAAGGGGCCTTTTCAGTGATGGCACCCTAACTCTGGAATAGCTTCCTAGGCTTCCTATACCTCTTACTGATTTGTGATTTACTTTGTTGCTGGTGAATCATTTTAGATGCTGTCAAAAAGCTACTCAAATATTTTAAAATAAAAGTCCCTCCACAAACAGAAGTTTATCACTTCTTTTGCATGTTCCTAATTGATAAGAAGAGCTTGTGAAACAATGTAATCATTTGAGAAGTGTAAAATAAAAGCACTTTTCAGTTTCCAAAGCATGTTTAGCCACTCATAAAAAGCACTACCGTCACTCTTTTTGGGGCTGGACTAATGTTGCCAAGCAAGAAACTATTCAAAATTTATTTGAGGCTGCTTTTGCCATGATGTGCCATGATGAGATTTGAGGTTTCTTCTATATTGCCCAGAGTTATACTGCCTTGCTTTTGTACTGGTTGGAAATTACAGCATATGCAAGGTACAAAGTTGCCCAAAAAAACACTATTTGGAGCAAATTGCTAATAGATGTGCACAAAGCTGGGTTAATAAATGTCAAAGCCTCTTAACTCAGCATGGACCGTTTCCCAACCTCCTTAAGGTTGCAACTCCGATAGCAAAAGCAGTGATTTAAAAATAAGGTTAAAGAGTAGGATCTCTTACTAACTAGATGTGATCTTCAAGCGATGCAATTTTCATCATTTTATTATTCTCAGAAATACGATTATGGTCTTTCAGATTACTTTTCTGAATTATCTGCTTATGCGGTGGGGAAAGCATTTACAGCTTTGAAACTCCAAACTATGCCCACAGGGGAGATATGCTAAAATACCTGTAAGCTGGCATTTGTGCATTTGCAGTCAGAGGATTGGAAATGATTGTTCTACAATGCATTATATTGTTCTCTCCAGAGCTTCTCTTCGAAAGAGATTCTTCAGACAGTTTGACTATGTACACATTAGCAGCTTGGACTGCAGCGAGGGCACCCGTTGCATTTCAAGTTGCATTTTTATGCTGATGTTCACACCCGAGTATAGGTGGGGAGGCCTTCACCCAATGCCCATTCCCTGATTTATTTCCCTCACTGAACTCCAATTCAGTGGAATGCTGTGGACATAGTGTATCTTGATTTCAGTAAGGCTTTTTGACAGAGTCCCCCATGGTATTTGTGTGAAGAAGCTGGCAAAATGTGGGCAGGATGAGGTTACTGTTAGGTGGTTTTGTAGCTGGTTCATTGGCCGATGAGTGTTCACAAATGGTTCCTCATCATCCTGGGAAAAAGTGACCAGTGAGGTGCTGTAGGGTTCTGTCCTGGGCCTGTTGTTCAGCGCCTTAATAAACAATTTGGATGAAGGAATTGGGGGAATGCTCATCCAATTGCTAGACGACAGGAAACAGGAGGCGTAGCTAATGCCACAGAATGTGGAATCAGGATTCAATATGACCTTAACAGGTTGGAGAAGTGACCCCCCAACTAACAAAATGAATTCCAATAGGGACAAATGTAAGGTTCTACATTTATACAGGAAGAACCAGCTGCACAAATATAAGACGGGAGAAGCCTGACTTGCTAGTAGTACATGTGTAAAAGATCTAGGGGTCTTAGTAGATCACAAGCTTAACATGAGTCTACAACATGATAGAGCAGCAAAAACACACAAAAACAACCCTAATGCTATTCTTGGCTGCATCAACAGAAGTATAGTGTCCCAATCAAGGGAAGTAATAGTACTGTTCTATTCTGACTTAGTGAGACATCACCTGGAACAGAGTGTGTAATTCTGAGCCCCACAGTTTAAAGATATTGACATGCTGGAACGTGTGCCCAAGAACGTGTGTGGAAACCAAGCCTTATGAGGAACAGTTGAGGAAGTTTGGTATGTTTAGCCTGGATAAGAGGAGGCTGAAAGGAGATATGATAGCCATCTTCAAATTTCTAAAGGGCTGTCACATGGAAGATGGAGCAAGCTTGTTTTCTCCTGCTTTGAAGGGTAGGACTCAATCCAATGGCTTCAAGTTACAAGAAAGCAGATTCTGACTAAGCACCAGGAAGAACTTTCTGACAAGAAGAGCTGTTTGACAGTGGAACAGACTCCCTCAGAAGGTGGTGGACTCTCCTTCATTGGAGGTTTTTAAGCAGAGGTTGGAAGGCCCCCATATTAAATATTTTGCAACTTATGAGAGGAATTTAAGTTAATTTCATGCAGCTTTGTTCAACCCTTTTAATGCTGGGGTCAAATCCAAGAGCTAGGCGATCGAAAGTATGTAAACTGAATCAGACTGAATTTATGGACCTTGGAGTGGACAGTTCTTTCGCTCAAGAGATACACCCAAATATCTGTCAAATATGGTGAACCTCTAAAATGAATAACGAAAGCTGATTGTACTAACTATCCCATCCAACAACAATAATTATCAGGAGTAAAGGAACAGTATATGAATAAAGCAAAACTACACAGACAAGAAAAGCATCCAACATGCTTTCTGCCAAAGCTGATGGTAGGATGCCTAAGTTTTTCTTTGCCTCTGGCCTGAGAAGAGCTGAATGGGATATAAAAGAACAGGGGGGGAAAGCAGCTTATATAATCCTTAAGAGGCAAGATGGCCTCCTCCATATGCAACTGAATGCATTAACTCAGGTTGATCATTTACCAAAGTGGTGGGGAACTTCAGGCCCAGAAGCATGTCTGTCTGGACTTTTTCCAGGCCATGCCTTCTATCCCTAGACTTTGCCCCTCATGGTCCTACTCTGTACCTTCAAGTGCTTTTTTTCTGGTTGGAATGTGTCCTTGAACTGTGGCAATGCCCCTTGCTTGCCTGGCTGAAAGATGCTGAGGTATGTGTGGGATTTCACTGTATAAAGGTAAGACTCCTACCTAAAGAAAGGAATTTTTAAGATGAGACAGAAGGGATTCTATAGTAAAATAATGCTATCTGTAAAACAATAATGGCATTAGAACTCACTCACTACATCTTATCTAACTCAACATCTCTCATTAGGTCTGATGGAACATTCCCAACGTCAGTAAATTATGAAGTTTACTCAAGACAGAGGAAGGACTGCAGCATTTGCTAAAATTGTGGTTGACAGAAGAAACTACCTTAGTTGCAGAGAGGGGAGGGGAAGCAGACCTAACATAAGAGCCAAGCTCATGCAGCAGCAGTGCAGGAGAGACCCACCAATTATGCAGGACTGTTGGCTGCAGTGGACTGCTTTGCTGATGTGTTCCTGCAGTGAACATGCCAGCATACCAGCATCCAGCAGGATTGAACCATTATGCTCTCTACGGTTCATCAGGAGGTGGGGAAACAAGCTGCAGTGTCATTGTCCCCCAATCCCTAATGAAACATTAGCCCCATTCCCAAACTGATCTGGACCTGGGCTTTATTATTATTATTACTTTGCTAATTTTTATTAAAGCTTTTTTTTTGATACAGCAAAATAAAAAAGGGGGGGAGAAAAAAGGAGAAAAGAAAAGGGACTTCTGATTCTACATCTGTCAGTTACATTAAAAAAATTATTCAAAACATTTGCTCCATGACAACATCCAACTATTGCACGTTCCATAAAAAAGTATTTTCCCAATCTTCAAACCCAAATATTGCACAAAAAGGGCCCCCAATTAATAATACTGATATGTCCCTCTAATAGTTTCTAATTAAACATAACAATTTTGCCACCAACCATTTCAGCAACCATGCCTCTATGTTAAATTATGATAAATCTTTCCCGCTCTGTGCTGATAAGTCTCTCTGCTGTGAACATATCAAGACAATATTCCATATCCATTGGGCCACACTCAGTTCTGTATCGTCAATTTCCACTTCCTGTTGTATTTACCATGTTTTTCCAGCCTTCTCTTTTCAGGTTCCATATGCATTTCTTCCATTCTTTTTCCAAAAAGAATACCAGGGATTTAATAGCTCTATCCCCTGGGATCACTCCCAAGTCGTAGGTAAAACTCTTCCTCCCTCAATTCCATAGATGTCAGGTTATCAAAATATCTCTCCATTTTTAACTTCATTTTTCTTTTCCAGAATCTCAGCTTTATCATTTAGTTTCTTCATTTCTCCATACATTTGTATAGTGGGTTCTTCCACCTGATCAGTTGCTCCTTCTAGCTTTGCCAGTTTCATCCCTCAGTCCTACCTGTTCTTTATCATCTAGAGCATCTATAACATTTCTGATCCCTTTTTCCATTTCATTCATCTCCGGTTTAGTTTCATTGCTCATTTCATTGACTGTTCCTTCTAATCTTGTCAAATTTTTATCTATTTCCCCCCTCTAAAACCTCCGTTTTTGCATTAAGAGACTTTGTTTGCTCTGTCGGCATCTGCTTAAGAATATCCACAGTAAGAAGGGACCCTGAAGATCTCCTTTCTTCCACCGTTTTTCCTTCTGCCTCCTTTTTTCCTTTTCATTCTTGTGATACTCTGAATTTTAATGCTTTCCCTGCATTTTTATATACCCCATATTTTCCCGTGTATAATACACCCCCATGTATAAGATGCCCCCTACTTTGGGGGACCCCAAATTTAGAAAATGGGCATATGCACTATCCGTGTATAAGACGTCCCCAGATTTTTAACCTTATTTTAAAGTAAAAAAACCCTAGTCTTATACACGGAAAAGTACGGTATAGTACTTCTGTCTCTAAACAGCTTCCATCACTACAATTTCACAGCTTGCACCTGCCTCGTTTTGAAAGAAGCATATTCCATTCCCAGGAATAGTGTCAGCTGGCAAAGTAACTTTCAATTTCCTAAACACATATTTGCCAAAATAATAATAAAGAATAATCCACTTCAAGCTGCATAGATTCCCCTTGTCAGGTTAAAACTTTGTCATTCCACACCATAAATCCAGCTTTTCGTCACTTTTACTTGACGCTATAAGCAGTAGCTTTTTCCTTCTCCTTTATTCCAGAAAGCAGTTAACCTACCAATTTTCACTGGCAGACGCAGAAACACTTCCGAGTTGTAAATTATCTTGTTCCGAAGATAATTAAGAAAGGGACGTGTTTGCGTGGCCATTCACACACACAAAAAGTTGTGTTGATAACACAGACATCTTCACACTGGCAAGTCAGCTAACCCATGTCATGTGATTTGTGTTTTTTAAAAAGAATCCACTGTGACAATGCAATCCACAAATGACAGCACTGAACCTCTTGATGAATTGTAATTCTGGAGTTTCACACTGAAGTCTCCACTTGAGGTTCCTTTGCTCCAGAACAGTCCCCTTAAGATCAATTACAAACCATGGCTTAGTATGAGCGAGGAGGCTCCTATAGAGGAGATTATAGCCACCTTGCTCAACCTTGGTTATTTTGCTTCTGCCCTGCATTGAGCCAAGTCATGGATTGGCATAACCTGGACTTGTGATTTTCTGAAGTGAAAACTGACAAATGTGTGTCTGGCTATCATCAAAGGCTACACTATGTCCATCAATAAGAAGCCGATGAGAAACCTTCAGTCTGCCATGATCCCTCCCCTCTGAAACACCCCGGACCTGGGCTTTGTGTATAGCCCAGAAATCAACAAATTAAACAATCCATTAATAAATCTTGGAGGCTGTTGTGTTGTTTTGGTTTCTTATCATTCCCAAGCAACACTGGGTTAACTACCAGTTAATTTCATATATTTTGCATACCGGTATTTTATACTTGAAAAGTCTGTAATTTTATCGGGGCAAGTTATTTGTTTACTGTTGCAACAATTGTTTTCTCAAAATGTACTTCCTGTACCATGAAAACCACATAAAAACATTTTTTAAAAGTATGCAAGAACTTCAGATAAACGTGTCATCAATGTAGCCCTTTTCACACATTATGTGCATGCAGAAGGAAAACCATGGTGGAAATGGCAAAGGTTTTAGCCCAGACACCCAGAATTGTGTTCCTCCTCCTGCTCCCATCACCGTGCTAAGCATACTTTCTGCAGCAGAGTATCTTTTCTGATGGAGGCTCCTTACAGGGTTTAGAACCTTGATAGAACATTCTGCAGTTGTTAATTTTTCTTACATTTATATCCCACTTCTTCTGTCATGAAATTCAAACCAAATGCGGCTTCCAGGCAGCCACCCATCCAAACTAAGGCCTGCTTTGCTTTAGAGGAAGGTAGGCTCATGCACTTTCAGACCATACTCTGGGAATTACATTCATCACAGTGGAAGTGGAAGCAGGAGAGGTGTGACTTTAAAGGTGGAACTTACAGAGTGTCTGAAAAGGAGAGCTGTGTCCTCATTCAATTTAGAATGTATGTTTCCATATGATGAAAGGGGAAATCAGGTAATATATAATGAGCAATACATGGGTCTTTTTTCTCTCTTCTTCAAGTGTTACTATCAAAAGCTTCACTACTTGTAGGAAAGAACTGAAAGGTTAGGGATTTTTAAACCAACAGATAAGCAAGCACTCCAACATGATTTTGGGACTATGCATCACAAAATGGAGAAAATCTGAAATGTAAGTGTATCGTAAGGCTCAACTTTTCAGTTTTCATTTCATGTAAACATGGAACGGTTACAGTACAAGGCTGCTCTGAGCCTCCATTAACACTATTCTGTGGTTTTAGACATACATTCGTATTATTCTGAAAGTATTGTACAAAGGTCTAGGACAATTAGGAGCAATCTTTGCCCCATACAGCTTTTCACAACTTAAGGTATTAAATGAACACTAACATGGCAACGCTAGAAATTAGACAATCTTGCCTAATTTAACAAAAGCATATAGTTTTCTTTCTTCACGCTTTATAAAAAATGGTAAAGCAATATATAGTGTCCACTTTAAGATCTGAATAGGCTATCTTTTGAGCACATTAAATACAAAGAACTAACAACAAAAACCCTTCTGGACCAATGGGAAAAAATTGATTGTTCAGTAGCAGTCACCTCTGAAACAATGCATCAAAGCATTTGATTTCTTACATAGGAACAGGTTGATATAAATACTTGTTTCTGGTGGTAATATTTTTAAACTACAAAATTAACCCATCCCGGATGTTCAAGTTTCATTTACGTATTCATGCTGACAGTTTACCATGAAAATAGCTAGGTGTGCAAATTGTCCTGTGCTAGATGTATATTAGAATGAACAGGAATAGTTTAATTGCTCTAGATCTGCACAGATATAAAGGAGCTGCCAAATAACCATTTTAGACCAATGGCCTATTTAGCAGAGCACTGTCTTTCTTAGCTCTAAGGTCTCAAACAGGTTTTTCTCGTCCTTGCAACTACAGTACTAAAAACAGCCATTGAGGATATGCTCTGTATTAACCTAGAACTTTATTATGTAATGCTTGAGATTTACCCCACTAAGCTATGCCCTCTTTCATGCACCAGAAAAAAGAAGTTCACCATACTGAAGTTATTACAGAAGATTCAAAAATACAAAACCAAATTATGTAGTCATATTCATATTCCTACACTAGTCTATTCACAAATTGTCAAAAACCCACCAATTTTTCCTCCCAATGAAATTTGGGTATAGAGACGTGTTCGTCTCTATTAAGCAATCACCGGGCTTTTAATCACATGTGCTTTTCATTATTTTACTGAAATATAAGTGATTTTATTCCATGTGCTTCCATATAATAATACACCCAACACAGTGACAAGAATGAGACTTTAATCAGTTTTAAGTGGAGTTTTAACACTACGATAAAGGGCTGTTAAACACAATAACAAACGGACATCTGATTTGTATGAGACATTATCCTGTACATGTCATTTTCTTGTTTTGTGTATCCTCGGTGCATAGCATTACACACAGAGCCACTGTTGCACAGCACAATAGTATCTGAAGAGGCTGAATCAGAATAAGGCTGCTTAACAGACTTTTTTTCTTAGTGTATATATATATGTATATATATATAATATTCTATATGAAAACAGACTGAGAATTTTGAACTGGCGGAGTAAAGAGGCAGCTCTACCAAACATTGCAGTTAAAGCCTCCTTTTAGTGCACAGTTCCACCCCTTCCATCTGCATGCATGACACATTTTAACAGTATTTTAAAAAGGTAAACGAGGCACTTTGTGGCAACCACAGGCATCGTTAACATATTGCACGTTTGCTAGAATTTTAAACATGGAACTGCACACTGGCACCCCAAACTCTTTTTCCTTAAAGCTGAAAACAACTGATGCTGCATGTAAACATCCCTTCAGTTTACAATTTGTGCCACAGCATATAACCTTGGTGCTATTTTATACAACTGCCCTTTAACTACTGTGACAAACTATTTTAAATGGGGCTACAGATGATGAGGGATGGCACAGGGCCTAAGAGTAAGCTCCTGTCAAAGTGATGCCTTCAAGTAATTTCAGACATGTAAGCTGCTGCACATCCAAGAATTTAAGCACACAGTCCAGAAACTCAAGAAATTACCTACAAGAATGCATTTTCAAGCTAAATGATGAATACTGTCATAAATAAAGTTTTAATTAGGACTCAAACCTTTCAGTCATAGTAATTCTTGCCATGTTCTATGGGGATGGTAGCTGAAATAAAGTATAGGAGAGTATGCATAATATATATTATATATATAATATATATATAATACCATTTTCCTTTTCCAATGACTATACCATAAAAACGTAAGCAAGGCTTCTCAGAACCACTGACACATTCAAAATCCAAACCCTCATTCAGACCTTCACATTCCAAAGGAAGAACAGTGCAAAAGGCCACTGAAATATTTCCAATCTGACCCTCCCATGTTACACAGTAGAACTGTACAAGACACCGAACACTGTCAACATCCAAACATTTTAAAGCACAAACTTTTTAGTTGGCTAATGTGGCTTTCAAATTGTCTTAACATAAATCAGGCTCAACGTAAGTTGCAGGAGAAAGTCAACGGTGACACGGTTGTCACCTCTCGCCAATAAGGTCCATCTATGGTATTGTAGAACTGGATCGAATCTGAGGAAATCTGAACATTAGCTTTGAAAAAAGTTTACGTAATAGATGGAAGCTGTGATCCTGTGCAGTTACACGCAAGTTCCACTAAAAATAATATGAAGTTATAGGCACGCAACTACACAGATTAGAAAAGGGAGCAAATTTACCAATGAATGTTGAAGCAGCATGCTGCCCCTTTGTTCGGTATTCAGCCTGAGTTCTGCCTTGACTAGTTACCATATATACCCTTGTTATCAATGCTAACGGACTAGGAAAAATGGATTATTCCAAATTCTTTTACTCAAATGGGACAATAATAAACAAGTTTAACTCCAATAAACCAATGGGATTTTACACCATGAAATTCGAAATAGCAGTTCCAAATGTTTGAAAGACAAGGATTTTTTTTATTTTCTTTTTTTAGAAAAAATATTACTTCAACATTTATCATCCACAGCTGGGGGCATGGCAACTATAACACACAAACAACTGTGTAAGCCCATTTCTGGTAGACAGCCTCCACATTTGTATGGTTAAGTCATTGTTACGGTGTCTCACATGTAACCAAATTTTCATATCCCTTCATTTGTAGATCTTTTAAGATGCTGTAGAAGGTTCATTCCTGTACCCCTAATACAGAACCACTCCCTCTAGCTGCCTTTTCTAGCACCATTATGCTTTAAAAAAAATAAAATGCACAAACAAGCAGTGACAGCGGCGATTCCTCAAATGTCCAGGATTTATTACTGTAGCATGCTAAAGAGGTGCATGTAAGTAAGCTGGAAATGGTACACAGTCCAGGGTCCAGCACAAAACAATCCTTTCTGAGCTTCTCTTTCCACTCTCCTACCCATATTACATGCATTTGAATGTAGTAAAACCCGTTACTTCTCCAAGCCAACTGCAGACTTATCTGTTGCCACATAAGTGCAAAGAAAGGGGCAGGATGTGAACCTGTGTATTAGAAAGAGCTTTACAGCCACTTCAATTGGTGACAGAACACAAAAGGAAAATTCCCTACGTATACACATCAGATCTGTCTCCACTTTTATAAAACTGGAATCAAATGGGAAAGTGCCATCTTTGTGTTTTCCTAATTGAAGTTTAAATGTTCTCTTGACACGAAAAGGTATATACACAACATAGCTACGTAACCTTTTTTTTCAACTGGACAAGAAGTGTCAAGCCCAGAGACTTCATAGGGCAAAATGAGATTGGTCAGGAAAAGAACTGTTCCTACAACTGATAATTGTGACACAATGTCCTATTGCCATTTCAAAAGGTCCATAATTCAGTTTATTCAAGTTTTCTTCTTTGTGGTATTTTTTCCCAAATAAAAAAAATATTCAGACTTTTGTAATTTGCGTATGCTGATCTTCGTCAAAAGGTTCATTCTCTGGATCAGAGTCAGTGGTGTCAGAATACCTATAATGATCAGGTTCATTATCACTAACATCCGGTGTTACTGAAGTTGAGCTGCTAGCCTCTGGGTTTGATGGCTCTTCTACTGTTTTTGTGAAAAATAGCTTCACCTAGAAAAAAAGACAAAAGATATCAGTCCATATTTGCTTGGAAAAGAAGGAATAGGTTGCTCCCTGCATCTGTAGTTCTTTGTGTGGTCATCTGTGCACAGCACTGTTATGAACGAGAAAAGTGAATGCAGAATATTATCACAACCTAGGCATTAACACTAGACAGAAACCCAAATAGCAAGTACTTTATGTGATTAACTGGGGATCTTTAAGGCAGCACCAGTAATTTCAAGGCTTATTAGTATCTTACATTTTTCATTTCTTCTAGAGTGACTGATTCAATCTTCTATTAATATGGCAAAGCCCCATATTTTTAGCTTCTTCGTAGTTATTCTAACAGTTATTCTACTCAGGATCTGGTCACTAACTACTCTATCAAAAGATTTTAGCAAGATCCCGGAAACCTTAAGAAAAGCCTAACAAAGTACCGTATTTTTCGCTCTATAAGACGCACCAGACCACAAGACGCACCTAGTTTTTGGAGGAGGAAAACAAGAAAAAAAATATTCTGAATCTCAGAAGCCAGAACAGCAAGAGGGATTGCTACGCAGTGAAAGCAGCAATCCCTCTTGCTGTTCTGGCTTCTGGGATAGCTGCGCAGCCTGCATTCACTTCATAAGACGCACACACATTTCCCCTTACTTTTTGGGAGGGAAAAAGTGAGTCTTATAGAGCAAAAAATACGGTACTTATTAAATGTGTGCTTCTGAAATAGAACTGTAAAAGGAAGCTATTTTTCCCCCTCACATACTATAGTCCAAACATCAATTAACAGAATTCAGCTTGGGTTCTGCCAAAATCAGCTCTTGCTGTATTTGTATGCAGGTACGGAGAACACAAATGAAAGAGGAAAACAAATCAGTGTAATAGTAGTTTTAACATACAAATAAAACAGTTTAACACAAAATTCTCTCAAATTTGAACATCTTCCTGTTATTGATATTCAGAGGTAATGCTCTAGTAACTCCCAGTTAGATTACTATAATATGCTTTACATAGGGGTGCCCTGGAAGATGACCCGGAAGCAGTGCAGTCCGCTGGAAATCTTATGATACTGATTCTGAAGCTGCCACTCTCATTTTATATTTATTGGGCAGGTGGATGTTATTTTTAAGTTGTGTTTTTGTACCATATCCTGGGATCACTTGTGATGAAGAGTGGGCTAAAAGTATTTTAAATAAATAAATTCATTGCTGGGTTGTTACACATTTACCCTTAAGGTATACAGTGGAACCTTGGGGTGTGTACCGTCTTCCTTACGAACGCTTCGGGTAACGAGCTCCGCTCACCCAGAATTAGATGCTCCTGGTTGTGAACTTTGCCCCAAGATGTGAGCGGAAGTCGTGCGGCAGCAGCAGAAAACCCCATTAGCGAAAGCGCGCCTCATGTTAAGAACGGTTTCAGGTTAAGAACGGACCTCCGCAACAAATTAAGTTCATAACCAGAGGTACCACTGTACAATAAGACCCCGGATTTACTATGCATGGCATACTTTCAATCTCTCTGAGTACACTTCAAGTTTCTTTGATGCCTTTGAATATACCTACCTTAAAGTTTGGAGAAAAGTAACGATTTGCCTTGTCTTTATTTGCCTTGTCCAAATCATTTTTTGTTAGTGTAAGTATTAGATATTCCTTATCGTTATCTGAACGCTCTGTACTGAAAATCCCATCAAGTTCCTGATCTCCAAGAAGACTTCCGTTTTCTACTTTGTCAGAATTTTCTTCTGGTCCTGGTATGAAGAATGTATTTACCCAGAAATGAAACATTTTGTCCTAGAGACAAAAAGAAAAAACTTGTTTTAACATAACATAAACATGGCACAATATGAATATATTCTATTGAAATTTGGCTACACGAATACATACACAGATACACAAGAAGTTTTATGGTGGGGAGAGTTTTCCCCCATCTTCATTTCTGCACTGACACATATACCTCCACTGCCCTCCTTTCTGGTAGAGCTGCCCCAATGCCTAGCATGATTATTCATTAAAATTTTGTTGAGTGCTTAATTTCAAAATCTTTTCTCCTCTTTTTTACCGCTTGAAAATTGACTGCAATAGTAAGTAGCTTTCTAACTGGCACAAAGACCAGATGATCAGTGCTGCGTATAAGGCCGTCTCTGAGAAGAGGGCAGATGACACAATGGATATGAAAAATTGGGGAGGTTACCCCTAATTCCAGTCTTGGGGAGAAGGCTGTATGTGTTAGAATTCGCTGCATGCTCTTCCCACTCTGAATTTATGTATACCTGTATACACAGCTGTTACATCCTGAAATCTGGTCAGCCAAAATCATGAGATGAAACATGTGAATTAGGAGCATGCTGTCCCCCTAACTGTAACTACCATGGCAAGAATTTTAACACATCCCCACCCCACCCCAACTCTTTATAGGCCTGGGGAACTGAACTTTTTCTTCCTCTTCTCTCCCACTTCCTTAAAAATTGAGAAGTGGCTTCACATATTTCAGGAGTAATTATAAGTTGAACTTGTGATGATTGCATTGAGGTTGTGATGAGGTCACATCATCCTCAGCTTCCCTCATTTTTCCAGCAGAAGGTAAGCTGTATATCCACTTTATACAAGTGCTGGTACATAGTTTACTGGTACAGCATGACACCAGTGTCACTGGAGGAGCAGGAAGAGATAGATCTTCCTTTGCTACTGCTGCAGCAGCCACCACCGTCAAGTGAATGGATAGGTGCAGAAAAAGGTATGGATGGCGGTTGGAAGGGAAGGAGGAAGATTTGAGTTCTTCTCTCACTCATATTCAACCATGAGCTAAAAAAGAATGCAGTGACTGTAATGATCATCCTCTTATTAAAAAGCGAGCACTATAAACCAGGGTTCATAATCCAGGCCTGGAGGTTACAAGATGTGGCAGCATCAGATACAATTCATTAGAGGCCTTTCCAACAATTAAGGATCACGTCAACTAAGTACCACCACTCTGTACAAGTACAATTAAAACAGGCCTAGTACAAAACAAAACATTCACAACCTCTGATATGTGTGTCTACTGATGTTAAACATCCATGAAAGTCTGTACGGTAGATTAGACACTGCTAGTGGTAGCTGCAATTGGTAAGAAACGAAAGTACCCATTAACCGAGGAATAAAATTAATGGATACTGAAATTATCCATTGCTACAGTCAAATTCCCTTCAAGAAATGTTTTCCATGATATACTTCCTATAAGAAACTGTTCGTTTTCTCACATGTATATTCTGCCTTTTAAGTTGAAAAAGGAGACAACCTGCTTTTCATCAGTGCAAGGAAAGCATAACAAGTTGCCATATTAAAGAAACATTGTTTCTATAAGGAGTAACTTTGCTGTTACAGTAATGTTAAAGAAGATAAAGAACAAGATGTTGCCTTACACTCCACTAGAAAGCTATTGCCATCCCGTCCCTCCAAAAAAGTTTGTGCTGTTTGTTTTAGTCAGATGTTTCATAGTTCTATACTGAAAGGATCATAGAAAAACCAGAAATTATTCTACACTTCTATATTTACTTTGCTGGTCTGGGGATTCTATGAAAAGGCTGCTAAAGCGAGCACCTACTCAACCTACAACTGCTCAATAAATTGTGTCTGCAAGATTTAGAAGTCATTTGTACTGCTTTTCTACAGGTGAAACTCAGAAAATTAGAATATTGTGGAAAAATTCATTTATTTCAGTAATTCAACTTAAAAGGTGAAACTAATATATGAGATAGATTCATGACATGCAAAGTGAGATATGTCAAGCCTTTATTTGTTATAATTGTGATGTTTATGGCGTACAGCTGATGAAAACCCCAAATTAACAATCTCAGAAAATTAGAATATTAAATGAAATCAGCAAAACAAGGACTGCAAATAGAGCAATACTGGACCTCTGAGAAGTAGAAGCATGCACATGTACTCAGTACTTGGTTTGGGCCCCTTTTGCATCAATTACTGCCTCAATGTGGCGTGGCATGGATGCTATCAGCCTGTGGCACTGCTGAGGTGTTATGGAAGACCAGGAAGCTTCAATAGCAGCCTTCAGCTCTTCTGCATTGCTCGGTCTCATGTCTCTCATCTTTCTCTTGGCAATGCCCCATAGATTTTCTATGGGGTTCAGGTCAGGCGAGTTTGCTGGCCAATCAAGCACAGTAATCCCATGGGCATTGAACCAGGTTTTGCTACTTTTGGCAGTGTGGGCAGGTGACAAAGTCCTGCTGGGAAATGAAATCAGCATCCCCATAAAGCTCGTCTGCGGAAGGAACCACGAAGTGCTCCAAAATCTCCTGGTAGACGGCTACGTTGACCCTGGACTTAATGAAGCACAGTGGACCAACACCAGCAGATGACATGGCTCCCTAAATCTCTTTTCTGATGAGAGCAGCTTTTGCATCTCATTTGGAAACCAAGGACCCAGAGTCTGGAGGAAGAATGGGGAGGCACACAATGCCAGATGCTTGAGGTCCAATGTGAAGTTTTCACAGTCTGTGTTGATTTGGGGAGCCATGTCATCAGCTGGTGTTGGTCCACTGTGCTTCATTAAGTCCAGGCTGATTTCATTTAATATTCTAATTTTCTGAGATTGTTAATTTGGGGTTTTCATCAGCTGTATGCCATAAACATCACAATTATAACAAATAAAGGCTTGACATATCTCGCTTTGTATGTCATGAATCTATCCCATATATTAGTTTCACCTTTTAAGTTGAATTACTGAAATAAATGAACTTTTCCACAATATTCTCATTTTCCGAGTTTCACCTGTATATATACAAGGTAGTCATGTACGCAAGAGGGCAGATTACATTCCAAGTAGTTATGTGTATTAAGACACCATTGTGATAGTCAGGATCATAACCTTCTAATGTCTTAAATGCACACTCATCTGTGCTTTCAGGGCATAAAGCCAGGCAAGTCCACAAATCTCTAAAGGCAGACCAACATAACTAGATTCCAGAATTATTTAGGAATTACTGATTTGGATAACTGTTGATGATCTGGGTGAAAGATGTTGGCTGCAACTATATCTCATTATTACAGTGGCAGAGGACACTCTGGTATATAGGATACAAGAGGTTGCTAAAAATAGGAATGAAACTTACTAGAAATGCAAATTGTATTCTATTTGTGCTGAAGCCGATTATAGCAACATCTTTTTAAAAAATACTCTCATCGTGCAAAAACCAGCAGCAAAGAAAGCTTCCTTTGCAGGTGGTACGACTGTACCAAAGCACAGTTCAAAAGTGCTCCCAATGACCTAGTGCAACTGGGCTGCTTCCATCCCAGAACACATTCTGTTAATGCAATACATCTGAAGCCAGTTCAACAATAAAAGTTACTTTTGTTCAAAGAAGCTCAATTAGCACAGGCTGAAAAACTGGGTACAGTTGAGCCAACCTTGTCCTACGAAATTATGTTTCAATGTTTTTGCTCATTTCTGTTAAGAAATGCTGACTGGTAGTTAGAAAAACTAACTACCAACCGGTCAGCTTGACATCAATACTAGGAAATGTTGTAGTACAAATAATTAAATGGTCAGTCTGTGAGCACTTAGAAAAGGATGCTGTGATTACTAAGACCCAGCATCAGTTTCTCAAAAACAAGTCATGCCAGACAAATCTCATTATTATTATTATTATTAATAATAATAATAATTATAAAGTTACAAGCTAGGTGGATCAGGGGAACACTGTAGATGTAGTGTATCTTGATTTCAGTAAGACTTTTAACAAAGTCCCTCTTGAGATTACTGCAGAGAAGCTTGTAAAATTGCAATATCTCATGCCAATATCCTGACTACAAAGAACAGCTTTTCTGTGGCAAGGGGAATGGACTGTAGCTGTGGGAAAAGGCTGGGAAACCCCAGTTTACAAGCCCAGTACTACTGGTACCACTTGCAATGTTTGGGCTTCAGCCCTGCAATCTCATTTTTCACAAAAGGTTGCTCAGATGATAACAGCAAAAGAAGATAAGACTGTACCAACATGTTCCCTTTTATGCTAAGATTAGACCTATCTTACCCTAATTCTTTACACATAAGTAGGGCAGACATGTGAGCAGCAGCCTGCCATAATATTCGATTTGACCCTCAGACTTGAAGCACTTGTGGGTCCACTGAAGCATTTAGAAACATTTAACCACCTAATTAGCAAGTTGCCATTCTTTCTGATTTGGGCTCAACAACCACCATTCATGAATATATAAGCTAAAGACTTCAGCAACTGATGGTTTGGAAACTTCAGATGTGGTAGTCCACATCTCTAAGGTAAAGTCATGGAAAACAAAGCAGAAATCAGTCATCTGCACTGACTTCCTATAACATTTGATACAATACTAAGTGGGCAGATGGCATATATACATTGTCCCCTTTCACACAATATCCAGAAGCAATGACAAGAAAAGCATAAATGAGTCATATCTCCTTCCTTATCACTTTGGTAGAATGCCTAAAGCCACCAATAGCAGACTGAACTGCAAGTAATTTGGGGGTTGGGGGGTTGGAATCAATATTTTCTCAGATTAAAACAAACACACCTTTTTCAACATCTTGTTTTGCTTATGGAAGAATTCCACCTTGATATCACCACACACTGGCAATGGCTGAGGGAATTCGAAGTACATGTATTTGTCTTCACGTCTTGGGGGTCCTGAAGAGGAGGTGAATATCTTTACCTTAAGTTGGTAGACCACAAAGTGAGGATCTGCATGATAAAAATAGCCAAGCAGTTTAAAATTAATTTAAAGTCCAGAATTAGAAGGACACTTACTTGAAGCAAGTATTTTTAAAGTGTTTGAGTCATGACTATCAATATGAATGTTGTTATACTACGCAGTCAACCATTTCCAAGTTAAGTCTGTTGTGAACAGTGACATTTTCAATACATACATCAATCTAGCACTGGATTACTTAAGAGCCTTCTATAGAAGAATGTTTATACAGTGAGCCTCAACTAGAACGCAAGTGACTGGCAATTTAATCAGCTGAATTAGCTAGAACACGTCTAGCCAACCAAGGAACAGAACTACTCAACAGAACCACAGATTTAACATAATGGCCTGGTTTGCATAATGGCAAGCAAAGCTATGGCTTACTGGGACCATGTGAAGGCCAAACTAGTTTGTTCACTTCAGACTCATAGCAGCAAAGTATTGTTAAGAATCAGATATGCTTTTCTAAACTGGGAAGAAAGTTTGTTCTATATACTTGATCACATACAAGTTTTAATTAATGTAAACAGTTAATATAATAGAGTTGAAACAAATTAAGCTCTTGTCAAATTGTCAAATTACATGTGTAAAGATACTGAATCTCTTAAAAATTAGGTATTCTTGCTGCCAAGCATCCATGTGGCGAGGGAGCTCATTACTTTTCCCATTCTAACACAGCTTGTGCTTACTGAGGACAGAGTTTAACTATAAGCCATGGGTCAGACGACAGAATAAGCCAATTCCAGGCTTGGTGCAGCAGCAAAAAGGACCAGGGAGTAACAAAACAGCTGCAAGCTTCTCTCTTGAGAACCCATCTTCTCACCTCTAAAGCTACTCACCAATTATGTATATTATCATATGATGTTAAGTTTTTAAAAAACCAGAAAATACAGTAATGAGAATTTATGGCTTGAACTAAAGGCTAGTATGGAAAGGTCTTACCTTGCCTGTCCAAGAATTTGAGCAAAAGCAAAATAAGCTTGCTGACCAAGACAACAATCCTATGCATACATATGTGGGAATAAGCTCTATTCAACTCATTGGTACTTATTTTCGAGCAGCTTAAACATGCATATGATTAGGCTGCGTGCCTCTTACATGGAATGTAGAGTGGGAATTTCATAATTCATTCTGAATTACAAACTAAACTTGAAAGGAGAAGCAACAGAAAAAAAATGTAATGAAGCATTTAGGTGAACAAATGAATACTCCAGCCAATTTCTTAAGCAGGCAGGGAGGGAAGAGAGAAAATGGAATTCAACGTTGTACTAATACGATAGTTCCATCAACACAAGCATTTTTACTTGCCAGACAAATGGCCTCCCCTGTCCTGTTTTAGGTGTCTCCTGACCCTCCAGAGACAATCTGAGGGAGGTGGGGGGCACAGAGGAGGAAAGCCCTATTGTGCTAGTATGAGTCCTTACACTAGCTGCCACTGTGCACCAGGCTAGTTGACTCTGACCCTTCGTCTATAGACATGGCTAACTCTGCCAATATTAAAGTGGTTATGAAATGAGAGCAACAGTGAACAGATGTAAATACAAATTTTAGAAGACAACCTCTCACAGTAAAAATGTTTGAAAAGATACTTACTGCAAGTGCCGCCACTAAACATCGGAATAGTTTCAAACATCATCTTATGAAACAGGAGGGCCACTGGTCTGTAATCCAGATGATTCTTTAACAGGTAGCTATAGTAATATACATAGCGCCTCTGACTGGGAATAGTTACTCCCTAAATAAATAAATAAATATCTATAAGATCAAGAATGCTAATCATGTATGCCATTTTTCACGCTTTGTTACTTGACTTTCATAGATTTCTGAATATGAATCTTATCTCTCAATTAATTCCTATGCTCCTTAATATGTACACTTCAAAGACAGTATGAGAGCACTTAAACATTGGCAAGCCTGTAGCATGTTATAAAATTAAATGTAACCAAAAAGAAAAGAAAACAGCTATCAGTAAATGCTTTCCCATTAAATCTTGGAATGGTTTTCTATATATATTCAATGTTTCTTGAACTTCTTCTTTTATAACAGTTTAATTCCATATTCTGTCACTCACTTCCATGATGCTGCATAAAAGACTGGTTGCCTACAATAGTTAGTTTTTATTATTATTAAAGATTTTCTTGGTTTACGAAAGTACGTGTCTTGTCTCTTTTTACAAGTTGTACAGTCTTTTCTACAGATCATTTACCTTTGTTATGAGATATTAGTGTTGAGAACAGTATAAGGTCAGGAAGAAGAGCGGTGGTGGTGAAATTTATATTTTTTTACAGTTTACGTGCGGGGTTTTGTGTCAGCATCAACTAGATAGGTTATCTTTCTATTCACTTGTTACTTTTCCTTGGTAGTGAGAGACCTTGGAGGCCCAGGGTCTGCGATTAGTTGCAATGGGGTGTGTTTGCATGGGGGGGCGGCTTGCTGGGTCAAGTAAGCCAGGTTGATTTGTATTGCTGTTGGTGGGTTCTTGTTGTCTTGCTGGGCTATGTATGTGATGAAGTGGAGCCATATCGGGGTGAAGGTGCCCTCTTCTATTTGTCCCCGTGTCAGTTCCAGTTTATTGGTTAGCTTTTCTAGCAAGGCTGTTTCCCATATGATTTGGTACCACTGGTCCATGTTCACCCCGACAGGTCTCTCCAGTGTCTGGCTGTGAGGCTTCTGGCTGCTGAGAGTAGGTGGGTTATAAGCTCTGTATAATGTGAGTGGTCATTATGGTCTTGGAAGGTGCCAGTTCTGGGTTGAGTTCTAAAACTGGTTTAGTTATTTGGCATATTTCTTGTAGGACTGCTGTCCAGAAGAGTTGGATTTGGGGGCGTTCCCACCACATGTGGAGGTATGTGCCTGTGGAGCTGCAATCTCTCCAACATTTTGGTGAGGTTCCTGGGCATATCAGTGCCTGTTTCCATAGTGTTAAGTACCACCTGTAGGTGAGTTTCAGGGTGAGTTCCCTTCTTTTGGCTGAGATGAACTAAAAGGGAGATTTAGACCACATTCTAGTCCATTGGGTGGGGTTAATTAAATAGTGGATTATCCAGGTCCTGTCTTCCATTGCAGCAAAGTTACATGCAAAAATACGTAAGTAGTTCATTATAAGAAGTAGAAATATAAGAAGAAACGGTCAGAAGGAGAAATTTCAGCAGGCCCTGTAGTTCTGATATTTTAAATGGTAGCAGGAAGTATCCACAGAAAGCATCAAGATAACACTAATTTATTCTACTAGACTCCACTGATCTTCTGCTTTTCTCTACTTTACCATGTATAAAAATACTAATACTAATACAGAAGATTAAGTTCCAGTTCAGTTGTTCAAAACAGACTACACATCACAACTATCACTAGTCATCATGCTCCTGTTATTGTATGGAAATAAGTACCAGTCCTTAAAACAAATAAAAGTGCAGTCAACTGTTTTAGTCATGGAAATCACAGCTGAGTTGTCATAGTTTATCTGAATATAGGCCTAAATTCATATATATTCCACACAGAGAATAGGATGGAATATTCTGATGAGAGCTGAAAGTTATAGTATAACCACTATCCTTTTCCTTTGCAAACCAATACTGAGAACCGTAAAACTGTTTTCAAAACCAGGACTGTACATTATTTTTCCATTCTGCACTATACTTTGATCTGCATGCACATGAAAGCATCTGCATTGTAAACTATGGAGGCTTTTTCTTCTATAATGAAGTAACTATTTTCCAGAATTTTCTATTCACAGACATGTTCTTTTCCAGTTTCTAAACACACCAGTCATTTTTCAGAAGTTTGGAATATAGCTAAATATATTAATGACCGAACTTTGCAGCACATACAAAATATTTTGGTATACTGAAAACAATTTATTTTAAACAAGGGGTAGTTCTCGTAATCTATGCCATATTTGTTCAATACTGTAAGCCATTTACATGGTACAACTCAAAACAAATGTTGATTCTATTCAGCCCAAAATGAAACAAGGTATTTATTGAGATTAGAAACTAGAAAATCATGTTGTTTGTTTTTATTAAATTTTCTGTTTTACAATTTCAAATACTCATTTTAAATCCTTAAGATATCAGTGACTTCCGTTCTTCTCTTTCCACGGTTCATTTTACATATCTTAAATCCCTGCATATTTTACAAAAACTATACCAATCAGTATTCCATTATTGCATCCTTCAAGACTTATTTACACTGTTGAATTTATCTTAATGCTGCCAGCGTTTTCAGCTGTAAAGAATTATTTTACATATATTCAATAAACGTTTAGAAAATCATTTTGACCTTAACCAGTGCTGAGCATCAATACATTCAGGTATAGTTACGTAAAGTGTTCAGACTCACTCTTGCCAAACTGCATCCAAATGAAACAAAAATCACTGGAAAATTTCTCTCATTAACTTTCACAGTTTGTAACATTTCTATCCTCCAGATTCTTCTTCACATGTAACTGATTTCTTTTTCAAGCTGTAAGTCATTGTTGTTGTCCCCAAACATAAATGCAACACTAAAACTTCAGACAAAAAAAAACCTCAAGCCAGAATGTTGAACCAGGGATATCACCTGTAGAAAACCACTAAATAGCAGTACATTAATGTACTGAAAATGACAACTCAACTCTGATAACACTGACTTAATCATCCACTTCTGAGGGTATATACACAATCCAACTCCAGCAAGGTACCCTCAATTCTGCATTCCAAATGAAGAGAAAAATATTGATACCTGTAACATTCAGAGATTTTCCATTTGTTTTGATGTTCAGCCTACTAAAGCAAGATTAATTCTGAACCTTTTTAGGCGCTTTAAAAAGCAGCTCAATTCTGCAAAAACCTCAAGGCTCCAAGCAAAACACTGTATTTACAATAAATTCCTTATGTCACAATACCAAATACATACATATCCTATTCCCCCCCTCCCCTCCCATGAGCAAGATCAACAGGAAATGTATTGAACTAGCACTACAGAGAACAGGGACCTAAGTGAAAGCATAAAAATGTTACTGGACCCCATGTGAAAAGAAATAGTTGCCAAGTTCAGAGCTACCAGGGGATGGGAAGGTAGAGAGAATTAAAGAGCTTCCAGGTATGCATCCTATTAAGAAAGGTAGCTTGGAGGATTAACCCTGTTATCCTCTGAAATATATTGCAGTGGAGAAGCCCGTATTCTTCATAGGCTGCAATGCTATGGAAGAAGAGAAAGTTAAAGAACTCCAGTTACCTCCTGAAGCCCTTGCTTGCTCAGAGATCATGGGTAATTAAATACGGCTCCTTGGATTTTATAATGCTAGTGCAATTAATGTAAGACTTTGTACAAGAACACTAGCACCATGATGCCTCATATTTTTCAAGGTGAATCTGAATAGGGTTACTGCTTTTCCACCTCTCAGCAGCTCTATAAAGATTGATATACTATGACGATCAAGCACTGCTATTTCACACACCAGACCATGCCCTACCAGCCTAGGTCTCTCAACTTGCTAATGGATAGTAACCATGTCCAACTAATACCGAATTGATACAAGAAGCAACCATGCAAGTTCTATACTCTAAGAACAAAGTACTGCAGCACCCAAACTTCAAAGATGCTTACAACTACCTCTGTACTGATCAGATACAGTACAGGCAGGTCTATCAAGATGCAAAAATGTTGTCTAGAACCAAATAAAGCTGATCAACCAGTAAAGATAATAACAAGTAGAAAGATATTTCAGATATAAGCAATTAGGCATGTTAGTGGCACAAGCAGTTTTGGATGTTAAAATTGAGCTGATATCCCTATGCAGGAACATATGCTAGTTTCCAAACTCTACGGTATTTACAATCAAATGTGTTAAGTTTTGCCATTGCCATAAGAAATAAAGAGGGAGTGAAATTTAAGGGAGGATCTGATTCTATCAATACTGATGGCTAAAACTTTCTGCAAGTTCAAGCACAACAGCATGTTCTTCCCCAGAAACCTTAGAGGAAGAAAAATGTTGTGAGTAACTGTTGCTGGAAATCATGGAATTAGTGGATTAAAAGCAGGTAAGAGTTAACATGGGATGCAGGTGGCACTGTGGGTTAAACCACAGAGGCTACGACTTGCTGATCAGAAGGTCGGCGGTTCAAATCCGTTGCTCGGTCCCTGCTCATCCCAACCTAGCAGTTCGAAAGCACGTCAAAGCGCAAGTAGATAATTAGGTACCACTCTGGCGGGAAGGTAAATGGCGTTTCCGTGCGCTGCTCTGGTTCGCCAGAAGCGGTTTAGTCATGCTGGCCACATGACCCGGAAGCTGTATGCCGGCTCCCTCGACCAATAAAGCGAGATGAGCGCTGCAACCCCAGAGTCAGTCATGACTGGACCTAATGGTCAGGGGTCCCTTTACCTTTACGAGTTAACATACAAAGCTGAAAATTCACTAATATGACTGGCTGAAGTAAGTGCCAAAGCAACAATATTGTAGGGTCACAATTTGTACCCTATCTTAACCATAGGTTCCAAGAGTTTACTTATGACTGATGGAAGAGCAAACTCCAGGTGTGGTACTCAAATTAAATATGACAAGGAAGTTTTTCACTATGGCATATCAACCACAGCATCTTGTCCAGAGGCAAATGGGAAGCCCAACCTGCCAGTGCATGTACTTTGATCAAAGATCAAGATGATTCACTACTAAGTACTATACATAGAGGCACCCTAGGAGGAAAATAATCAAGAAATCCAGAGAGAAAGAGCAGTTTGCACCTAGATAAGCAAACCTTGTGGGTGGAAAGTTTTCAAGCATTAATAAGTATATCCACACTCCCCTCCACCAAACATGAAAGGTGGAGAAATAAGAAGTGAGAGGTGTATTGAAAATAATGGACTTGAAAGAGAAGTGCTTAACTGCAATGGTTACATAACATGACCAAAGAGGTGATGTAGGTGACGCCAATAAGGTCACATGGGCAGGGCCATTTGGTTTTATCCCATGCTCTCTTGCAAAGGTGTGGACACTAAAGCATTGCAGTTACATATGGTACTTAGTGCCTAGCCAAACTGAAAAGTGTCCAATCTTCATTTAGAAGGGATGCCTGCTGTCACAATTTTGAGTGTGTGTTAATGTCACAATAACCATACATTGCTCAGAAGTAAACCGACTAAATTTCATGGGGATGGCTCCCAGACAGGACCAGAGCCTAAACTGTTTAAAGGTGCCAAACTGCTAAAAAAGGTCACACCCTAAACTTTCAGCCCTACTGATAATATAATCCCCACCCCAATGTATTCACTTCTTTGCCTTTCTAGAACATGGAAGGATAATAAATGGACTAGGATGTAGGAAACCAGCGTTAAAATCACCACACAACTATGAAGCTCCCTGGGTGACCTTGGGCTACTCACTATCAGCCTATGTCTCAGTCATAAGGATAACACGTGGAGGAGGAGAATCATAAATTCCAACATAAATTCCTGATAGGACAGAAATAAAGTTGTTTTTATTCGAGGAGATATATCTTCAAAGAAGAAATTACAAACTCAATGCAACCAACTACTGTAGAGCCAGATGCCATTTCCCAAATCATAAGCATTTGAAAGTAACCTTGTATTTGCTATCAAGGGAGATTTAGCGGCCATGGAATTAGAAATAACAAAGAAGGAAGATTCTATAGCTTCAGATCTAGAAAAAAAATATCTCAATGCCAAGATATAAAAAGTAAAATATCTCAATGCCAAAAATTTAAAGCTAATCATCTTAAAAGTGGAAGGCTTGCATGACAACTTAGAGGACAGATGAAAAGTCTTTGAAGAAGTGGACCCTATAGCTTGCATGAACAACACAGAATGAGTGTCCGTCAGAAGAGAATGCGAGAGGGTGTTGAACACAAAGAAAGTGCGACCACATGATAGCCTAAAAGCATTTGTCCAATAAACGTTAAGCTTTCTGGGTGAGTTTCACCATTCTTACTTGTGTCAACAACAGGATTCTCTCCCAAGCAGATGCCATGTAAATGACTCTGAGAATTTACATGCATTTGCAGCATGTCTTAGAACTGATTTTGTAAGTTGCTTTGAGAGCCCTTCTGGCTAAATGGCAGGGTATAAACGATGAAAACAATTAATAAAAAATACATAATTTCTAAAGTAAGGTTTCAATTATTACAGAAGCAAGATGAAAGCCACTATGTTGATGAAAAGGTGAACTAAGAGATTCAAACACCACAACAGACTTACAGAGCTCCCAAAGAGAGGTCCCTTTCTGATGCTATTTCCTGTGTGGTCAGGAAGAAACTAAAGCGGAAATCACAGCCTCCGATCCCCATGAGGGAGTGAGTTTACTGCATTATTGGTAGGCAATGCTCCTAATTTCCGAGAGCTTTTTAGGTTCCAATGGCAATCTGTACAGGTGTATTCCTACATATAGGACTGCACAAAGCCAATTAGTATTTGGATTAAAATATAGTATGACAGAACCTATAGGGTAACAATTTAAAAAGGTAGAATGTCAAAACACCCTTAAAATTATTGTAGTCAAATCTGTAATTTTTTTTTATATATTTCTCTAGTGGAGACTGGTCTATTAGAGCTAATGGTCCTATCCTGGTCCTGCCTACCTGCTTACTTGCCTCCAATCAGAAAGGTGGCCCTGCCTGTCAGTTTCCTCCTCCTTACTCTCAGTGTTGCCCTTCTAGAACACAGCTGGGAGGAGGGTGGGGAAGAATTAGTTGGCTCTGCCCTTCATTGGCTCTGGCTCCACCTACTGTGGGGACTGCGAGGCTTCTGTCCTACCAGTCCCAATGGGCACCACAACTACTTTATTTCTCATGCTTCATGCTCAAATTCATATTCTGAAATAAGTAATCATATACCAATTATATTACACTCCATTTGACCATTTGAGCTGCTGTTGGAAGGAAGAAGAGGCTCGGCATCTGTGAACGGAAGACCTACCTTCTTTTGGCAAAACTTGTGTAGATGCTATAATAATAATAATAATTTTTTATTTATACTCCGCCCTCCCCAGCCAAGACCGGGCTCAGGGCGGCTAACAACCAATAATAAAAACAAGTTGATTAAAATACAATTTAAAAGATTAAGATACAATATTAAAACAATTAGGAAGCAATCTCATCATAGGAGGAGAAAGGAAAAAGAAAAAGGGGAAGGGAATCAAACTGATTCTGAGCCAAAGGCCAGGTGGAACAACTCTGTCTTACAGGCCTTGTGGAAAGAGATCAGATCCCGCAGGGCCCTGGTCTCAAGAGACAGAGTGTTCCACCAGGCCAGAGCCAGTGTTGAGAAGGCCCTGGCTCTGGTTGAGGCTAATCTAACTTCCATAGGGCCCGGGACCTCTAAGGTGTTGCTATATATGGACCTTAAGGTCCTCCGTGGGGCATACCAGGAGAGACGATCCCGTAGGTACGAGGGTCCTAGGCCGTGAAGGGCTTTAAAAGTCAAAACCAGCACCTTACACCTGACCCTGTACTCCACTGGGAGCCAATGCAGCTGGAAAAGCACTGGGTGAATATGTTCCCATGGCAGAGACCCTGTGAGGAGTCTCGCTGCAGTATTCTGCAACCGCTGGAGTTTCTGGGACAGCTTCAAGGGCAGCTCCGAGTAGAGCGAATTACAGTAGTCAAGCCTGGAGGTGACAGTTGCATGGATCACTGTGGCCAGGTCGGGGCGGGAAAGGTAAGGGACCAACTGCTTGATGCGGCGAAGGTGGAAAAATGTCGCCTTGGCTGTTGTTGTAACCTGCGCCTCCATGGAAAGGGAGACGTCAAGGATTACACCCAAACTCTTAACGGAAGGCAGTGGCACTAATTGGAACCCCGCAAGAGAAGGGAGTTGGTCCCTCATCCCCATACTATCCCGACCCAGCCAGAGGACCTCTGTCTTCGAAGGATTTAGTTTCAATCTGCTCCCACGAAACCATCCAGCCACAGCTTCCAAACATCTGGTCAGTGTGTCAGGGATCGAGTCAGTATGGCCATCCATCAGCAGATAGAGCTGAGTGTCATCAGCATACTGGTGACAACCCAGCCCAAAGCTCCGGATAATCTGGGCAAGGGGGCGCATAAAGATGTTAAAAACCATCGGGGAGAGGATTGCGCCCTGCCGCACTCCACACACCAAGGGGTGGTGCGACAACTCCCTCCCCAGTGCCACCCTCTGTCCCCGACCAGATATAAAAGAGCACAGCCATTTATGGACTATGCCTGTATCCCCACATCGGCGAGGCGGTGGTCCAAAAGATCATGATCGACCATGTCAAAGGCTGCTGACAAATCTAAAAGAATCAGCAGTCCTGACCCACCTCGATCCAGTTGTCTGCGGAGATCATCTGTTAGGGCGACCAGAACCGTCTTGGTCCCAAAACCAGGACGGAATCCGGACTGAAATGGATCTAAAGCCGATGTTTCGTCCAGAAACCAACTGAGCTGTTCAGCAACTGCTCTCTCAATTACCTTACCCAGATATGGGAGATTTGAAACTGGGCGATAATTGGATAGATCTAAAGGATCTAGTGAAGTTTTCTTTAAGAGCGGACACACCATTGCTTCCTTCAGCTCCCCTGGGAATATCCCTGTGTCAAGGGACAAATTGATAATTTCAACTAGGGGGGTCCCCGCGATATTTGGGCACGCTCTAATCAGCCAAGACGGGCACGGATCGAGGAGGCAGGCGGTGGGCCTACCAACTTGGAGGAGTCTATCCACATCAGCAGGGAGTATCCAATCGAAATGTTCTAACACTGGACCCGAAGACAGTCGAGGGGCCTCCAGCCCCTTCAATTGCACAACACCAATGACGGAGGCTGGTAATCCCTGCTCGCCCTACCCTTGTCCTTTGGGAAGGGGGGGGCGTAGATTGGAAGGGGTTTGAGCATCACTGCATCTCAAAATATAGTGATATTTAGCCCCACCGCCATTCTTCCCTAGCCCTTCAATAGTGGGAGTCCCAGACCCCATACTAGCCTCCCCAATAGAGGGGTAAGATCTCCTCAATAACAAGTCATCTCATCTCTGGGCCAGGACTCTTGGGTCAGAATGGTATGGGGAAGAGGTGAAAGTTTGATAGGGTAATTATCCCTAGAAGATAAAACCCAACCAACCGCACCCTGAGCAAAGAAGGTGTTCAGTTCCTCTGCCAATGAGACATCAGTCTTAACCATGTTCCCTTGTATTGCCCTTGTAGTTGGTTAGGTTCCGCAGTCGTTGCCACACTTGTTTCATGATGTTATCAGCTAAGTAATTTTCCACCTTAAGCTTATACTGTTGTTTTTCTGCCTTAATGCCTTTTTTGAGATTTATTCTCACCTCTCTGTATATGTCTATATTCCCTGTCTTAAAGGCAGAATCCCGGATTTTCAGGAGTCCTCTTACTTCAGCAGTCATCCATGGTTTACAGTTCCCATACAGTCTAATGCATCTCTGCGATGTTAGATGCACACTTTAATATAGGAGAGTATAGCATCTGTGTATCTATGCAGATCTTGATGTTCAAACACATGCCAATCAGTGCTCTCAAAACAATCCTGGAGCTGACTAAGAGCACCCTCTGGCCAAATTCTAACTGTTTTTATAACTGACTGAATTCTTCTCCTGAGAGGGATGTACTTCGGACATAGAAAAACTGAAGAATGGTCGGATGAGCCTATTTGGGGGAAGGGCATCGCCCTGTATGCCTGTTTCAAATTGGAATACGCGAGATCTAGAATATTCTGTCCTCTAGTGGGAAATTTCACAAACTGTTCAAACTTAGGAAAAACCGTCTTTAGGCAGGCTTGATTGAAGTCCCCTGCCACAACAACAGCGCCCTTTGGGTGGATATGCTGCTGCTCAGAGATGACGTCATATAGCTTAGAAAGTGCCGCACTGACATTAGCATCGGATGGAATATAAACAGCTATAATAATTATGACAGTTACTTCTCTAGGCAAATAAAATGGACGACATGTAACTGCCATCAATTCTAGATCTGGGGAGCAATACTTGTAAGCTACTTTGCTATTAACACACCAACCATTGTGTATGTAAATACAGACTCCTCCGCCCCTAGCTTTACCAGAATCACTATTTCTATCAGAGCGATAAATTATTTGATTTATCAGCTCAACTGCCGCATCCGGTACTGCTGAATGTAGCCAAGTTTCTGTAATAATTACCACACAGCTCTCACAAAGAAGCTTGTTTGCTGCCATCAGCAGCTGTAGTTTGTCAATTTTGTGGACGAGAGATCTGTTGTTGGTCAGGAAGACGCTTGGCAGTGCTGGCCTCGTGGGTCTTTTTCAAAGCCGGGTTAACAGACCAACTCTGCAACCACGTTTTTGCTTTCGCTCTTTTCTCTTTCGCTTCTTTCGGCACTTCCCCCTCCCATCAACAATCCATAGAGATCCTGGAGGTCTTACTATGCAGTTTGGTATACAGTGGGACCTTTGAAACTCTCTAGTTATCTCTATTTTTCTTGTGAGCCCGATGTTTACCAGTTTTGTGCGTGAGTAGGTGAGGTATTGGGGGCTCAGAGCCGCAGCGTATGAACGCGCCGCCATCTTGGAACGGAATTCCTGCCCATGACTGCCTATGACTAGCCATACCTAATTACAGGTAGGTAGCCATGTTGGTCTGCCGTAGTCGGGGGAAAATAAAAGATAAAAATAAATAAATTCCTTCCAGTAGCACCTTAGAGACCAACTATCTGGAGGTATCTGGAGGTATCTGAAGAAGTATCTGAAGAAGTGTGCATGCACATGAAAGCTCATACCAATAACAAACTTAGTTGGTCTCTAAAGTGCTACTGGAAGGAATTATTTTATTTTGCCCATACCTAAGACTGAGTTTCCTCTCCCCCAGTCTCTCCCTGTAGCATTTCTAACAAACAGTTGGCAAAGGTTAGTGAAAGGCAATTTGAAGTTAGTTGAATGCAACTGAGAACACTCTATCTCTTTTAAAATACTGTGCAAGCATACAGTGGGGATTTGAAATAATGGCATTACAAACTGTTACAAATAGGAATGCAACATTTAGCCAAATAAGATATTTTGATTGAGTGTTCTGTGTAAAAATTGGGTAGCTGTTATTTTGAAAATTTAAGCATTTGGAATGTAAGTACCTATAAAAGTATGGGTGTCAGTTGCCTTCTACAAAGAGGCATGTATTCCTCCTCTCTCTTGTGGGAAGAAATTACCCTTCTGAGATAGTGCATACTAAGACACAAGCACACACATATGACACAAGTACACTTAATTTAAAATCAATGGAAAGTTTGCTTTCTTCTTCAGATCTAGATTTTATCAATTAGAACTCGTAGAATAAATCAACTAAGATGCATTTAGGTAAATGACAACCCTAGATATAATTAACCAATGAGGCAGGGCAGACATGGTGCTGTGTCTTGCTTTCCAATTGGACCCAGCCTGTCCTCAACAGCTGCATCAGCAAAATTATACTGTTTGGAGCTTCATTTTCTGCTTCTTCAAGCAAGTGAAAACACCCAACTGGTGGTGCCCTAGTGCTAACTCAATAATGTATATTTTCCCTTTTTGATCATCATTAGAGAGGAATGTGGAACTTTTAGGTGCAGGAAACCTGTGTCCCTCCAAGATGTTGTCTGACTACAACTCCCATCATCCTTCACCAACAGCTAGGGCCAATGAGAGTTGGGAGTCAAACAACATCAGGAGACCAACAAGTACTCCATCTCCAGTTTAGAAAATGGGAACTTTTAAGCTTTGGAGACCTAGAATACAAACAAGCTAAAGCAGAGTTGGAGGACTTTTTACTTCCCAATTATTCTTCTAATTACACAGGTGCCTATGTTGTGGATCTTAAGGAATAAGTATCTGTGCTTTTGGGTAAATCGCTAAGTGCCTAGGACACAGCAGGATACAAGTCTAAGTCAGTTAGTTTTTTGCATTCTTCATACTATGCACTATTGTGGTGGAGGTAGAAGCTAAAACATTTATTTTTTTATTGGCAAAGATTGCTGACTACATTTGTGGAAGAAAAAAATCTTTAAAAATGGTACCATTTTTAGAATTACTGTACATTCATGGCATAAACATAAGCATGTCAAAAAAGCAAACAAACAAAAAAACCACCCACCAGTTTCAAGATATCCTACACAACTGATTTACAAATAAAGGCATAATGAATATGTAGTAAAATCAAGTTTCTTACCTTTTTATCTCTGGTCCTTACTTCCCCATAGAAATCTAGGGCTTCTTGTGCCTTCTGAAATCTTCCTCGATGTAACAAATATGCACAAATCATTACACCAGTTCGTCCCTTTCCAGCTTTACAGTGGATTGCTGCAACATGACTGCCATCTTCACTAAGCCATTGGTCAAGATCTTCACAAAAAGGTTTGATAAGCTCCAGCTGCGGCGGATTATGGTCTTCAAAAGGATACTGTGCAACTATAAAACAGAGTGTACTGATTAGTCAAGAGTCAGATTACTGTTAAATCTAACATATCAATATTAGATATTTTAATCATTATAGGATTTACAGTATACAAATTACATAAGCAGTCATCTATTACAGGCTTGTGCAATTTGTCACATACCATGGCAAATGCAGCCCATCAGGCATTTATTATGACCTGCCAAGTGTTTGGAAATCCCAGTAAGGCAGCAAAAAATTAAGTCACACGTGGGCTAATATATGCTGTTCATGGCCTACACAGAGTTTGGTGTGTCATAATTTAGTCGTGGAATGAAACAGAGCAAACTAAAAATCAGTAATTTATATTATCAAAAATTTATAAAGAGACTGCAGTATGTAGAGCAGCCTGTTATAGCCATACTGTTATATCCAAAAAGTCTTCACTACCGTTTAACACAGGGTGGGGTGGGGCTCCTTTTTGGCTGGGTATGCCAGATTTTTATCTTCCTCCATTCCGCGGATCAACTTGACAGGTGGGCAGGACCCACAAGTAATCGTTCGATGTCATAATGACATCAGGTGACTGACACCTGAGAAAACACAGTGCTTTATGCAAATGACAGACATTGCACTTAGTATCCATACATAGGAATGCCAGTCCTTGCCAAGTACAAGTCTCTTCCAAATAAATTTTGAATGATATAGAACAGGAAAAAATGATTCACTGAAAAGATAAATTCCTTTCCTAATCATTATTTACTGTCTGGGGCCAACACAGAAATTACTGGATATCAAACTAATAGGAAATCTGTGGCTTGCTATATTAGCAACATTCCTCTCTAATCACTTGCAATCCATTTTGCTTCTTGGTTTAGGAGAAATAATATGAAAGAACAGGCATACCTCTGCAGTTAAATTTGGCGGTGTCATAATGTCTTTCAGCACATCTGAAATAAAAGTTGCAATACATTAACTACAAGTTCAACAAAACTACTTACCAGGGAGAAAATTTATCATTTTCAAATACATTTTTAACTAATACTATATCCATATTAGAAACAACACTTCCATTAAGCTTAATATATATGTTTAGCCAGAAGTTTCAGATGTTCTTCAAGCCATATAAATAAATATGTGGTGCATGTAAGTCCACAGATATGGAAGGGAGGGTGAGTCTGTAACAGTGAGGCATCAGACCTGGATCGGAGAGAACCAAATCCACATTTCCATGCTCTCATGAAGCTCAATGGGTGACCTTCACGCTCTGTCAGTCCACCAACTCCTGGCCTAATAAGCCTACTTCAAAAAGTTGTTATGAAGACAGATTTAGATAGAGGTTCCCTTTCTATTATATTGCCATATGACATTTTAGAAGACTCCTTTATTTAGTGAAATGTTCCTTTTTTTCTTTCCTACAGTTTTGGGGATCAATTCTATCCCTACTGGAATGACTGAGAAAACTGAAAACCATACACAGATGTTCCTGTGGGTCTATGTGACCCTGCAGACTGCTATGTATTAGGTACTCATTATGTCTACAGATACTTAGCACAAAACTAGTTCTTTAAATTTCTTGTAAAAGAGGAGCATAGAGGGTAAAAACAATACTTTCTAGACAACTTTTTCAATTTCCTTAAGATCACTTCAGATGGTACTGTGAATTTAATAGTACCCCATAGGTTTACAAAACCCAATGTATATATTTGGTCCCCAAAAACTAAATGCTGTATTCCGTCCTCCAACCGCAATCAACAGGCTGCTGGTAAACTGCTTTATAATGGTAACATTCTCAACTGGCCATTTCTGAATTTTAGATTGAAATCTGCCCTGGTGAAAGGCACATTTTTGAGAGTGCTGGGAGCACCAATTATGGCAGTCATGGAAGGAGCATCGCATAACCCATTAGAGAGACAACACCACCCCTGACATGCTCATCACGGGAAGTCAGCTATATGCTGCTGGTCCCGATTCCTGATTCTGGAGACCACATACACAGAGAAAGAGAGAGATGCTGTTGCTGTTTAGTAACAGGGAGCATTTCTCACTACCGGGGGGAGGGGTGAGGTAGCCACACTAATTACTTTAAAGATACCTGCACATTTTGCTCCACAATTTTTCCTCTAGGAGGGCTAGACTTTTAAAAAAAAAATGAAAGCTCTGAGTCTGGGACACCTACTGGGTTGCTGATCCCTGTGCTAGATCAATACCACAGCTGTCATGAAGCCAGTTACTGAAAAGTGTGCAATTTCTTCTAAAGCTAATATGGTTGGAGTTGTAAAAAATGCTTCCATTGCAAATTGTATATATTACATTTAAGGAAGCCTATGAAATGCAACATTTTGAATCTACCATGGAGTTTTTAAAAAGGTATTTAAAAGTTCACCATGTACAGTATCCAAGTGACAGTCCTAAGTACCACATAGGTAAAACATTTAAAGCCAGTAGAAATAGGTGAAGTTAAAACAAAAAGAAGCTAAGCAAATCAAAATACCAAGCAGATTATTCCACCAAATTGAATTACTATTAATGAGTAACATTCTGGAGAAGTAACAGATATTACAGACTTGAACCTGTAACACAAAAAAGGAAGAAAGCTTTGCCACTGATATTCTTAGTTAAAACCAATCATTTTGCAGAATTTGGATGTCACTGTGATTAGTTCTAGAGGGAAAGCTTTCAATTTTCTCTGTACATGCACAAACTAGGAAGACAGACAGGAACAGTACAAGTCTGAGGCTTGTGTAGGCTTATTCCTGTAACATAGGGTGGAAAACCTTTTTGGCCCAATGGGCCAGCTCTTTAGCTAACCCCAAACTGCCAGCTAACTTTGACGGAGGGGCATGACAATCAACCTGTCAATCTGATCTCATTATGACAAAAGATGGGTGACAGGTAGGTTGTCATGCCCACATAATGTAGCTGGATAGTACTTCTCAAGTGCCTGACAGCCAGCTGTTTGTCAGGCACCTGAGAAATGCAGCATAAGCAGCTTTGCTGCTCCTGTAGCACCGAGTGGTTTGCATTGAAACTGCTGCTAAAACTGAGCTTTCCCCCTCTATTTTACCAGCTGTTTCAATGGAAACCACTTGACACTATTAGAACAAGACTGAGACATGTTGGTCTGATCATATTACATCTGGGTTGAAAAAGTTTTATTGGGTCCTACTGAGTTCCCAGGCACAATTCAAATCATTTTGACCTTAGGTACTTCAGGGATCACTTTCTCCCATATGAATGTAAATTTATGTTGTTGTTTTTAATGGGCAACTGATGGCAGCTGCTCTTTTTATCGGTTTTCTTTGCTCTAGCTGTTACATCAAGAAATGTTACATCATTTCTTTTACAGTGGTGCCTCGCAAGACGAGTCTAGCGGTTTTTTGTCTTGCGAAGCAACCCTATTAGCGGCTTAGCGGATTAGCGCTATTAGCGGTTTAGCGGCTAGTGCTATAAAGGCTATAGCGGCTTAGAAAAAGGGGGGGGAAAGCGAAAAAAATCACAAGACTCGCAAGACTTTTTCGTTTTGCGAAGCAAGCCCATAGGGAAATTCGTCTTGCGAAGCGCATCGAAAAACGGAAAACCCTTTCGTCTAGCGGGTTTTTCGTCTTGCGAGGCATTTGTCTTGCGGGGCACCACTGTATTAAAAATCCTAAACATTTAACAGCTTGAAAAACATTATAACTTTTTAGAAATGGTAAACTGTTCTGGATTTTAAAAAATCAACTGTTCAGTTGATTAAAAATCAAATTTGGAACATAAGTATCATGTGTGGATGTAGTCATTCTTATACAATGTTTATATATATATATATATATAATTTCAATTGATAAAAATGTTACTCATACATCTGTTTCTTTCTAGTTTACTATAAGCCCTAGGATCCTTGACATGAAATTTAACTATATAGCAAAATCTGAAAGAATTCAATATATAAAATGTAGCCTGAGAATAGCAAACTAAGGCTTTCCACAAAAAGTTTAATGAAACACATAACAATTTTGCTTCAATGTGACGATGTCATCAAATCAACAAAAGCTGCCTGAATAATTTCACTTTATCATAAGGTTACAAGCTGCAAGGTAGACATTCTACCATGTTATTTAAAACAGCCCAAGTAACATTAAACTGCACCATACCACCACCCTTACAAAATAAGTTCACAATGCTTACATTCAGCATTTTTTAATGTTTAAGTCTGTTGAATATCTTTGAGATCTACCTCTCAAATAAAAAGGAACTTAACTTCCTCTGTTAGAAATATTTGGGTCAGTATATTTAAGAAGTATACTTACAGATTGTATATCTTGTAATGGTTTTTATGTTTTGAATCCAAAAACCTTAAAGAAAAACACACACAAGTCACACAAACATATATTTGACATCATTATTTTACATAGTTGCTCGATAAGACATATCTATCTCAACCTAAATGTTGATATCAATTTTGATGTGTATGTAGTACCTACTATTGCTGCTGTCCTTAATTTGCACAAATATTTCCTCACAATTACTAATGTGGGAAAGTGTGTGAAATTAAAATTGCAGTTTACTCCTCAAAGCATTTTTATTGAGAAACTGAAGCAGATGTTGTTCTAAAGATGGCCTTATTGTTCTATGCAAGGGTAAGAATTAGTACTCTTTAATATTGGCATTTAATTTTAGATTTCATAGAATCTGCCTCAGAATAAGGGATTCAACCTCAATTTAGATGAGGAAAACTAAAGCAGCTAAATGAAAGTTAATCACAACTACATTAATTGCCCAATTCCAAATAACTTGCAAAATAAATGCAACGGAGAAAGTGCAAGCCTTAATCTCATATAATCAATCCCTACTCATTGCATAACCAATGAAAAACACTGCCTATTGTTCTATGGACACTTTCACTTTTGCACAATTCCCCAGTACTCTGCTCTCACAAAACAGGGAACAAAGCAAGGTCACAGTGAGGAAGCAAACAAGAATTTAGCAAGGGTCCAAACCATGGGTAGGCAAACTAAGGCTCGGGGGCCAGATACGGCCCAATCACCTTCTAAATCCGGCCTGCGGATGGCCCGGGAATCAGCATGTTTCTACATGAGTAGAATGTGTCCTTTTATTTAAAATGCATCTCTGGTTTATTTGTGGGGCATAGGAATTCGTTCATTTCCCCCCAAAAAAATATAGTTCGGCCCCCACAAGGTCTGAGGGACAGTGGACTGGTCCCCTGCTGAAAAAGTTTGCTGACCCCTGGTCCAAACCTTAAGCAGAAAGCATTACAGTTATTGGCACTATGCCACTTTTGATATGGCTCTTTCACTTACAGGGTAATAAAGGCCACTGAAACCAACATCCCTGATAAAATTCACCAACTTATTTAGATAGATACATCTTGCAAAAACATCACCTACCTTTATGAATCAATACCTCTAAAACTCTTTTTTAAAAACCCTGATACCTGCATATCACTTAAGTATCTGCAATTTCCTTGACCATTTCATGTTAAAAATATGACAAGAAACTCACTCTATGGTTTCAATAGCAGCCAAATTTTCTCCCTCCCCTGCTCAACTGCATCTTTCACCAAGTAGTCTGATGAAGAGTTCTGGAGAACTTGAAACCTTGCAAAATATTTTAATACGAGCTGTTTTTTGGTTGGTCTACTGAAGGTGTTAACAAAGGTATTGTGCTAATATTTGCAATGTTCTTACCTTTACTTTTTGTGTAAAAAAAATTTTTAGAATAGTTTTTAAAAAGAATTAACTCATATGTGGCTATTCCTTTCTAAATATACAGAAGTGCTCCATTGAAAAGCTATTAGATAACCAGCATATCAAACCACAACTAACTAATAAAAATCTAGGGAACTGCATAGTAGCCACCAATGAGGACATGCAAGCTCAGTAAGCTATCGTGATGCTCTGCTCCATACATTTTTCTCACACAATCAACACCTAACCTTTATTGGCCAGGAACATTTTGTGTATATGATATGTGAAGGAGGTATGTGCTAGAGGTTGTGGTAGGTAATGAGAAATTAGACGAAGGTGGAAACACCTGAACTACTTCGTGAAAGGTTGTAATTTTATATACAGATGCAACTGCAACATCAAAGAGCGCCAAGTGCTTATACATATGCCAGTGCACTGCATTTTCCTACCCCCCCCCCCATTTTTAACAGGTGAAAATGAAATGCCTATGTTGGAGATAGAGCATGGACTTTCATATTTCAGAAATCATCAAATTCTCCTTTAACTCAATTGATCTCATAGAAGCATCTACTTAGCTTAAAGATTAGTAATAGGACTTACATGCTTATATCCATATTTAATATTAGTCTAACATGTAATATGATTCCCCCCCCAAAAAAGTGGGTTTTCTTTTAAAATAATGTTTTTATTAAATCATTGATCTTATTTACCATGGTTTTAGATGAGTTTCACCTTTCAGCACTAAAATATGATACTTCTCTATCACCAGCACTTTGTGTAGCTGCCTTTCTGCAGCTTTTAGATTATAATGCTAAAATAAATTGTTATAGTCACTCTTGAAATCATTTACAGTGGAAAATTTTGGGAGGGTAAATACTTGAATTACAGTTTCACAAAACAATTACAAAAAAAGGAACAAGACTATATAAAGTCATCATGAGGTCATTCCTGTTCTGTCATCCCCCTCCCTTTCTTCCATCTATTGTACGCGTCTGAACTGCTACCTGTGGGCTGGCATGGAAGGAGGGGGTTAGAAAAAAAAGTGAAGGGGATTGGGATTGGAATCTGTTAATGTTACACCTAATACGCAGACTTCACATACTAACAGAGATTAAAATTAGAGAGGCAAACATTCACTGAAGAGCTGGAGAATTAACAACCAAACTTGTCAACTAATTTCTGCCTTACCCAATATGGCTATTAAGTGCATAGATGAATTCAGAGGTACTAGATTTGCTGAACTGACACCAAACTGCAGAATTATACAAAAATAAAAATAGTAACGATGAATGCACTAGCTAGATTAAACATAATGCTGATATATTGTCATGTAAAAAAGTAATACTTTAGTTAATTACCTTAAAATTTCAAATCTTAATATTTGCTTTTGTTTCAGATTTGGCAGAGAAAAACACACTGCATTGTAAAAGATACTAAAACATTGTTTTAGTTCTCATTTGAATAAAATATGTGATAATCTCAGAAATGGGGAACCCTGTGGAAGGGAACATAGACATTTTGTAACATTTTGTCCCCAAGAAATCTCATATTTATACATTTACTCCCAGATGACATTAAGATGTACAGACACAAATTCTTACCTCACAACGTCATCAATATTGTTTCTGTATACTCCTTCAAGTCTTTCTGCAGGAAAACCCATTGCAATTATATTTGGATAAATATCTGAATAGTCAAGTTAAGAGAAATATTTACAGAGTAACATTGTGAAATAGTACATAAAGTGTTAAATATTTCAAGCAAGTAACTATAGAGACTGGATTTAAGCAACCATTTCAGACACTTTCTATAGAGAAAAAGGTTCTAGTATTCCACCATTAGGGAAACAACTGTTTGGCAGGCTAAGAAGAACAGGGCTGGGAGTACAGAGGGGCAACAGGCAGTGGTTTGCCAACCCATAGGGAAGGTCTTTGAGGGCCTTGGATTGCTCACATGTAATCTTAACAATTACTTGGAAGCAGAATGTTCTTGTTTTCAATAGAGTGAAATTAATATCTACCATTTTGAAAGATCAAGCAGTGTAACAACAGTATTATATGTCATATAACTCACAATTTTATTCAGTCTACCTTTCAGCTTGAGGGTCAAGAAACTGTTTCATACCCGTGCATCCCCTATCATCAAAACAGCCACCATGGATCTAGTGATTTATGCATAGTTGACCACTAAGTTTGACTTAGTTGCTCTCTAGTGTTTCCTAGCTGCCAAGACACAGCCTTGCAAGGATCAGATTACTGAAGAGGTACAGAATCTCCACATCCAGGGCGCTTCCTTCCCTTCACCAGAACCTCCCAAGTTGCAAGCTTGCTCCAGTCAGACCATCTGTGGAGTACAAACAGAAGCAGTCTGTCCATTTGGGCTACTTCGGCAAGCTCTGAGTATTCAGAGACTGGGTAGCTGCATATGCTGCCAAGAGATATAGAACATCTCCTGTTCCTGTACCACAGCATCATATGGCTCCAAGCCTCTCACACACAACACAGGGGAGCAGAATGCAAGTCCTGGGAGCTTGAAAGCTGTCCTTCAGCTCTGTGTGAAGTTACATATAAATCTGAATATAAACATAGGAAAAAGAAAATGTTCTGATTTGTTAAGATCTAGTCTCTACTCCAAAAGCCATCATCCTGTCTCTCACCAGAATAATGCACTCAAATCCAGCTCACACTATTTTATGTACTCCAAGTTTTACAATTTGTTAAACTCTCATTGTTATAAATAATTGTTCATAACTACCAAACTAGACTGACACTTGCCCTTCCATCATCTGCAGCAAAATGCACCTGCTCAACAGATACCAGCTGTTACCTCCAGAACCTTCTGTATAATATATCCACTGAGCCATGATGCTCACTGGATTACCTTGGGCCAGTTATGGTCTCACCTACCTCACAGCCTAACCCACAGCATAGGGCTGTTGCAAAGATAAAATGGAAAGGGAGAGACCTGTGTAGGACACCTTGAGCTCATTGGTGTAAAGGCAGGATATAAATGTAACAAAACAAAAAAACTTTTCCATGCATGCCACTCATTTTAAACTGATGACAGCAACTCATTTCACCCAATCAGAGAATTGTGATTATTATACATGGTAGGAAACAAAGCCAGGATCGTGAACCATATTTTGAAGTTGGCTTGTTTCCCAATATCATAGTCAAGTCTAACCAAACAAAAGCAAAAACCTTCACTTGCACCTGCAAGTAAACAAAACAGGTAATTACAAACCAAAATAGCACTTATCCAAGTAGTAAGCATCCATGTTGTTTGGTTGATCATGCTAATTTTTTAAAATTTGCAACAGTAATTCATATAGACACACACAAACTGTGTTATGTAAATAAACAAATACACAAACACCTTGTCCTCAGAAGTAATTTTTTTAAAAAAAAAATCTTCTACACAGAATTTCATATCGTATGCTTGATAGAAATGAGATTCATTTCAAGGTAAATGCAGAATTATCTGATTTTATCTTTAAAAAAAACAACCTGTACACTATCTTGTACACTAGTAACTTTTGTGTTGGAGTAATTTGCAAGACATCCAGAAAGAGAGTAAGTTCTTCTATTCTACACTTTTCACCAGATTATACATAATATGATTTTAAATCAGTCTTTCGCTGATTTCTGCACTTCATTGGGAACTTACATAAAAGAAAGTGAAATCTTAATTCCACCGAAGCAATTTACATGATCTAAGTACAGGTATAGTTCAAAAATAATGGTAAGCTACGTTCTGACATTAACATGCCTGGGCCTTAGCCTTGCTGACAGGGGAGATCCCTCTCTGCCCTCCTGATGTAAGGTAGCCATGATGTTCCATTTAATCCAAACCAGCAAATATATGGTCTTCCTTTGCCCTACTATCTAGGAAAGAAGATCCAATTTTTAAGTTGTTGTTGTTTTTTTACAACACTTAACCACGTTGAGAATTTTATTTTAGTATATACATATATATTAAAAAATAAAGCGAGGGTGGAGAAAGCACATGAGGCCAAGAGTCCAGTCCGGCTCATTTGCATAATTTCAACCATCACAGGCTACACACAGCCTACATTCCTCTTAAGTAAAACTACAGATAATTTTCTATAGGTTCTCAAGCTGGATCTTTTTATAGCCATCTCATCCAGGAATTGAAATAGCATAAATTCAGCAAACAAATAGAAGCCTCACGTTAACATTAGATTGTCAGTAAGTACTGTAATAAAGAAGCAAAGTATCATATATTTAGCCTGATATACTGTACTCTATCAAATTACCTTTGCATAAGCACTTAAGCCTACTCAAAGGAAAGGAACCACTTTTCTTGCCTGAAATACGTTTCTCAGATGGCATGGTGAGCTATGCTACCCATTTTTGCCCAAAGACACAAAACACAGACCTTTCTCTGTTCCTTGCTCCTCCATCTCTTGACCAGTCTCTTTTATTACTCATATACAGAACAAATCACCAAAGCAATGCAGCACAGGAGAAAACCTAAGAACATAAGAAGAGTCTGCTGAATCAGGCCAATGGCCCATCTAATCCAGCATCCTGTTCTTACAGTAGCCAATCAGTTGCTGGGGGGAAACCAGAACCTGTGCTGGACCTGAACACAAGCGTATTCTCCCCTTTTGTAGGTTCCAGCAACTAGTATTCAGAAGCATATTGCCTCCAACTGTGAAAGCAGAACAATCCTCCCTACATTCATTCATTCAATTTATATAACACGCTTCATTATAAGATCTCAGGGCAGTTCACAGAATTAAGCATTTATACAGCCTGCCAGTCATCCCCGAAATTCAAGGACTTACCATGTGTTCAATGCCTCTGAGAACCCCCTTTCAAGTGAGAGCAAGGGTTCCTTCTCTAGAGGTGCTAATATATGGTATGGTGAGATGCACTAAAGCTAAAAACCTCTCAGTGGGAACCATGCGACAGTTGCCTATTAAATAACCTGCTGGAGGACTTCCTCCCCAAAGCTGCCTTTGCTGAAGAACATTTATCAATTTTGTAATGCCTAATGAATGCTGTTGGTGTAGCCTGCATAGCCACTCTGCATACCTTGCAAAAAGGCGCATTCGCTGAAAAAAGCTGCTGAAGTTGTCATGGTTGAATATGCTGAGATGTTCTGGCACAAATAACTTCAGTGATTCATAAGCTAATGTGATGCACACTTTAATCCACCTAACTAAGGTGTAGCTTCTTACTTTCTATCCCAAGGTGTTAGGGTGGAAAGAGTTTGTTTGCCTTAGTAGTTTGTTCTATTAACGTATGCTCTAATAGCTCTTCACACATCTAAAGAATGCCAAGCCTACTCAGGAGAAGTGGGATAAAACTTTGGCAATATCAATTCTTCTTGTTGCTGCAAAATTGAATTTATTTTAGGCATGTCCTTAGAACCACCCTGCCTGAATGTTTTGCTACTGAGAGCTGATACATCTTAAACTCTAGAAGCAGGAGAGACAGGGTACAGCTAAACAACTTTCTCTTCAGAGAAGCTGAGTGAAACGAAACAAACAAGAAATCAGATTGTCTGAAGGGTTAGGAACAATAAATTAATATCAAAAAGTATTGCACACATCAAGAGACTGCCAAACATTCTCAGAAGGTTAGGATGTGACCATGTGGAGATTCAACAAACTTTGTGTAGGGTATTATTTGCAAAAACTGCAGATACTACCACCAATCTGCAGAGTAAGCCATAATGTTAGATGGAACAGCTAATTTAGAGTAACCTTTCCCAACCCTATGTCCCCATAGGTTGTTGAGACTACAATTCCCATCATCCCTGACCACTGAGCCATGCTGAATGAAGCTGATGGGAGTCATAGTCCAACAACATCTGGGGGACTCAATGGTGGGAAAGGCTATGTCAGAGAATATGAAAGCAAGGAAAATATAGCCTTTTATTCACCTTGCTCTGGTGGACGCTCCCCCTGCCACTTTGGCTGAAAAAAGTTAAAGAAAGCCTGAGACTGCCTAAACTGTTTGGTTCCCAAAGCAAACCTCAAAGCTCTTCACACATCCAGACAATACCATGCCCTTTCCAAGGCTGGAAAGCAACAGGTTGTAAGGAAGAGCTCCTGCTCCTGCTGAAAATGGAAGCATGTTTATGAGATGAATGACAAATTTGTGCAAAGAACAACCACCATGACAGACTGAAGTGATGACAACTAGGGCTTAAAAAAAAACCAATCTGAGAAACAACAAAGACACAGATTTTAACAACTCAGATGGCAACTTCTGCAATGCTGACAAGGTAGTATGAAGATGCTGCAGTGATCCCAGGATTCTTTAAATGCAGTTAACCTTCTTTACACTGTCTAGGAAGACTGATCATGCAGAATGATAAATGCAGAGCATGGAAGGATACCTGGATGACAGAACGGTACCTACCACTTTAGGTGGGTGGCCTTTAGGAGCCTTCTATTCAACTTCCAGGCAGAGACATTCAGCCAAGGCAGACTGGAATGCAGAAGCATACCTTGAGACATGTTCTTCTCAATAGTGGCATTGGTGGAAAAGTGAAAAGGTGACCTGATGGCTATGGTGAGTGCAGAGCAGTGGTCTAGAATGGTGCCTGCCTAGAGAGTGTTAAGTTTTCTTAACTATACAGGTAATTCACAACTTATGTGCATTTAACTTGCACGCATTCAGCTTTACACAGTAGGCAATTCTTTATTTTTAGAAAATTGAAAAGGAGGCAGAAAGAGGGCAGGTGTCCAGGAAAATATTACTTTGGCAATCCCACCCACCACTGAACCCAAAATGTGTTTTGACTATATGAGATTTTGGCTTTATGCACTATCCCTGGAATGTAACCCCCGTGTAAGTTGAGTCACCTGTATAGGATTCACTCCTTTGCAATCAGCACTAAGCTCTCCCTGATAAAGAGGCATGGAACCTGACAGATATTTGACTACTTGCTGAAGAACCCATTAAGCACTGCACTGCAGGGTCACCTGAAAACTTCAGAATTCTACTGAAAGTATAAGCCAACTGCACTGTTAAGGCAACTAGAAGTGAAAGTGCACAGATGAAGTCTTGAGTCAGATAAGCAATCAGCACTGGAAGAAATTCTGAAAGTTGAGCACTTGAATGAAAGTAATGTTCTAGCGCAATTGTCTTCAGAAGCCTATCAGAGTTCCTTGTGGAGCTTCTGGCATTGGCGGAAAAGACAACACACTTCATGGAATCCACGAACGGTGGGGAGTTCCCTTCCTTGACAGCCTCTATTATTATCTTGAGGCTTCACATGTGTTTACATACTTAAACAAAGAAAATGGAATAAATACTCCAAAACATTTCTGGCTCAGTACCTGAACTACAACCAGAATACTGGAATAGATATATCTGCTCAGCATCCTGCAATCAGAGGAGGAAGAGAACCACTAATGGGCAAAAGAAACAAAACCCCACTTTAAAGTCAGTGAAAGAAAGTAGTATCTTATCAAACCTCCAGGCAATAGCAGAATATTGTCATGCAATAAGAACTTGCACAGTGCTAGTAATCTTAATCTTAAACTGCTATTTAAATGGACACAAAGGAGCAGTATAAGACCCAGAAACCTTATTTTTGCTTTAATTATACAATATAGAAAGACTCATCTATTTGTCTTTGATTCTAAAGTACTGACATCTTCAAAAACTATCCAGAAGACTATCTGTCAAAGAAACGATTAAAGCCAATTTAACTTACATTTAAAGTATACTTACTTTATTACTGTACTGTCCATATATACATAGTATTTCAGCTTGCATCTACCATCCTGTGTAAACCCTCAGCCAAGTCACTCAAATTCTACCAAGAACTAAGTACTATCAAAGGTGTCATTTGTTTTAACTGTTTTAATGTTGAATTTTAAACTGTTGTAACCCACCCTTCGGACCTGATGGTGAAAGTCAGATAATAAAAGCTGAAGAAAAATGATGTTGTCGGAAAACACCAGTAAGGTAAAACCTGGAGGGGGGACTTCTGGCAAGCAATACAAAACACAGATCAGACAAAGACCAACCACACACACACACACACCGACAAAATGTATTTAAAACACTAACCACAAGTCTGAGGAGTAGGCAACTGAGGAGTACACACACACCTCTGCTCCTGGTCAAGACAGGAAACAGACTGGTCAAGAGGAGGAAGGGAGCTATTAATGGACAAAGGTATGTGTTTCCTGACTTTGAGCACAAGAGGGCAGCATAACCCACTATGCCTTGTGTTCACCACCTCTGCACAATGATATTCAGCAGTGAAATCTATTACCGTAAATTACACTCCTAGAGATTATTCCAATTTCTACTTATCAAGCTTTCCAAAAAACTGTGGGAGGAAAGATTAACAGTAGCATTGTAGTTTCCAATGAGTATATGCATAAAAGAGTAGCACAAACACTTCTGAAGACTAGAACTCAAAAATATTATATCTATAGGTACACCTAAAGTGCAGTTATGACCACGAGAGACAACTGCAAATACCCGTGGGTATGAGGAGAAAGACCAGTGAAACAATTTTACTAAATTGCATTAACAAGGAAGCACAGATAAGCAAAGGCTACAGTCAAAAGAAACTTTATCTAGCCATCCAGTCTGCAACTTGCGAGGGATAACCAGTCACTGTCCCCAGTCTTAGCTTGCATCATACTTACTCACTGTACCCATCCACTATTGCTGCTATTCCTGAAAAGCTATTTTAGGAGTCAGGTGCCAAAGTTAATTGCTGCACTTCTCTACCTTTTTCATATTTAAGGGCCAACTAATATAAAAGCCCGCAATAGAGAACACAGGCATGCAAACATACCAACAACCACAGTTCTATACTGTTTCACCTAGTTAGGAAAAACTGCAACACAGTGCTCTATTACCTGTCAGTTCTACCTCAACATTCTATCACCCATCTATTTCAACCACAAGTGTTAAAGACTTACGAATCCAGATATCCTAACCATGTAGATTTGATACTGAAGTCCAGTTATCAATTAACCTGACTTTTAAGCTCATGGTGAAGTGTCGCAGCAACAGGAAGATAGCATGTTTACAGTAGGGGTACAATAGTAGAGGCAGGATGGGGAAGGATGAAGGAGCAGCAGCACAAAGTATACAGGGTTAGTTAGCGCGGGCAAACATTCCCTGTGTAATTATTTGCAAAGCTGCTTAAGATGTTTACATAGACTAAGGAGCAAACCAGACATCATGGCAGCAAACCAGTGTCCGAGAAATCTAGTCACTGCTGATTTCCGGGGGTGGGGGGTATAGAAGGAGGAATTCTATACAAGGGCAGGAAGGAGGTTTTTTCAGTTTTTTCAGTCATAAGAGCTGCCCAGCTGTTCTTCCCCAGGTGGGGCTGTGTATAAAATGGAAGGACCAAAAAAAAGAAGCTAAAATGTAGATGGTTTCCAAGAATCACTCCAACCTATTGTACTTTTCTACCAAAGACTTACCTTTGCAATAAGAAGTCTAAACCAGTGGTTCTCAACCTCCCTCGCCCTAAGAACACTAGAAAACAGCTGATGGTCTTGGTGGACAGTTTAATGGTTTTTCTGCCTGTTGTAGAGAGTGTATGAGATATACTGTATAATTTTTATTGCTATTTTTTTTGTTTCTTTTAAAAGAAGCAATAAAAATGCAATTAAAAATCAGTATGAATATTTAATGGTGGACATACCAGACCACCTGAATGAAGATCACAGACCATTGGTGGTCCATAGTTTGGAAACCCCAAGCCTAGACTCTAAACATCAGCAACTGCCAAATATTATATATCATTTATGCATGCCCTACTCAATGTGGTGGACTGCAGACTGGTGTCGATTTGCAAGCCATCAGCTACTGGTCCCTGATGACTCTACCACAGCCCAGTTTGGGTGGGACACTTCAGGGACTGGTCACTGGCTTATTTGAATGGGGAGAGTTTACAGGTCCACCACATCAGACAGCTTGAGAAGCACTGATTTATATAGCCTATAGATGTGGACTGATCTCCAATTTACAAATAAACTACTATCAATTTTAGGAGGTTTAAGGTAATAAATAAATAATTTATCAGCACTCCTGGAAGAGTAAGAAAAAATAATTGTCACTGCATAACGCCAGTGTGCCTTAACATTTTTTTTATGCTGTACAGCTATAATGCAAAGAGGTTAAAAGCTTGTTTTAGAAGTGGAAGCAAGCTATAGTTGAAGACTTATGGCTTATTAGCTATTGGCAGTGAATTTGGTTTTGCTATTCTACCTGATGTCCAGCATTCCTCTTTGCTAACATTTTAGTACAAAGTGATGGAATGGGAGAGCAATGAACAGAGCAGGAGGGGAACATGACATCAGAAAACATAAACTCATCTTTCAGGAACAACAAGTTCTGACTGACCAGCTTAAATATGCAAGTATTAATCTCCAGGAAGAAATCATATGTGCACACCCTTAGTCACATGCCCTATTTCTTTCTCCAGCACTTATCAACCCTGCAAAAACCTCTTTGTAAAAGGCCTCAGCCATTGCATACTTTTAAATACCTGGCATTTTAGGAGAGATCTTACTCCACCTCTCTGCAGTTGACAGCAAGATATAGTTACGTTCTGGCTGGAGGTGTCCCAAGTAAAACATACAAAACCAATACTCTTATGCTGAAGCTACACAGTACAGCACAGGGCCTGCAGAAAACACAAACTTGTGTCCTATCCACACCTATTTCAGAATAGTTCCCATTGAATTCAATGCTATTTTCTTCCTAGAATTCTTCAGAAAAAGACACCAAAGGATTTATTATCAGTGTGCACTTAACCTCTGAAAATGCTGATCTAGGAGCAGGCCAAGGAACAGCTTTCCCCCCTCAAAGGTATCTTGTTGAAGGAGACCAGCCATCTCTGTACAGCCATTAATTCAAAAACCTGCCTCCTTAGTATCTCATGGTTTGATAAAATCAAAAGCCTAGTTTCCCCCATATTGTTTCTTCTCTAGTAGAATGCAAATTACTAAAGAACTCATCTAGCAGCAGCAAATTTCTAGAAAGCATTGCTCAAATGCCTAGGAATGATTCAAAAGAACCAAGTACCAAGGAATGCTTCAAAAGAACCAAGTACCAAGTCATATGAATTAAGCAAAAGGTATGCAGTGCAATGTGACTTAATTATGTAAGGAAAGCTATTTATAAAAAATAATAAATCATAGGGTATTTCACAATGGGGAGGGGGACCAAGGGAGAGGAAAGGTCACAGATCATGAGTTTTAATTTGTTTTAGTCTGTTCTATTGTGCTTTTAACTTTTTGTATGTTTTAAATTATGATAATAATTTTTACTAATAATGTCATTGTTTTATCTTTTTTGTAAACTGCTTTGAAGTTTTTTTCAACAATCAAGCAGTATATATATCTATATCTATATATATAGATATATATGAAATAAATAAATAACTCTTCACCATACTCTTTTTGTCACCTGCTAAAAACACTCTTGGCTGGACAAGCCTACTGAGATACTTAGACAGTTGAGGTAATTTTTGATTTATTTTAGTATTTTAAATTTTCTATGTATGATTATGAATTTTTCTCAATTTTATTGTTTTATTTTTTGCACCCTGCTTTGAGGGGGTTATTTTACCATCAAATGGTATATAAATAACCAAAGAGGAAATCAAAGAAATATTGGAGAATGTAAGCATATTCAAGTCAGCAGGTCCTGATGACATTCACCCAAGGATCCCATGGGAGTTACGCTGGTCTCTCAGAACCACTAGTAATTATGTGTGTGAACTCATGGAAAATGGCATGGTCCCAAAAGGCTACAGAGCAAAAGTAAAGTGCATCTTTTTTATTTTAAAAGGAAAGCAGAAAAATTATTCTGGCTTCTGCATTTTAAAATTGGAGCACATACTGAAGCACAGAGAAGAATATGAGTGACTAGCATTCAATGGTTATAAATTGTACTGACCCAAACGAAGTTGCTTTTTTAAGAAGCCAGACTGGATTAGGTAGAGAATAACCCACTGATATATCTTAGCTATGCCGAGGCTTCTGATCTCCGTCTTCATGACAACCACACCAGAAAAGTTATTTGGGAGGGTAGCAAACAAACAACAAACTATTGCAAGAGGGATATAATTTGTTGAAAAACTGCACAAAGAAATAAAATAGATCAATATCAAATTGTAAAGAGATTTCCAGCCGTGCTGGTAGTTCTCTCTTCAATTTCTTAATCAACACAGCAGAAGATGACCATACACCATGTTGGATCCAAAATAAAGGGATTGCAAACACTAAAATGTTAGATGTATCTATGAAAAATGTGAACAGCAATATGATAAAAACAAAAAAGTTGTATTTTTAAAAACAAAGAACTGTACAGAAACACATACAATACTGTGGGCAGGGGAGACGAGGGAGAAAAAATTTAACTGGGTGAACAGCTGCACTTCTAAAAACTTCAGTTTATAGGGAATAAACTGAATGAGTCAATGTGATGCAGTGGAACAAAATAGCAATGCCATTATAGACCACATTAAGAGCAATACTGTCTTTAAAATACAAATGAATAACCATAGCATTCTATTCAGCACTGATGAAGATCTCATTTGTGTTCAATTCTAGGCAACAGAAGTCAACAACAATGTAGATAAACTGCAAAAGATTGATAATATAATAAGAGCAGCTTTGCTGGATGAGAACAAAGATCAATCTAGTTTAGCATCCTGCTTCTAACACTGCCTAGTCAGATACATCCAGAAAGCATACTACCAGGTCATGCTGGTAACAGCCATCCCCTACTGTTCATCATCCCCCAGCAACTAGTCTTTATTAGTTTACTCTGATGGCAATATTTTCCAAGTAAAGAGATAAAGGCAAGTAGGAGAGCATGGGCCCTCCTACATTATATTCAAATTTAAAATGACAGCACTAGTTAGGAACCACCACTTTCTAACTGAACTAATACATCTTATGGCAGACTTACTTGGCAGTAAACCTCACTGAGTTCATTGATATTTATACCCAAGTGTGCATGTATAGATTTCAATCTAAATTCTTAAAAACCTTAAAGATCAAATTCCAGAACATTAGTGCATGCATGTAAACACCAACTTCTGGGAGGAAAAAGTTCTGGGCATTACTTGTTTTGAAAATCACTCAGTTGGAAAGTTCTATGCATACATCATGTGAATAAGACATAATAAAACACCCTTGTAGGTGTTTTTATTCTACTGTCGCCCTATCAATGTAAGGATTTTAAATTTGCTAGAGACTAAGGACTCATTATCATTTAGTTGGGGAACACACAAATGGCCTGTTAAAACAAACAGCAAAATAGTAATGGATTCTTACTGCAAAAATGGCATTTCTCTGAATTTTCAATCAAGTCTTCTTAAAGCTACTGAACTGTATCATTAGAATATTTACCAAAGCAGCAGTATGATGTTATTAACCACTGATAACTCATATATATGTGCATAACACACACATGCAAAAAGAAGAAAAAAATGCCTGCCAGGAAAAATACACTTTTTAAGCCACACCAGAACTATTTTATAACTCATTATTCCTTTTGCATATTTTTTTCAGAGTCATCACTACTTTCCCTAAAAGTATGCACTATCACAAGGAAACTTTTCTGCATTAAAATATTACTGTATTCTATCATTATTGTTCTTGAGATAGGTACAGAAGCATTTTTTTTAATCCAAAAAAATACAATCCACTGAGGATGTCAAATATATGGTCTTAAACTATAACACTGCTCTTTTCCCAATGAACATCTGGCACAACTTTCAGAACATTTATGACCCGACTTAATTTATTTCATAGCAGAAAAAACATTTCATGCATATTCTGCATCTACCCATCAAAAAAGCCTGTCTAGGGAGCAGGGGCCCCCATAATGGTTTTTCTATGGCAGAAGAATAAAATTCCCATTTTACGTGAAACTTGTTATATTGGGTCATATGAACATTACTAAATTCATAAAAATCCAGGAGGATTAGAAGCATAAAAAATGAGTAACAGCTTTCACATACCAATATATGGCATGGGATGACTGTATTCATTGCACCAAAGGAATCAATTTATTTATTTTACTTACTTATTCATTCCATAAAAATTTATACACGTATGATTATAAAAAATCTCAAAGTGCTTTACAGAAAACAAACTGTAAAATCAAGAAAAAAATTACAACCCTACATTAAAACCTACAAAAGTTAAAGTAATAAAACAGATTAAAATTATCTCAACTTTCTAAGCATTTTAGTAGCCTTGTCTAAACAGGAATGCTATTAGCAGGTGCCAAAGAGTATGGTGAAGGTGCCTGCTTTATCTCAATAGGCAGGGAGTTCCAAAGTGCAGCTGCTGACAAACTAAACAATTTTGTTCAAATAGCACTGAAACTACCGTACCTTTTTAAAATATTTAACCCCACTGCTTTTTAGGTATTAGTAACAATATACAACAAAAGATGTGAGCAAAGGACCCATACACTGCAGGAATACCGAGGGACACAATGCTTCTGTAAGCTATGTTAGCTTACAGTTAGAAGACTACATGACATTCTTCTGCAAGAACCGTGTTAGTGGGGGCCAAGTCACATAATATTAAAAGAAACTGTGCTTAATTTGCACTGACCAGTGTTGCTAAGCACAAAGCCCATAGGAAAGGCATTCAGCAGTTTTCAGGAACTAGTGGGAAATGCAGATAAATATCAGATTTACAATAGAATTATTTCTGGTTTCTTTGCTGCCAAGAGTAAACGCACATTGTACATAGTGTCGAACTTTATGAAACCGACGCATCCTTTCTGAGAGGAAGTGTACAGATTAGAAACATTATTTAGCCTTGTTTGCCCAACCACTGGAGAAATGGGAAGGTTCTGCTATTCAGAACTCTTCTTCCCCACCCCATTTTCTTTGGCACCACAAAACTAATGCCTTTACCAGTGTACCCCTTCTGGATGAAACTTCATCTACAGAACCAATATTGTTCATGTACATCACATACTTGCTTAATACACACACACACACAGAGAGAGAGAGAGAGAGAGAGAAACACTGTATTTTAAGTTAGATATATCTTACAAATGGAGCAGCTAAAAATCTACAATCTGAAGCATTTTGTTTTAAGACATATATGTATGCGTCTATCTCTGTGCGCACAAACAAACACAGAATGAATCCAGTTCTCAAAGTGAATATCCTTACATAGCAAAAACAGGATCATACAAACTCCAGAGAGATGCATCAACAGGCTTGGGGGGGGACGGGACCAAGTTATGTAGAAGTAAAAGCAAATTAGGAAATCCCTAAGGTGGGGGTACTCAAAAATCAGGACAACGACTGAGCATGCTCAGCAGCTATAGAGTGCAGACTGACTGTTGCGGGGGGGGGGGGGATACAAATCCTAGCGGTAGGCTAGAAAAAGTATGGTGGTTGGCTGACACCCTGAATGGGAGCACTCCATGCTGCAATCTTGTGTCTTCTATTTTAAGTGCCTGTCATAAGAAAGTGCAAGTGCATACATGGAAATAAGCATCAAAAGTGTAAAGGTCTTCCAAACACTGCTTCCATTCAAACCCTGCCTTTCATTCTGGAACAGATTGTATAGCACCCTATCTGTCAGAAAAGACATACTACAATCACAAAAGTCATTGTGGTATAGTTAGTGGCAAGGATATTTGACTTATAGGAGAGAAGACATAGCTTCAGATCTCTTACTCAAAAAAGTCACTAGGTGACCTTGGGCAAGTCTTTCTCTCAGCCTAATCTATCTCAGATTATATACTACTCTATACTGCTAAAGTATAGCCAAGTATTGACAGAAACATGCATTCAATTTAGCCAGTCCAATAAAAAGGCAGGTTATTTCTGGATCCGTTTTACACAGGAATTACATTTTAGGCTGGTCCAACCTAAATCCACAATACCAACACTTATAGGTTGATTTACATTCATCATTGGCCTTAATATTTTGAACTCTTTACGCAAGATAAAATTGTCATACTAAGAATAATATTTCATGATCTTCACAAATACAAAAGTTAAACAATCTTATTGAAGTTAAACAAAATCCTATTGAATCAGCTGGCCAACTATAGCCAAAAGGCAGTTCATCGCTGCACAGCAGCAGTGTTGCCATTTTGATTTTGCCTTTTGTGGTAGGATGCAACCGGCTATACCCATACAATTCATGATGCAGAGGGAAGCTAAACTCCCAAGACAAAAAGCAGGATCTGTCTCTAAAGGCTAAAAAAACATGAGAATCAACCACTCAACCACTCAAAAAGCACCTATCAAGACTGCATGACCAACAGTCAATTCAAATGGAAAGCTTTGCTACTGGAGGGGGGGAGTAACTACCTGTTGAACCTACGCTGAAAAAACAGAGACAAAGTCAAGGGAGTTCCATCTCTCTGAAAAACTACAGTAAGCCACTGAGCATTCCCAGAAGCAGAAAGAAGTCCAGATAGAGAAACAGTCTCCCAGAAGCCTGCATTATATTCACTAAATTAAAAAAGTATGAAAAAGATTATTACTAGAGATGATGTGTTTGTGTTATATAATCCAACTGACAAGGTACACTCCATTGCAGATTACCATCTACTTTGTGTGGTACTTGGCTCACCTCAAAGCAAGTAAAACATTATTTGAGACCCAAGACAGCAAATGAAAATGTGCAGTTAACACCCTGAATTTCTACGAATTTTCCATCTTTGAAACACTTGTGTTAACAAGGGACACTACTGACAGAGTAAGCCATTCTACTTTCTGCACACCATAATCTGGACATTTGCAAACTAAAATGTTTATTTTATTCCTAAACTCTTAGGAATATGGGTATAGGGAAATCCTGGGGTAGACTCACCTTTAAAGCATTTCTATGCAATATCTGAAAACCATGATATTTATAGGTATCCATTATATGCATCATTACTATGAAATAGTGGTTTTGTGTCAGAATTAGTGAAAATAAACTGTAGATGCCAAAAAATTATTTTCAGTGGGACATGGGAAGTGTACTCCTTTACCCACCAGGAAGGACAGAAAGTGGTGTTTTCCATGCTACTTGACAGATGCTGAAGATGCTTATGAGTGCACAGATTGACTTGTAAATTACAGATATTAAATGTATAATTTGTAACACAGTTCAGAATCTAAAGAGATTTAAAATATTGCTGTAAAAATGCATTGTTTCTCCTACATATAAGATAAAGCCTCTGATTAATCTATCCTCAATATGGGAGGAGATACTTTAAAAAGCAGTTTGAAGTAAGTTTATAAAGACAGATGCACAAGCATCAGAATATAGCACATTTTGCATTCATAAAGGCCCAAAGTTCAAAACCTAGAACTCCAAATAAAAGGTGTATTCAACAGTAAGGCTGAGAAACACCTTCCTGAGGTCATGGGGTGCCACTGCCAGTCCAAACAAGCAGTATTAATCTAGGCAGAGCAACGGCCTAACTTATACACACTCACAAAGTCACAATCAGGAAAAATTCAATGCCATTTTCAGTGCAAATTAATGTATAGGTTACTCACCATTTCAAAGTTTCTACTAAAACACAGATCATATAGGTACTGCTTGTACTACAACTATTACTGACGAAAAGAGGACCAAAAGTTGAGACTTAAACTGTGTACACAGTAACACTTGTTAATTGTTAACTTCATGTTTAACTTGTATAACTTTACAAATCTGCACATTCTATATACAACTTTCTAAAACACAAGTTAAGTATTTCCAGCTGAAGGGGATGCCATTCAAAATCACTTGAAAGAACCGAGGAAAACTCAAAGAAACTACAACAAGAATCAATCAGGTATTTAAGTTTACCACTATGTACCAAAACTATATGATCTCACACGTACACACAATAAGAGAATCTATTAACTATCTATTTTAATGACTTTCAAATTGGCAAAGTAGAGTAATTACACCTTTTGCAAATAAAATGTAAATCTTAAGGAAATTAAGGTAAACTCTACTACCTCTTTCAGGATCAAATATCCACTCTTATTCACATACTATGACTTACATTGTAATCATATACAGAGTAACAGCTAATTTTAAAAAAGCATGCAATCTTTCAGATTAGAAATTCTACCTATTTTAGGCTGCAGTCCTAAACACATGGACATGTAAACTGCATTGAACACAGAAGATCTTACTTCCATGAATATATCCACAATTACTCCGTTTATCGGGTATTTGAAGTGTACAGCAATTTAGATTTTGATAACAATGCTCCTCCTAAAAAGAGAGGATGAAAAGACAGATATACTACAGAGACAGAATTTAAAATATACAAAGTTATGTCTGAGAAATCAAGACGTCCCATTCTGTTTTCATTAAAGTTAGGTAACTAAATTTACAAAATCCAAACTACAGCACTGCCTTAATCATATCTACTCTGAAGTAAGCTCTATTTAATTCAATGAGACTTATTCACAGGTACGTGAGTTTAGGACTGAAGTCTCCCAAGCCCACTTACCTGGGAGTAAGCCCCATTACATTAGGTATTACATTCCACTGAAAGCAATGGAAGAGGAATTACAATATGTAATTCTAAGCATGTATACTCAAAAGTAAAGTCTCCCCAAGTTTAAACTAGCTCAACCAAGTATGAACAGGATTGCAATTAGCTGCAACTAACTTCTGTTTGATCATGTACACTGTCTTTCGTATTAGCGAACAGGACATATAATTACTTGTCTCATCAAGTTAAGTAGGAAGTACAATTTTCTACAAATGGAAGAAGTGAAATATTTCCAGGCTACATCCGAGGAAGAAATACCCATGCCACAGCACAACTACAATCCTTAGGTAATTGATTCCAGAGGAGTAATTCTGAAATAGGTATTTTCATTTATTGCTTTTTGTATATATGACTAAGAAATTCCTTGTGCAATATTTCTATGCTTTCCAATAGGTTATTTCTATATATGATTTGATTTAATTTAAAATCTATTGGCTTAACAAATGGTTTGGATTATTTTTGTTTGTCTAACAGCACAGCCATAGGTATGTTTTCTCAGAAATAACCCCACCTAAGTTCAATGGGACATGCAACATAACACTATACATATTTCCTTGGAAGCAATCTGTGTTCAGCGAAGCTTATTCCCAGGGATAAGTTTGCAACCTCAAGCTCTAAGAAATGTTGCTAATATTGCAGCCTAAGACAGTGGTGGGCAGACCTCAGGTTTGCAGAATCTACTTATTTTTTACCTTAACTCCAAGACCCAACAACTAGAGCCAGGTACAAAAGACATTCACTTAGAATTAAAGAAAAGGATGTCTCTGAGCAGCTACTGATCAAAAGAACCAAAAATGAGTTCAGTTACTTCCTACAAAAATCTATTCTTGGTTACCCAAAGGTTTGCTTATGTCAGCAACTTATTTGGGGAGGGGGGCACTTTGTTGTTCTTATTGTTAAACAATTTGAGACTCAGATCTTTGGATTATTGCAGTAGATCAAGAATATCTGTCAGTAGATTCTGATCTAACTTCTGCCTGTGCCTGGCCTAAGAGATTCATTTTAACCTTGTGATGTGTGAAGAGATTTCAACTTATTAAATGGCTGGAGGATTCTCCAATACACTGGTGACACTTTACTGTTCCAGTATCAAATATTTAACCTTTGGATTCTCCGTGCTACAACTTCACACACACTGTCCAACTGTGAGTTAAAAGAGCTGTCTTTCAATTATGTATTGGAATAAGAACTAACTAGTTTTCATTTTTAAATATTTTTAATGCTGTTAGCAGAAACACCAGTGGCAAGATAATTTGAATTTTCTTGCTCTATGATCCAAAATCTTACCATGTAAAAGCAGCTCTATTATTCATATATTTAAAATGATCAGTGATATAATTATCACTTTCATGCAGTGTGAATTGCTTGCTACAATATCAGCAGCACAAATATACTATACATATTTACCTGGCAGTAAGCCCACTGAACATAGCCGTACTTCTGAGGAAACATACACAAGTACTGCAAATGTGGTAAACTAATTGAAAGATGGAATGTAATTTGAGCTAATAAAAAAAAATTAAGTTTTGTTGCTTAAATGAGTATTTTATTATAAGAATATGTATCTTTCACCAATTAAGAATACCTAACATTCAAAAGATTAGAAAAACCACCAAAGGGTTAAGCAGATGTAACAAACCTTTTGGTAAGCAGTTCTGAACACTTGAGATTCCAATTAGAGAAATCTAGAGTAAGACCACAGAGCTTCTCAATACAAAATCTTTACAAATTTAACAGCCTCCCACCCCATAAAACCACCTATCTCATCAGTATTCCTTCTGAAGAGATATTAGCCTAATACTGGTATACAGTACTGAAAAAGTGTTCCCACTTTCATTGTTTCTCAAATTTACTAGGCTACAATTTAACACAGAATCACTTCCCTATAACATGCTGTTTCTATTGGGGGAGGTGAAAGAATTCACAATGTTAAACAATGTAGGCATTTGAAGATGCAACATAAACTACTGGATGAAAGTTTTGTTAAGAACCAACTTCCCAGTTCTAACTGCTTTGGGGTCATATTATCAATGCAGTTATTTTAGGACTGTTATAGAAAATTGTCTTCTCATCCCTATGTATTTAAAGTGATGCTGCCATCAACCATGGGTACATCAACCACACCAACACTTTAACAGAAAATAGTTACTGCAGTAATAGTTTGAATCTTATTAGGTACTTTTAAGTAGGACGTAACACCCCACATTAAATGCATGTTAAATAATGCCACGCAATAATTTTATTCCAAATGACCACTAATACTCTTTGCAATCATACTTTAAAACATATAAATAAGCATTAATCTATGTGGCATTATCATTTAGGAGTCTTATTTTACTAGCTATGATAAAACACAAAAATTGCAACTTATGAACAACCCTCAATCTACTCATTCTACAGGCAAGAAAAGGAACAACACTAAGTACTGTAAATTGACTCAGTGTGCATTTTCTATACTCCAAAAAGGAGCATTTTCCAGAAGACAAAAGGCATTACAAACTAACCAACCAGATCTTTGTCACTGTAACTGGTAAAGTCTTAAACAGACGAAGCTGCAATCCTAGATTGCACTACACCATGTATCACATTATACAAAAGACACTGAAAGAAACATGCTAGATAATCGCTGCATAATTCTGATGCAACAGCTGTATGTGCACTACTGCTTTCCACTTGAATTTCATCTCTGCCTTTTAGTGCCAGGCCTAGGCCTGAGCCTGCCAGATTCTAGCTGCTGCAAATCAGCGAGGGGGGAGGGGAGGCGAGGCGAGGGGGGAATCACAGCAGCTTTTTTGAAAGAAAGTATTACCTAATGGGGAGAGAGAAAGCGATGAGGGACAGGGGGACACAGGTCTCCCTTTGAGGGTGGGGGTGGGGAATACAGGGAGGGTGGGGGGAATTTAAGACATATGGGTTCCACCTCCCCTAAGGAAGAAGAAAAAATGAAAAGCGTCCCCAGCCCAGCCATGCTAGGCCTGCACAAAATTTGGGATACAGGTCAGGTCTAAATCGAAGCCATCCTCCTGGTATCGCCTTTTGTTCCTGCTGACGATCTCTTTGATGATGGCGGTCATGTCTGGGAGCCGGGAGCCGCTCAGGAACAGCGCGGATAGGCACGGCGGCGGCTGCAGGGCGCAGATGGCTCGGAGCCTCGGCGGAGGAGGCTGTTCCCCCACCTCTCCCCGCCGCCGGTGATGAAGAGGGCGGCCGCGGCGGCGACTGGAAAGCGATGCTGCTGCTGCTGCTGCTGCTCCTTCTTCGGGCGCTGCGAGGACGGCGGCACCGCGGACAGGGCCCGCTGCTGCTGGTTGCGGCGGCAATTCAGGCGAAGGCCCCGCAGCGGCACAAGGGCCCTGGCCAGAAGGCGGCGGCTGCTGCTGCTGCTGCTGCAAGGAAAGTCCTCCTGCCGCTGCTGCAGCTCCCGCCACTGGCGCGGCTCCCCTCAGCTCAGGCAGGCTATACCTTGAGCGCGGCGGCGGCGGAGGAGAAATGGGGCCCCGAGTCTCCTTAGCGCTGCTGCTGCTGGGCGAGAAAGAGGAACCGCCGCCGCCGCCGCCGCGCTCCCTTTCCCTCTCGCTCGAACGGCGGCGCTCCAGCACAAACGGTGACAGCAGCTCCGCGGCCGCGGAGGGGCTCTGGGCCCCCGGCTGGCTTCCTTCTCTCCGCGCCCCCCGCCGAGCACCGCACCCCGCGTGAACCGGGGCCGGGCGGGCGGGCGGGCAGGCGAGCAGGCTGAGGCTTTTCCGCGGAAGGCGGCCGGCTTGAAAGTTTCGGTGCTCCTTTGGCTCGCACCTCCGGTGGGGGGGGGGGCAGCAGGCGGGGAAAGGGGGGGAAGGAAAGGGAGGGGGAGGCGGCTGGGCCTGGAGGGAGGGAGGGAGGGAAGCGGAGAGGGAAAGAGCAAGCTCAGGTCCTGAGGGGCGCGCGGGGCTGGAGGCTGCCCCGTGTCATTTTCCTTTTCTCTGCTGCCGCCGACGTTATAGTTCCTTCTCCCTCAGTCCATCGGGGCGAGCGCGCTCCCTCGTCGCCTCAGCGCCAGATCTCTGTCACCGCGAGCGAGCGCCACCCCCCCTCCTCCCTCACACCGCCGCTCCCGCGTCGGCGTCGTCGCCGCTGCTGCTGCCGTCTCCGCCGCGCGCCCGGCTTCCACGAGCGTCACTGCCGTCAGTTCGTCCGACCGTTCCCCGGCCGTTGGGCTGTGGCTCCCGAGCCCCAGCGCCAACCGCCTGAGCTTCAAACTGCCATCATGGCTGCAGTTTCCGAGAGGAGGGGGGTGGAGGAGGAGGAGGAGAATGAGGGAAGGGAAGCAGGGAGGGGGGAAGGGAGAAGAGGGAACGGCAGCGAGAGAGGGGGAAAGAAGCGGGTGGGGGGGGAGAGACTCAGAGAGCGAGAGAGAAAGAGAATCGGAGCTACGGCACCACTCCTCGCTTAGGTCCTTCCGCCGTTGCTGCCGCCGCGTACGAAAAAATTAGTTCTCCACCGCCACATCACCGCCTCCTCGGCTCCAGCGAGCTCGCTGCGCGCTCTGGCCAAGTAGCAACCCCCTCCCCCTACCGCCGCCGTCCGGGTTCCTTATAGAGCCTAGCGAGAGGAGGTTTGGCTCTTCTCACACGGAAGGGTCTGGCCGAGACATAACCGATCAAACGGGGGGGGGGGGAGAGAGCGGGAGGAACAGGGAGAGCGCGCGCGCGCACACACACACACGTACTGAGTGGCGGAAGGATACAATAGACTATTGCCTCATTTCAATGACGGGCTAATTCCCTGCGGAGTCACGTGACGAGCGCTAGGAGCGGGGGGACTTCCCGCTTCCCTGTCTCCCTAACCACCGCTGCTGCCAGCCTCGACCGCGCTCCTATGCAGCGACGGGGCTTTTTTTCTTCTTCTTAAATGGTCAGGTTTTTTGTACTTTAGTAACAGGGACTGGAGATATTAGACGTTGGCCGTTGCAAATCTTGTCGCTGAAGTCCGGGCCGTTTGCAAATATGGTAGCCAAAGTGACGGGGGGGGGTGTAGCCTGACCTCGCCTGCTCTTGCGCTTTTTGCAGTAGTTTGGTTTTTGTAGAAATCAGCAGGTGCAAGTTTGCAACGGTTATCGCCTGATAACGTCTGCAGATATGTGCGTGTGTGTGCTTTAATGTTGGTAAAATTAACAGATTGGGCCTTGGAAATCTGGTTCCTTCAGCAGCATTGTTCGATAGAAAGCGGTGGGCGAAATGGGTGGCTGCGTCGTCCTTTCAGCCGGGGCGTATTATGTGCAAAGCTGAGCGTTGGATCCTTACAATGTGGCTCTTAGCCTCCTGCGTGGTGCTGGATCTTTAAAAAATAAAGTGTTCTTTCTCAGTCCTGTAGACACCTGTAAACTTTTAACAGGGAAGGGTTGCCTTTCGTGGCTTTGCGTGCCTAGTTGCTGATGTCACTCGGCGCTCAAAAAACTGACAGTAAAGTCGCCCTGGTCACAAGTGGCTGCAGGAAAAGAGGAGACAGGCCAGGCGAGTCGGGGCGATCGTGCAAGAGCAAGTAGTGATCAAAAGCAGCGGGGCGAATACAGGGAAGTGCCAAGAGCAGCCCTGAACGCGGTGGCCCCCAGGTGGCTGCAACGCAGCGCGAACTATCAGCAGCCACCCTTCGCTCCATGGCTTCCGTCTGAGCTTGGTCTTCAACAGTGAAGCATGGCAAGAAACGGATGCAGCGGTCGCCAGGGCTGCTGCGCCACCTATTGCCTTGGAAGAGGAAACCGCAGTTGCAATGAGCGCACACAACGCCCGCCCTCACCCCGCCGCTGTCCTGCTCCTCAAAATTCCCAGGGCCACCGGCCCAGTCGGCCCCACCCACCTCTTGTTAGGGCACCCAAGCTATGCTTCAGTGCTTGCACGAAGGGGTGGGGAAATACTCAAAGCCAAACAACAGCGAAAAGCAAAACTGATCACACACCTCTGCTTTTCCAACCTTTAAAAATGTTCTTCATTATGTGGACTAGAGAAGGCATTAAAATATTTATCAGTTCCTTAGGATTCCATGGTATTATGAGGAATTTTATCTTGCACATGCTGCAGATTGAGGGTTGCCAAGCGATAATTTTTAGCAAACTAGATCTTGTGTCTTTTACAGCACTGTACAGTACTTTGCTTTGCATCAGTTTACAGTCTTTCCCCCCCCTCAGGCTGATGAACATTTTTCAGCTGATGGTCCTTCACCATCTCCCTTTGTGAGGACAGATGGGGAGAATTCATTAGCTTTTCTGCAACGTTCCTGTCTTAAGTGGTTGTCTCATGCCTTGGTGCTCTGGTAGCCTGGCTAGTTCTTTGGTAATTTTCCTGCCTTTAGTGAATTTTAATGTATCTTTCTATCATGAGAATGTATGAGCACTTGGATTTTACTCGTTTTAGTTATTCTGTTATAACCTGTGGCTGTGAACCATTAATATGCACCCTTTGGTTTTCCTACTTCCCTTCCAGGAACTCCCTCATCAAACATCCCTAAAAAGCTTTTAAACTAACTTGAATTTTAAAAAGGCTAAGGTGCTTCTAAAAGGGTTCACAGAACACTCTAGAGAACATGCACTATTTTTAAACCCTGATTACTATCCTACCATTTTTATTACTAAACTCACATCAGAGTGTAATGAAGATTGTGATTTCTCCCCTTTCTCCAAAAGATGTAGAAATGTATTTTATTCATTTATAATAATGGTTGCAACTTCCTACCAGCTAATAGTTTGCTTATGGAATCCACTCCACTTGGGGCTCCGATAAAAGGGGGAGAGCACAGTGGCTTCCTAAACAAAACAAGTGGAATTGCATCTATTTCCTTATTTTGCACATTAGTAGCTATCTCATTGTAACTACTTTCACAGACTTATTTCACTTTAGAATGAAGGAGACACCTTTAGGACAGTAGATATTTAAGTTGATGCTACACCATTTATGAATGCCATGCCATGCCATGAGACTGCTTTGTATGACAACAATATTGCTGCACACCACTCCAATCCCCGAACGGTGCAGGATTCCAGGCATTCCAGGTTCCATGCTTACACGGGGTGCATGTTTCCTTTTGGAAATGAGGCATAGTGGAGACCGTGGTGTCTTTATGTTATGTGGTTTATTTACATATATATTCAGCCCAAGCCTGCAATGGAGGGGTTCACAGCATTAACACCTCAGAAGGGTCTTGTTTCTCCCATAGCCGCAGCCTTGCATTCAGCCACAGCGCTCTCTGCCTTCATCAGCCAGCAACCTTTTTTTCCTTTGGGTCACATTACAGCCAACTCTCAACTCTGACCTTGTTGTTTTCGCTATTTAAAAGCTGGAGGAAGGGCCCTACTCATTTGGTGTCTAGCACAGAGTCCCCCCTCTCCTTTGCTCTCTTAATGGCCTATCACTTTTCCTTTGCTCTTTTCTTAATGGCCCATCATTAGGAGATTGCCTGAAGCTTGCCTGGTTTATATTTTTAGCACTTTTGGATACAGGGATTTAAAAGGTCTGGCATCCAGTTTAACATCCCAAGCCCTGATTAAATTCTAACACTTCCTGGATCCATGTATTATAGATGTCTGGCACCCACAAACTCATAGCATTAAGCTCTCGTGAGGAGAATAGCTATTCTGAGTATCAGTCCACCAGTCTTTATTATTGCACTAATACCCCAAGTCCATTCTTACTGTCGTCAAAACATCATTGCTATAAAGGAATTGTTTAGACAATAACATTTGAGTTCGCTCACAGTCCAACTTTATTGGACTTGTAAGTAGAGTTCTAAGAATATTTTTTGGGAAAGCCCACGAACTTAAGCTCTTGAGAACTGCATGTAGATGCTACATGTAATAACAGGTTCAAAGAGAAGATCCAACTCCAACTTCTGTGCCTTGAACATATCATGTGAAATTGCTGTGGCGTGTACATAACATAATTGGAAACTTCATCACCATGCATTTCGGAAATAATTGCATGCTCACATACATTTTGTTTTTTCTAAGGCAACTTCAGCTATTCCTAGGGAGGTGTTGGTATACTTTGGTCTCTATTGTTCTCCTACATCCTCTCTACCTCCAGATGCTTACTGTGAGAATTGTGCAATTGTGTATTCATTGAAATCATTTGTACCTGCTTTAATTAAAAATGGTTTTGCATTTTCAAGGTTATTTCCTATCTAGGAGCCTCTAGAGACACATTTAATGCACGCCTCAGATTGCACAAGGGTAGAAAAGATTGGGAGGGGGGAGATTGCTTCACCTTGGTAACAAGGAATCGTTACGGGGCAGGAACTAAGGAGGGGGCAAGAACAGAACAAGCTGGTCACAGATGAGGCCTCTGGTGTCCCATTTGCATATTTTTGTCTACAAACATTTCTGAAGTGTTTGAAGAGGGGAAGCCCCTATTCACAGCCGTACTGTCTGATTTTCTTTGCAGTAACACAGCATGTTGACATCACAGCTCAAGCAAGGCAGTTCTGGTACATCATTTATAACTAGCTCCAAACAACCAGCAGGTTTCAGAGGGAGGTGGAATGCACTCCACATCCTCCTCAATGGTTGTATATGATTACTGCAATAGAATGAAACTGGCCTATACTAGGTGCTTGGCTCATCTGCGTAAGTGCTACATTGTTTTCATTCTTTGCAAAAACTCAGCACATCTACAGTGAGGATGTAAAAGTTAAGTAACCTCCTAGCGCTTGCTTCAGCCTTTCAGCCTTTTCAAAATCACTGTTAGGCCAAAATATGTAACCCAATTATTGCTATGTACACCTGTCTTCCCTGCTTTTTACCTCCCAATTATTTCCCTATGTAAAAACTAAATCCCAAAGCAAAAATGATGGAACAGTGCTACCAGTGCAAGCCATGCTAGGTAGCATGTTCCAAACCAGCAGCTGAAGACCGTTAACTGATAGTTAAGAAAACTGAGGTATAGCGAGAAAGCAAATACTTCAGAGACCTATAATGGGCTATATAGCCCGCCACTTGAAATCTGTCTCAGTACCCACATTAACAAAGGCAAATGGCTTTAATTTCTAGGCCTACTTAATGTTTGTCTCAGTTTAAATATATTATCATCCAACAGCTCAGCCTGTGCTGGACATTAGGTGCAAAACCATGAAACAGTAGAACAAACATTAAATCAGATGTACAGTGTAGGGACTTACTACACATACTTGCCTTTAAAAAAAAATAACTTTGCTAGGGGCAAAATTGTATCAACTCAGGATTTTCTCTTACAAGTCACCTTTAGCAGCAGCTATTTATATAGCAAGCTCTTCAGGGTAAAGAACACATCTTAATCTGTGTTTGCAAAGCACAGTGTAAATTTAAAGTCCCGTAAAAGTGGAATGTCCAGGAATAATAAAGCTGTATGAGCTTTATAATGAACTGTTTGCCTCTCAAGTGGGATGAAATAGAATCCTCCAAGCCAGTTTTTGTTTGGTTTGGTAACAGCTCCCCCATCATTTTCCCCCACCCACTTTACAGAACACGACAAGATGAGTCACACAACTCTCTTTTCGGGAATGTCAACAAAAGAGACTAAAGACTGTGCAAAATTACATAAGAATAAACTATATTAAATGGAAATTAGCTTGCCATTTGCAAACTGCAAGGCTGACAATTTTCATACAATAGTAAGACCACTGTAGTTAAACCAGTGTTTTTATTATTAGTGGAGTAATATGGAGTAGCCAGGAGTAGCCCTCCAGATGTAGTCTAGCAGATGTAGACCAGTGGTATGTAGGCTTGGTCGGATGGTAGGTAGTCCAACAACATCTATCAGTCTCCACCAAAAACAGTAAAAAGCCTGCCTGTTAAAAGCCACATCTTAACAAGACAGCAGAACAAAACAGGAAGGCTTACTTGAGAAGGGTATTCCATAATCCTGACATGGCAAATGAAATGGCCTTCTTTCACAAAGTCAATGGTGGAACCCAGTGCAGGATCTCTTGAGTTCTCAGGAATGAATTTATAGAATATGGTCCCTAGGCCATTCAGGGATTTTCCAGACACCTTGAATTAAGCCCCCAAACAAGCAGAAAATCAATGGAAATTACAAAGGGCCATAGTAATGTGCTCTATCCAAACAGCCCCAGACAAAAACCTGACAGCAATCTTTTGGACCTCATGCTTTTCAATGGCAGCTGCACGTAAAGTTTGGTAAAGGTGACTAGTTTGGAGTTTTTAAAACATGGAAAAGTCATAAAGGTTTATTTATTTTGATTTTCATATCCTACTCTGGTTTTGGGAGGTTGTGGGAGCTTATTACAGAATTAAATTTTATATATTCCACGTCTGTCACAAGACTCAAAACTGCAGTGTATAAATTATCCCAGAAGGGAAAGAGGAGACTAAAAGTTGGCCAAGGCCCAACTCTCATTAGTAAAGCTGCTTAACTAGTACTTATCCTAGTTCACACTGTGGACTCCATAGAAAGCTCCATCTTATTGCAGCTCAAGTAAACTAACAGTCCATCCTTCTGATTCTTCAAATTTCTTCCAATACGTTCAGTAAAAAAAAGACAGGTCACATGATTACAAGGTCAGAATTAAGCAAGCCTACCTGGTATGGGGAGGAAAGAGTTATGGTGGATGCACTAACAAATCTGAAATAGAATTGGGAGCAGGCAGTGTTTTTCCTCCCCTCCCCCTTTGCATCCGTGGGCCCCCTTCACTCAAAATGTTCCCTGCAATGGTCCCAGTGAGAGGGAAAATTAGTAAATCAGCTGGTACTTCCGCCCCCTGTTTCCCCTTCTCAGGATTGAGAGGACTTTGGGATCCAGCATTCCCTTTTTTTGCCATTACAGCATGACAGCAAGAAGGGTGAAGGGCAGTTCTGAACATGCAAGAGGGAGATTTCCAAGGACAAACGTTTTCATTCATGGGTCTCCCTCTTCACAAGCCCCATAGGATCGTTCTATAAATCTCCTATTTAAATAAATGGGACTTAACTTTGGCTGCATTGTGCCCATACTGTACATAATATTCATATCATAATATATAGCTTTAACAAGGGGATCTGCAACAAAAGTTGTTGTGTATAGTACTCCTATTCAGGGCACAAACCACTCAGGAAACCCATCTGCTGTGCCTTCCGCCACCCACGCTTCTGCTTTTCCTGTTCCCCACCCACCCAACAGACAACCGGCATTTCATAGCCACTGAGCATGCTCACTGAATTGGTATATTTGGGGTAGGGGGGCTGCCCCCTTAGGGTCTTTTTTCTAAGGGGGGGATGTTTCTGCAAATCTTGGGGCTTGTACAAGTCTGCTGATACCTCTCTCTTGTACCTGGATGGTGTCAAGGATCAACACTCAGAGAACGAGTTTGCTATTCATATATCATATGAATTTGCAACTAGCTGGTACATTGTAGTGGTCAGACAGTGTCAAATTCAGATCTGGGGGTATCTGGGTACATATTCCCACTCAACCGTTAATTTCACTACTTGATCTTTGGCCAGCCATTGTCTCTCAGCCTAACCAACCTCACAGGGTTGTTGTAAGGATACACTGGAGAGGGGAGGCAGACATCTATGCCACCTTGATTTTCTTGTACAGTAATAAAGAATATAAATATAAATAGGATTAATGCAAGAGTGTTGCAATAATTCTATAATTACTACCTAGTTCAGTTTGCCATAGCTTTCCAACCACTCAGAAATAAAATGAAGTGGTGACATACTGTTTTACAAATACATTCAAGGGCATTCTTCCACATGCAGGTAAATCAGAAGTTGCAGGTGGCCTACTTACAATAACATAGCTCCGGGTTATAGAGATAGGGAAAGCGAGCACAGCTGAACAGTTAGGAAAACACAGCATCTGGAACCATTTTATGCCTCATCTATCAATCTGCTTTATGGGACTGGAGAATTAACATTTCAAACCACACATCATTGCTTCATGACTGATATATCCCAGAACTGTGGTCATTACTTCACCCCAAAGCAATGCGGATGGACATCTGCAGAGGTCACATTGAAGGATCATGGGTAACTACCTTCCAATGTCTTTCAATTAAAAGTTGCAATAAAATTTTATATGTTATAAAGTTAGCAGAGACTGTAAGAAATATTCCAATATAACCCCACATTTCCACATCTCCAAAGGTCTTTTAAACATCTCAGTAAGCTTATATTTCTCAGTGACAGCAGGGGGGCAAAAAAACCCCATGAATACCTTCAGATGAATGCAGCAGTGTTTTTTTAAAAAGTCATTTCAAAGTTAAGAGTTTCTGCACAACTTAAGAGGCTTGGTGTCATACAGTGTACCTCTTGTATTATTTGATAATTCTACCCCCACCCCCTACCCCCCAAAAACGAAGACACATTTAGGAAGTGTTGTATTAAGAACTATTTGTCATGCTGGAACAGGTTGGCCAAGCTATAGGAAATATATTCGATATACTGCTTCATCCCCAATCCCAGCCCACTATTTCACCAATGTAGCGTTGAAGTTGGAGAAGGGCAGGATCTACTCTTACAGGGTTTTATGGTTCATTGACGCTGTAGAGATCTGCACAGTCCTGCATCAGCCACAGGGACTGGAGTTTCCAGAGAAGCAGGGCAGTCTCAACTCGCTCAGCACTGAATTCACCTTCACTGGCACAAGCCACTACTTGCATAACAGCAGCTTAGGCCAATAAAACAAGGTCAAGGTGCTACATAGAATGTTATCTCCCAACGAAAGGTTTGCAGAATGTAAGGGTTTGTCTATAAGGCAGCAAGTCACGTGTCAAAATTGGGTACAGTTGCAGCTGATCCCAGTAGTTATACTTGATACTAATCTGGGAGGAAAAATACTTATACCATAGGGACAGTGAAGTGGGGGCAAACAAAGCACCCACAAATCTGTAGACAGTCTTTTTCATACTAGAAAGTACTGATTATGTCATGGGGCAGTATTCTAACAAGTCCCGTCAGGATTTCCTATTGCGCAACAGAACTTCCCTTTCTCTCCTGTGGTGAGGCCTATGATGATAATGAATGCCATTGTTAAATTTTATGCCACATTTACTCACTGATCAATTTTTATTATTGACTCTGTGGGTCATTCTTCAACCTTGTATTGCCTGTTTGTACTTGGGAGGCACCCTGAGAATATCTTGGGTGCTTTTCAACTAAGTTTTACTCAGAGTAGACCCATTAAAATTAATGGCCCTAACTTAGCCATATTCATTCATTTCAATGGGTATACTCTGAGTAAAACATAGCTGATTACAGTGGTACCTCGGGTTAAGTACTTAATTCGTTCCGGAGGTCTGTACTTAACCTGAAACTGTTCTTAACCTGAAACACCACTTTAGCTAATGGGGCCTCCCGCTGCCGCCGCACCGCCGGAGCACAATTTCTGTTCTCATCCTGAAGCAAAGTTCTTAACCTGAAGCACTATTTCTGGGTTAGCGGAGTCTGTAACCTGAAGCCTATGTAACCTGAAGCGAATGTAACCCGAGGTACCACTGTACCAACCTTTATGTTGAAGGGAGGCATAAGTTAGGATTTTAGTTTATAGACTGCAGATTAAAGTCTAGCAAAATCAGCTTCAGCTCAACGTATCTCTGCAGAAGACTGACACATTAGTCAAACTTTAAAGATATTCAAAATACTACTGTTTTATGTCTGTGTTGCTCCCATACCTACTGTATTATTATGCGTGTGGTAGTCACAAGACCATTGTATTATGCATGTACAGATCACACATCCTTAACATGTGGCCTTGCTGATTTTTTTAAACCTGTTCAATGCACTGTGTAAATGTCTTGAAGTAGATTAGGTATAATGTACTGTGACTATATAAACAATCTAAATTTGCAAATAAAGAAGAAGGATGGGATGAGGAGCCAAAGCAAGAAAATGGGAGGTGGAAAAGGGGATTCACTAGTTAGTTTTCTCAACTGTTAAGACAGCAAGTGATTATACCACTTAGAAAAACATGGACTCTTTCGGTAAGGCAAGAAATATCTGAAATATTGTTTTTTCCCTTTTACTGTATCATTTACATACGGGCAGCAAAGCCGTTCAATCTTTCTGAGTTGTATCCAGGTAAGTCAGATTAGACACACTGATTAAGTTAGTCAAAGCTATTGATTTCAATGAGACTATTCTGCATGTGACATAGGCCGCAATCCTAAACCCAGTGATTTTTTCCTGCGGACACTCAAGGGTACGCAGTACCTGCACCTTTTTTCTGGAAGAAAAGCACTGGTTTAAAATGTGGCACTTAGTGTAACAACTTCATGGTGAGTACTGGCACCTCCCCCCCCCCGAACCCCACTGATTGCCTAAACCCCACTGGTTTCAATAGGACTTCTGAGTAGACATGATTTGGATTTTGCTGCTAGTTGGCTACAACACTTTGATTGTAGAAGCACTGCCATGAGTGCATCCATTTAATATTGTTGTACACCAACCCCAATCTCTGAGCAGTGCGAGATTCCAGGTGCTTACCCAGGGTCCATGTTTCCTTCAGAAATAAGGCATAGTGGAGACTGTGGTGTCTTTGAAAATACATGGTTTATTTACACATATATACAGTCAGAGCCTACAATGGAGGGTTTCACAGCAATAGCATCCCAACAGGGACTTGTTTCTCTCATAGCTGCAGCCTTGGATTCAAAAAGAGATCAAACATTACTCTGACTCTTTCTCGAGCTTGCTGCTTTACTTCTAGGTCACATCACTGCAACTCTCAACTCCAAAATCTGGCTTCCTTCTTCTAACTAACCACAAGCTGGGGTCCCACCCATTTGCTGTCTCACATAGAGCGCCTTTCCTTTGTTTCTTTTAATGGCCCATCACCTTAACACAGGAAGATAGCCTGGGTTATATTTTAACACTTGCTGGATCCAGGAGTTAGAAGGATCTTGCATACAGCCTACTTCCTCTATCCCAAACTCAATACAATATGCATATCCCACCTCATCTGATTTGTTTGCGACACCTCAGACTCCTTACATTAAGACAAGAATGAGTTGACAGAAAGTAGATTTTGATGGTGGGGTACCATGAGAATCAGGACCATGTTAGGCAAGTTCAGTGAAAATAGATTTCTCTATAATATCTTATTCTGATGGGTAGTTGTAATCTTTCCTTAAGATATATTTAAGATAGGCTACAATATTGCCAGGTAGAGTCTAGTTCACAGTAGAACAACTACAAATACAAATGTCCATATATTTGCATATATAAACATGCAGCAAATGGTGTGGACCTCTTGTAGAAAATCTATTTTTCTCTCATGATTGTGGAGAAATGGTAGGAAACGTTCACGAAACCCAATCCATGTCATTAGTCCTTATAATTTCATTCATTATTGGGCCCCACACCGTTAAAAATACAATTCCATTTTGGAACGTCATGCCTGTGCAATATACTGTGTAATTAAGATCATCCAACATGTTTGCTGGAACTGTGATATTTTGAAAGCAAACCAACTGTAAAATAGGGATTTCTGGAATCACATAGCACTCGCCCTGGGTGACATCTTTGTATCATGTACACTGTCAGGGTGTGAGACCACGAAAGCTTAAAAGGAATGAATTACTTCCTTTTAGAGACCAGTTGGTAAAGTATTGGTATTGCTCCTGGGAAATTTTGACCTAATCTCATTTCAGACAATGACTCATTTAGACAAGTCACTTTCAACCTCAGTTCCTTAATTTGGGTGGGGATTTGTAACATTAGCCAACCTCACCAAATTGGGGGTTTTTTTCTGAGGGAAAGCAATAAAATAATGTAACACTCTTCATAGTAGAATCCTAGGCACGATTACTTAGGAGTAAGTCCCAACATGTCCAAAGGAATTTAAGGTTGCAATCCTGTGTACACTTACCTGAGAGTAATCTCCACACACACAGCAGGACTTCTGAGAAAACGTACAAACAACTGCAGCCTTAGATTGTAGTGTGCATGTACAGGATTACACCCTTATCCTATTAAAAATATAAATACTTTGTGATAATTAGCATTTAACTAGAGCTCAACTCAATAGCCATACAGTTCCTACGCAATCAGATCCTGTGCCTCATTCTAAAATATATCCTCATTCCATGCAATTTATCACCTGACCTGCATTTATTAAGAATATCCCACTGAAATCTAGAGGATGTAGAAATGAACTAAGAACACCAAACCCACCCCCAATAATCTACTTTTAAAATCTGACCAAACTATAAAAGAAAATGTTTTTTTAAAATAATAACAACAACTTGCTTGTTTAATAAAAGGCAGAGTAGAAAATATGTGTGGGTTACATAGGGTTGCCACAGCTCCCCACCAAAATGCCAATGATTCCCATCAGCTGCCTGAAAGAGACCGCTTTTCACAACTTGGAAGTACAGTGAAAGTAAGAACTTCACTTGCTGAATTTCTGCTTGTCGGTGCCAGTGTGGTGATGTAGTGGTTACAGACAAGGTCTGGTTAGAAGACTAAGGATTGAAGCAACCCAGGTGTGATCCCAAATTCAGCCACGAAGCCACTGTATCGTGAGAGTTGCGAGAATGAAACGAGGAAGAGAAGGGGGAACCATATGGGAAGCCTCGACCTCCTTGGAGGAAAGTCGGGATGAAAATGATTTTTTGATATATATTTTTGCAAAGCCGCCCAGGGTGGCTGGGGGCGACCCAGTCAGATGGGCCCCGGGTACCAATGATAAAATCATCATTTTTATTATTATTAGCCTGAGCTCTTGACTTCCTGCCTCAAGAATGCGCGTCCCCACCCCGCAGCGCGCGCCCAAAGTCAGAGCAGGGGAAGTCCTAGTAACGAAACCACCCCCGGTCGCCGTTGCCACAGCGGCAGCTCTTCCCCCTTCCGTCTCGAGCGGAACCTTTGCGACGAGGCTCCGGGGCAGAAGCGGAGGGAATTCGCAAGCGGCCCTGGCGCAGGCGGGGAAAGAGGCGAGGCCTACAAGGCACTGGCTGCTGCTGCTTCTGTTGGTGCCGCTGGAAACCGCTTCCTTTCTCGTCGCTGGCTGGCCGGTCGGGGTGAGTGTCCCTCATGCTGCAAGCCCAGTTCCCTTTGGGGGCGCCGCGCCCTGCTCCTCCTTTGTCCCGGCTCCGAGGAGGAAGAGGAGGCGGCGCTGCAAGGGGAAAGGAAGCCGGGCGGGAAGGTCACCGCGAGGGAGCCCGGCGGCGGTGGCCGCTCCTTTCGCTTTCGTATTGCTTCTCGGGCTCGTCTGGACCGTGTAAAGCGCCTTCCTGTGCAACCTCACTCGAGAGGCCTCAGACCCTGGGTGACTTGGGGGGGGGGAGGCGAGTCTCTGGGAAACTCAGCCAGGTGAGCTGGGTATCAATAATAAATTATTATGATTATTAATATATTGTGTCCTCCCCCCTTGCCTTCCCTTTTGTGCGCTTGCCAGGCTCAAAGCCCACCCACCCCGCTTTAAGGTCAGTCTCTCTATTCCCGCTGACCCAAGGTCACCCCAGGCATTGGTTTCTCCATTTCCGCCCTCCGCATCCCTCCGCAAAAGCTGCCTGTACGGGTGTCGTTAATACCGCTCAGAGCACTTGGCATCTATGCATTGCTTTGCAAGCAGCCTTCCCCAGCCTGGTGCCCTCCAGAAAGTTTGGGCTACAACTCCTACCCTCCCTGACCATTGGCCATGCAGGCTGGGGGGGGGGGGTAAGGCGTCCCTGCTGGTAAACGGGCTCCAAGCTTTTATGGGGATTTATATGCCTTATGAGGAACGGCTAAGGGAGCTGGGCATGTTTAGCCTGGAGAAGAGGAGGTTAAGGGGTGATATGATAGCCATGTTCAAATATATAAAAGGATGTCACATAGAGGAGGGAGAAAGGTTGTTTTCTGCTGCTCCAGAGAAGCGGACACGGAGCAATGGATCCAAACTACAAGAAAGAAGATTCCACCTAAACATAAGGAAGAACTTCCTGACAGTAAGAGCTGTTCGACAGTGGAATTTGCTGCCAAGGAGTGTGGTGGAGTCTCCTTCTTTGGAGGTCTTTAAGCAGAGGCTTGACAACCATATGTCAGGAGTGCTCTGATGGTGTTTCCTGCTTGGCAGGGGGTTGGACTCGATGGCCCTTGTGGTCTCTTCCAACTCTATGATTCTATGATATACGAATAGCAACACCTTAAACTGGGCCCGGTAGCCAAATTGGCAACCAGTGCAGGTTTCTGAGGAGAGGTGTTGTATGCATGCATGCATGGTCTCATTCCTTTCAGTAATCCTGCTGCAGCATTTTGCAGTCATAGAAGCTTCTGGTCCAAGCACGAGGGACGTCCTGTATAGAGTGCATTGCAGTAATCCAGGCTTGAAGTAGCTAATACAAGAACTACTGTGGTGGTAGTTTACCAGTTGCAGCTAGTAAAAGGTCTTCTAGCCACCGAGGGCTCATTCATACTTCTGCTTGTTCTCTGCTTTCTAGGCACAGGTTCAAGCTGTTTTGCCTTTGCCATGCTGCTTCCTCCCTGTGGAACACACTGCCAATGGAAATTCAGTGGGCGCCTTTTGTAACAACTTTTAAACGCCTGTCAGGCCTATGCAGGCAATTAAGAGTACATCCCCCATAATTGTCTACTGAAGTTTGTTTTTAATTATTTTCCTTTTAACTTGTTTTCCTTTTTTATTACTTTATTGTATGGTTTAACATTTTTATATTGTTGTAAACCACTGTGATATTTCTATGATATAATGGTATATAAATATTTTTTTTTTACAAATAGCACTCCCTGCCTTGCTTCTCTGGGTGTTCAAATAGTTGTCCAAGGCTGCAGTCCTAACTCCCATTTACCTGGAATAAGTCCCATGGAATTCAGCAGGACTTCTGAGTAGATAGGGTTAGAATTGTGCTACAAATGTTGTAACGTGCTGTTCATCATGTCAGTGCTTCTCACTGAAGTTGGAGCTATCACAACGCAGGTTAATAGTACTGTGGTCCTGGCTCTTTTAACTCAGCTTTTTAAAGAAACTCAGAAAACAGGTAGAGAATGTCATACAATACCTATGCACTTGGCACATCTTAGCTAAGCAGCCTGGCAGCATAGGACACTGGTGATATGTGAAGTCTGTCACGTTCTTGATGAATCCAATTTTTGCGACCCTGAGCAGGCAACAAGAATTGTGACTACAATGCACCTGACAGGCCACAGCTTATTGATAATATTCTGTATATGGCTTGAGGGCTTCAGCTTTTGGCTGTATGTGGCATACTAGCTATGGATGCTTGACCACTTTCTGGCAGATAAATAGTACCTCTTGTAGTCTACTGGCCTTACATTTGATTTGTATTTGCTTCTATGTAAATGTTCCTATTTAAGAAAAGAGAAGACTTAAGAGTGGTAAACTTAAATGTAACTCTTTAAGTCAATATATAATATTGAGTGATGTAATTGGCTCAACTTTAATGAAACTACAGTATTCTCCTTTTCACTGAAGAGCTAGAAGAGGCAATTAGCTGTTTGCTGACATTCCCATTATGTTATGGACAAACATTTAGAGCTAAGTTAACTCAGTTGTTTTGAATGTAAGAAGAAACACTGAGATAATGTAAATTTCCTTCTGTCTTCTCAAATATCCTTGTTGTGGGCTTTGGTGCTCTTCGCAGGGGGGGACATTTTCCACCGAAAAAGCTATTTTTAGTACCAGAAGTTCTGCTTATAGTAAATTAAGCACTGTTGAAGGGGGGGGGGGGGGAATGACGCATGTTATGAGAAAAAGATAAAAAGGTTGTGTTTAGTTGACACAAAATCTCAGTTTGAATTAAGATTAGGAAATATGTTTGGGCATCAGGATTCAGTCTTTGTGTGGAATTGCTTTGCATTAGTTCAGAATGCAAAATTATCAGTCTTGTTGGTTGCAGGGAGGGAAGGGGGACCATAGAGCAGAGTATGAAGTAAAGTGACAATAGATGAATAATTCTGATCAATAAGTACTTGTAAGAAATGCAGGCATAATATATCCACAGGGCAAATAATCAATTTGACCCAAATACCAAGTTGACTGCCGTGTGCCTCTCTCCAGTTATTCTCTTCTGTTGCAGTAGGCTCTAGGTTAGCCTACGGCTTGAAGCCATTGATGTGTTTTAATTGCAATCATTAGTTGGAGCATAAGCTGTATGGAAGCAGAGTGGAAAGTGAGAGCAAAGACTCTTAATAGGTGCCTTCTTTGTTTTTTTTGGTCTTCAGCTCCTTCCATGTATGTGAGATTTGGTTGGAACTCCATCCACGTTGTATGACTTTTTTGTACTGCCTCTGTCCCATCTGTGGTGTAGTACATTTTTGTATCAATATCATATATGAAGGTAATGCATTCTCATGTTTTATCTGGAGGATCCATTCTAAGGGCAATGCCCACAGGTCCCCAAAATTATGTAGTTCTGGGTCCATGTATCAGATCTGGCTCCTGGCAAGAGTTTGTACCTGAAGAAGGGCTGAAACATTTTGTGTGTGTTCAACTGATGCACGAGTCCTTTTGGACCCAGAAAAGGGTAGAACAAGGGGTGTAGCAGGCTTATGCATGCTCGGCCAACACATGCAGGAGCCAGGAATGGAATCCCCATGCAAATTAGTTGCCACCTCTGTTTGTAAAGGCAGTAGTAGAAAGCAGCATTTTCACAGTGCAAGGCCTATGAATTCAGGTGATGTTTGCAGTTTGCAATTCCCTCTAGTATCCAGAACTTAGCAGCTGTAATTCTTGCTTGGTGCGTCTAAGGCTGAGGACATTCTGCAGGCTTCATACAGTGGTACCTCGTTTTGAGTCTGCCGCATCGAGTGTCCATTTTGTTGAACATCCGCAGCAAACCCGGAAGTACCGGAACGGGTTACTTCCAGGTTTGCCGCATGAGCAGAAGCGCAAACCGCTGAGTGCGCAGAGCGGCGCTTTGCCGTGTGTCCTTTTCGTCTAGCGTCCGGGGCTCCAGAACGGATCCTGGTCGCAAAACAAGGTACGACGGTAGTGGTATAGACTGTTTTTAAATACTTAAATACTTAAATATCTTAAGATGGGAACAGTGCTTCAGATGACTGCAGTAGGAATAAAATAGGAATAACGACGCATGAGCTGGACACATCAATAGTCTTGCCACTTTGCCAGTTAAACACAATATGAAAACACCCTTTTATAAGAACTTTCTCTTTCCTTTCTTTTGTCGTAGGTGAAACAGGCAAAATGGTACATGCTGAAGCCTTCTCTCGTCCTCTTAGTCGGAATGAAGTTGTAGGTTTAATTTTCCGATTGACAATATTTGGTGCTGTGACCTATTTTACTATTAAGTGGATGGTAGATGCAATCGATCCAACAAGGAAGCAAAAAGTAGAAGCTCAGAAACAGGTAGAAGCATATAATAAAATATTTCTTCTTAAATATCAATTATTCAGAATGTTCATTTTGGAGCATAAAAGCCAAGTGGGAAGGCCAAGTGCTCAAGGACGTTTTCTAAATCCTTATTGTTGTCATTAATGCCTGCTAATATTTAGACTGGGAGTGAGGAACTGAATCTGGCCAATGGTGGGCCATTTTTAGAGGAGGTACAAACTAGTCAATCATCTGGTGTCACTGTGGTGTCAAGTGACCAATTTTCCTATGTGCTGTAGTGAATTAAGCCACGCTAGAAAGGAAAATCCAAGCCCAAACAAACAGGGCTTTAAAGTGACTGCCAGTGTTACGCTCCACTTCTTGCTAGATCTCACAAAGCTTAAAGTCAGTACCTGTCAGCTGAGAAGTTTGGAGCCTGGACCTACTCTCACTCACCTTTCACATCCCTGGTTAGGATTTTTTTAAGGAAGAGGGTAAGCAGTAAGGCACTTGCCTGCTTTCCAGCTTGACTTTCATGGGGCATTTCCTCAAATTTGCCCTGAGCAAGTGGTGGCAAAGCAATCAGCCCCCCGCCCCTTTACCAGGTCAGTCAAGCCACTTTTTGCTATGCCCGCTGCTCAGCATGGTCTGAGACGCGAGAGCACATTTGATTTGCTGCCCCCCTTCAAGCTTCTGGAATATACTTGCCACATTTTTTGGATTTGCATCACTAAAGGCGGAAGAAGGAAGGAAAAGCAGAAGCCAGTTTTACACGCACACAGTGCCTTTGCTAGAAGCCTGATCTGCTTTCCCATGAATCACTTCCCTCTTTTTCTAATCCACACACAAAAAAATCATGAACCTGCATACGCACACCATCTAACTGATACAAAATCAGCTGAGGAGCAGGAAGAGGTGTGTGCATCTTCATCTTCATCTACATCTTCACATGTAAATGTGAAGTGGCTTCACCCACCATGGACATGTGGCCAACGGCCAACTAGCCATGAGTGAGTGAAGCCCTAGGGCTATAAATGGTCCTAGGTTCCTGGGCTAGTTAGAAATATAGGAAGAGGAGTCAGACCATTGATCCATCTATCTTAGCATTGTGTGCTGACTTGCAGTGTCCTTTCATACAGGAGTCTTCCCAGTCCTACCTGGAGATACCAGGGATTGAACCCAGGACATTCTTCACACAAAGCACTTGCTCTGCCACTGTACTATATCCCTTACCCAAGCGTTGATTTACGTCTGCCCTGCATCAGTTGGTCTTCTTACGTGGTTGTTGCATTGTTCCTTTTTTGAAACCACAGGTGTTTTGTTTTGTTTTTTGCTGAGGAAATAATATTTCCCCCAATAGTGTATGTTGCTGTTTTAATTCCTGCATGAAAGTCAGCTGAGTTTTTTGTCACAGCATCTCCCTCGAATATTGTTCGTAAACAGGGCAATGGAAATTTGCATCAAGGCTGTCCCTCCCCCTTTTTCCCCCCTCCTGCCCCAATCTGTTATGTTTTGATAGGATGTTGTGCTGCTGCCTTACTCTAACAGTAGTAAAATGCAATTGGGGCTTGCCTTCATTTATCACAGAAGAAGACCCTGAGACACTGGCCTCGTTCTGTTTACTTAACCTGTTGGACAATTATCAGATAACAGAGGAGTCACATTTTAACTAAAAGGGGTGGGGGTGAAGTCACGCTACATTCAAACAAGTGAAAAATTTGACGGTTCTGTGTAAAGATCTTCGAATTTCAATTCTTTGGCTGTCTGTGTTTTCAAGTAACAACACACCTCCAAATTATTAACTTTAAAAAGTGAACGGTGTAATGTTACTGAATGTTAACTTTTTAAAAAAAACTCTTTATAGGCAGAAAAGTTAATGAAGCAAATAGGCGTGAAAAATGTGAAGCTTACAGAGTATGAAATGAGCATTGCTGCACATCTCGTAGACCCTCTTAGCATGCACGTAAGCATCTCTCTCACTTTTTCTTACTCATTTAGAAAAATGGTGCTTCGGGGAGATAGTAAAGTGTAGTATTTGGGATAAAACTTTGTAAAATGCAGCTGCTGTTACTCATGCAGGGATTACACTCTAATAAATTAAGAGTCTTCCTAACTTAGGAAACTTCCAAGTGTTCCTGACTGTTTTCTAGCAGGAAATCATCTTCTATGTTTTCCAGAACAAGACATGGGTCAGGAGACTTTACTTCAGGGCCAACTATAATCTGCTTTGCATATCACAAAACTAATTATAATTGCAGTCAGATCTGTGCAATACAGATAATGTGATCCTATTCATGTTTACTCGGAAGTTAGCCACACTTAATTCAATGAGATGATTTAGGATTGCATCTTAAATTGACTTAAAACATGATAATCAAAAAAGTAATACCACAGATCTTACTGTGGCTCCACTCTTATCTGCTATATCTGAATACACACAATTACAGATAGCCATAAACTTCTTTAGCTGAGAATGTGACTGTTTTCTTACTTGATGATGACTGTTTAATATTGTATTTGTGCCTCAGGTAACATGGAATGACATTGCAGGTTTAGACGAAGTTATTACAGACCTGAAGGACACAGTAATTTTGCCAATCAGGAAGAAACATCTGTTTCAGAACTCCAGACTCTTACAGCCACCGAAAGGTAAGTATGGAGAGGTCATAGAGGATGTTTTCTTGAAACTGGCCATGGTAGATTTCACCTGCATTCAGACACTTGTATCTCATCTTAATAAACGAAGACATGAACAAGCCTTTTCAAGCACACACATAGAGCCCATTTTCAGAGCAAGTGAGCAAATGAATCAGGAAGTCTTCTCTTAACTACAATTTTCTTTCTTCCGAACCAGGAATCTGGTTAATAGCTTTGGCATGAGCCATGATTACCAAGCCATTATTATGATTAACACTTGCACTGATTGTACATAAATTAAAAGGTAAGATAGACCCTTCCTGCAGGCTAGTAATCCAATAGACATACAAAAGAAAAAGAATGGGAAGGGAAGAGAAAAGCAGGCACTAGAGCAGCTGTTCTTTCACTGGCCGGTGGAGTGATTGTTCTGCCCCTTGCCATGATATTCTTCCGGAGAGGCAGGGGCTAAGATTTCAAATATTCAATTAGTAGTAATCAAAAAGGTTTAAAAGATGTTTCCTTAACAGAAAGCAAGAACCCTTTATGTTGAGAGTTGCAGAACCTATATTTCTTCAGGTGTTGCTAGACTACATTTCCCATCACCCCAGGCTGGCCGGGGCTGATGGGAGTTCCAGTATAGCAATATCTGGAGAGCCGCAGGATCCTCTCTTACTCTATGTGAACAGAAGAATGCAGATTGAAACATTACTACCATTTCCTATGAATCTTGGTGAAACTAAGGCACAACGCTATGTGTATTTACATGAGAGCAACTTCCGGTAAACTCAGTGGGATTTATTTCCAAATACACCTTTAAATGCTAAGCTATATGGAACCAGTGCTCTTTAACTTTCAGCTGAACAGATCTTAGTGACAGTTTATGCCTCTGTTGCTCCCTTTTTTCTTCCATTGAGATCACTTTTGTTTTTACCAGAAAGATTGTAGCCTGGACAAAGTAACATGTTCAGGATTCATTGAGTATGGGAGCCATATATGAATGGCGGTGCAAATCTTGAGTATCCAAAGGCACTTAGGAGCAATTTTATTCATAGCAAATGTGACTCTGTTGGTGTTCATGCTGTGTCTGTCAGACCAAGCGGCAATAAAATGTTAACAATGTGTTGCTTTTTAGGAGTACTTCTCTACGGCCCTCCAGGCTGTGGTAAAACCTTGATTGCCAAAGCTACAGCAAAGGAAGCAGGTTGCCGATTTATTAATCTTCAACCCTCCACACTGACAGACAAATGGTACGGGGAGTCTCAGAAGCTGGCTGCAGCTGTTTTTTCTCTTGCTATGAAGCTTCAACCTTCCATCATCTTTATTGATGAAATAGGTAAAATGTGTACTTTCTGTATGTAGTCATAGGAAAATATAATTGCATTGAAGTTTTAAAAATGAAATGAATTTCATCAGGTATGCATGCCTTATTTGGCAAAATATCAATGTTAAGAAGGCAGTCACTCTGAAAATAAGGAAATGCTTGGTAGCACAAGTTTAACTTGGTTGTAGCCAAAGATCTTTATTGCTAATGCCAAATATATGTGTACTCAGTATCTGGTGTTTACTGCAGGAAGAAATTGAAAGGTTTTCTGCTTTCATTTGGATGCAGATATTGATGATGTAACAGAGTTATCTCATCCACTTCAACCTTCATTTACACTCACTATGAAGCTCCAAATTTCAAAAGTAATGTACAAATTAAACCTATTTAAATTTTTGCATATTTTAATTGTTTAGCTCTTAATTTATTATTTACATATTGCCAATTTGGCTATTCCAGGAGCTGAACAATTAAAATATGGTGGGGGGAAAATTAAAGTAACGTTTGCCTAATGTTGCACTTAGGTGTGAATATTATATGTTGTATGCCACTTAATTCTCACAAGAGTGAGGCAGGAGGCATGCTAGAGGGGGGAGAATTCTGGACCAAGCAAATATAATTTATTTGCCCAGAAGAAATCAACAATAGTTTGTGTTAATCAGTTTAGTACTGTACATTTGCATGCTTCATTCTTTGTTGAACTTGCACTTTTTCATTCACTTTTTAAAATAGTAGTTGTGTGTTGGCAGATGAATGTATTGTTTAGGAAAAATAGTTGGAGGTGATGCTACTTAGAAGATATGACAGATTCTTCTTTTTTATGATGGCACATCCAGTTCTCTGAGAGACTAATCCTTTTCATCTAGAAAAATGAACAGCATTAGGTGAGGCAGCTTGTATTGCAGGATCTGAACAAAATTCACTTAGTTTGACATTCCTTGCAGTCTTCTCTCCATTCTTCCCATATCATAGTCAGAAGTGGTTTACTCTATGGCAAGAGAGGAACTGTGGGCTTCTTGCTTGAGAAACACCAGCCAAGACCACCCCCCCAAAGTATATAGAACTAGTTGTATGGTTTCTGGGAATCGTCTAGTGTTATGTAGTTGGTGCATGTTTATTCAATAATGTTCAATACAACAGCGGTAGCCAGAATAATAAGATAAAATAGCCATGAGCACACACTTAATTCAAACGCTCTCTTAAAATTCAGATTCCTTTCTACGAAGTCGTTCAAGTTCCGATCATGAAGCCACAGCTATGATGAAAGCCCAGTTCATGAGTCTCTGGGATGGCCTGGACACCGACTATAACTGCCAAGTAAGTAATAATTTTTAAGAGAAAAGGGCAGAAATTTATATGCATAAAAAGGCCAGGACAATTTAAATGCTGAAGAGCAAGGACGTGCAAAATTCATCCGTTTCTGCTAGCTGCAGCTAAACTGGTATTTTATTTTACCTTTTTGCCGTTCTTTGAGCTCTCTTTTCCTTGAGATCAAGGAATTAACACCAAGGTTCACTTTCCCATGTGGAGGTTTTAAAAGGTTGGAAAGGAATGCCCCTCTCAAGGCAGCTACACAAGGCAGGCTCCTGGGACTTTGGCTTCAGTATCCTGTAGACGGCCACCGATCTTTCCTGAGATGATTGTCATATTGGGTATTTAATTGGATTCACTCTTACTTGGCTTGGTCGTGTGTGTAAGGAAGCCTTACTTCATTCAGGAAAAGGGTAGATGACTCTGGCAGTTGAGATCTGTATCTCTGAAGCATCTCAGATTAAGAAACTTGAGGTGGTGATCTCATAACCACAGAATTTTGTGGTTGCCACCACAGAGATCACAGAGGGACAAGGCCTCAAGTCAGCTTTGCAGGAGGGAGATTGGCGTGCAAGTTACAGATAAAGCCTCTCTGTCCAATATAGGCTTACAATAGGAAGCCTCCAAAATTTCAATGAGATCTCATATGCTCAGAGGCTCTGGTGATATCTTTGGCTCCCACTACTAATGACTAGTGTTGTCCTGTTGGCAGGCCAGTACCTCCCGTTCTCCTCTGCATAAAGGGGAATTCTTTTGGCATGGTTTGTCTTTTCAACTCTAGAGGGCAGTCTCTCTCTTTCTTTCTCTCTCTCTCTCCCTCTCAGAGGAAATACAGCAATATTTCGAAGCAGGGCTCCTTTAGACATTGCATTTTTCTCTGTATAGGGTTGTCTGTGGCACAAATGTGTGTTTGTCTCATTGTGGGTGTTGTACAAAAAGTGATGATGCCTGGAACAAATCTAAGCCAGTGGCATTTGCAGGGCAAGGGTACAAGACTGAGAAAGCAGTATTTGAGGATGAATGTCGAACTAAATGAATTAAAAAGAAACCCCCACTCCACAAAAAGTCTTAGTATTTATGCTTGGTCAAGTTCAAGTTTGGGAAATGGTCGCTGGGAGATACGTAACCTAGAATGGTTAAATATTACTTTGCATCAGTTGTAGATGTTGAACATTAGAACTTTTCATTAGAGCTATTTTATATCTCTGAAACCACATGCAACTTTGAAAGTGTGACAATTGACTCCAGATACCAGTTTTGTTACTAACAGATAACTTTTGGGGTGGAAGGCTTCTAAGACTATTCCCCAGCAATTTATTGATGGCATCTTTAATCAGCCTGTTTCTTTCATTGTTTAGAGGAAATATGGTGGTATTTTCTCAGGTTTTTGAGTCTGACCTATTTTGCTTCATATTGGGCAGGAGAGCTTTTTAAACCAATTACACCAAAGCACTTTAGTACTTGGGGAGAATTCTGGAATATATTATGGAACATACTGCTTCATAAAGTACATTGAGCTGAGCCAAACCTTTTAGAATCTCGATTGTCATGCCAAAATTTGCATCTTCAGCTGCGGTGAACTTTTTTTGTCTTTCAAAACAGGAAGTGTATCTCTACTTTTCACCCAAATCCTGGGCACTAATCACTTTTGGTTTTAAATACTCGTGGGAGCTATATATTCCCTGAGCTTGTGTGGCCTGTGTTGACTTCTGATTCTGATTCATCTTGCAGCAAAAAACCTTTCTGCTCTTCCTTCCTTTTTTGACTTCTTTTAGGTGATAGTGATGGGAGCTACCAATCGCCCTCAGGATCTTGACTCAGCTATTATGAGAAGAATGCCGACACGATTTCATGTCAATCAACCTGTAAGTCATAGAAGATTCACAGCCGTGAATTGTATGGCCTGACTCCTCAGTTATCTGTTGACCATTATTATTTATTATTTATAGCTACTTTTCTGACCAAAGGATCCCTAAGACAGTATACAATATACTGATAAAAATGTAATACAATCTAGGAGTTTAAAAAAGGTTAAAGTTCCTTCCCCTAGAGTTTATTGTCCCAGCCAGTCCTAGTTCTTCCTTGAAGAGGGAAGGGAACTTTGGGCGCTGCTAATGGGGGGAGAGTAAAAGCCTATTGCTTCAAGGGGTAGTCCTCACTTACTTTTGAAGATTGCGAATACATGACCACTCTGCTGTCCTTCTGTAGCCCCAGTGACACGAATGGGAATTGCACAAGCGTGATGCCGTGCCATTACAGCACATCAATTTCTGTTTATCCAAAATCAGTGAGAATGCTGACACCCTGTTCTTTGTAACAAATGTTTTGTTCTCAATTTAAAGGCACTGAAGCAGAGAGAGGCAATCTTGAAGCTGATTTTGAAGAATGAGAATGTAAGTCGGTTGTTTCTTATGCAGCAGAACTTGGAATGGTTTGCATTATTGGAAGGGCTGTAGGATCCGTAATGGCTTCAGCCAGCTATTGCATCCCAGTCACGGTGCTTAATTTTCTCTAATGGATGCCGGTTAAGCTGAAAGGGCACAGCTTTCACTGTGGGTTATACCCATAGCCTTTTGTTGTTGCTGCTGTTTGCTAAATTCCATGTTGGAACAGAATCGGTTGTGATAACGTTTCTTAATCCTCCTTCAATCTGAACCGCTGTTAGAACTTGGTAAAATGTTTTCAAGGCATTCATATGCTGCTGCTTGTTTGCTGGTAGGTGGACAGGCGTGTCGATCTCCTTGAAGTTGCTAAGGAAACAGACGGGTTCTCAGGAAGCGACTTGAAGGAAATGTGCCGTGATGCTGCGCTGCTCTGCGTCAGGGAATATGTTAATTCAACATATGAAGACAGGTAACTTTCATTGAAACTACAGAGATTTTTAATATGATCTCTAACCCGGTGTCTATCTTTAAAGTGGTTTTTTAAAAACAGAAATCATAGACTCATAGCATTGTAGAGTGGGAAGGGGGGGAGTACCAAGGGTCATCTAGGCCAACCCCCTGCAATGCAGGAATCTTTTGCCCAGTTTGGGGCTCAAACCCAGGATCCTGAGATTAAGAGCCTTGTGCTCTACCGACTGAGCTATCTCAGGATGTTGTATTGGGGAGTACAACTTCACATTTAGTTAAATGTACACAGAGTACAAAGGGACACGGCTGGCGCTGTGGTCTAAACCACAGAGCCTAGGACTTGCCGATCAGAAGGTCGGGGGTTCAAATCCCCGTGACGGGGTGAGCTCCCGTTGCTTGGTCCCTGCTCCTGCCAACCTAGCAGTTCAAAAGCACGTCAAAGTGCAAGTAGAGTACCGCTGCAGCGGGAAGGTAAACTGTGTTTCCGTTCGCTGCTCTGGTTTGCCAGAAGCAGCTTAGGCATGCTGGCCACAAGACCCGGAAGCTGTACGCCGGCTCCCTCGGCCAATAAAACGAGATGAGCGCCGCAACCCCAGAGTCGGCCACGACTGGACCTAATGGTCAGGGGTCCCTTTACCTTACACAGAGTACAACAAAAATGGGAATGACATCCTTCCTATCCCTTCACTTTCCCTGGTGGGATCCGTGTGCGCCTGAGGCAGGAACAGTGTGCACATCTCTCTGCCTATGGGAAGCAGAATATTCACTAATTCCACATTGGACTTTACAGAGAAGTTCAAAGAACAGGAAGTGAGAGTCATTCAAAGCACTCACCTTTTATATGTACCGTGTTCTTTGTGTGTTTCCTTACTGAGGATTAAACTACCATACTTGTGTTGCACAGCATTTAAATCCTCTTCACGCTTTTTGGGGTTTTTTTAGTAATGAAGAAGATGAAATTCGACCCGTGCAGCAGAGGGATCTGAACCGGGCAATTGAGAAGATGAGGAAGTCCAAGGATGCTACAAATCAGAGTGTTCTAATGCATGTTAGTTTAGATTAAGGCTAAGGAATGCCCTCACACGGTCTCATTTGGTGACTGTTTTTTGTCGTTTAGATAGTGGAAATGAATTGGAAGCAGAAATATCCTTTTAATAAGTGTTGACAGAATTGTTTTTTTATATGCAGATATCTTAAGTTATTGAAATCTGATAATATTGCAAAATTGGATATGGCCTCTGTAACAGATCATGACATGGGAGAATGTAGTCTAGCTCGAAAACAATGTCTTGCTTCATGGTTTCAGCCTTAAAAGCCTGTTGGTTGGTTCAAGTATGGCACATTGTTTCTTTGGGGAGGAGCAAACTCAGTTCATGTACATATATGTATGAGTGTGTGTATGATATGTATATATATATATATCCACACAGTTTTTATATATAGACATAATGTGTAGATAACGAATATGAAAAGCCTTCTCTCTCTTTTTTTCTTTTCCCTCTTTTCCCTTAAAAAAACCAAACTCATTTTCAGGATCAAACCAAGTCAGGGGATTAAAATATTTCAGTAAACATCTATTTTTTGTGTAGTACCTTAATATAAAGGAAGAAAACCCGCTTCTGGAAAATAAATTTCTGGAATGCAGACAAATTTGACTTCTTCCATTTAACTTGTGGTATCCGCTGGTGCCAATCAGTTTAGGTAGAAAAAACACATAATGCCTCGTGAACCTTTTGATTTTTTATGAATCCAATACTTGTTTTTTTAATAACTTTTTTTATATGGTCACATGATAAGCATTACGGAACATCAGTAACTGCATATTACCAAAATTTATTTTTCTATTTCTGAATTTCTGAACTTCAAAGACCTGGAGGGCTCCTATTGCTGAAGTTCCTTTATCACTGTAGGACTATATTGTCTCACTTGCTGGTATCTATAAGTGGTCACAACATTATAACATTAAGTACAATGATCTTAAACATTTGCTTCATTTAATTTCTCCCCTACCTTTGCTCCATTGAGAAGCTCTCCACAGGTCTTCTAGTGGATAGAGGGAATTACATAACATTCAGATATTCTTCAGTAATGGTGAGGTGGCATTTCAGCATTAAGAGTAAAATTTTGTTCACCCTTAAAGCTGTTCAATGGTCATATGAATCCACACTAATCAAAGTAGCCAATTACCCAAAACAGTCACAGCCTTCATAAGTTGGTTTTTTTTCTAGTAATTGAAATGAGTGTTGAAAAAGATGCGTAAAAAAACTGATGAAGGGAATGATTAATTCTAGACTTCCCTCAACTCGTTTTATAACTTGATTATGGTTATTCTTGCAGGTGCTATTTTGGGCACAACACGTTTATATAAAATGCAGAATGTTCCTGCATCTCTGCTCATAGGCTTGCATTTTCTTTCAAGGAAGGAAGTTAGCAAATGGTTTGTGGCTAAATAAAACCAAGTGCAGTGCAGGTTTCAGGTCAGGATCCAGAGGGGCTCGTGGGTGTGGGTTTATAACCTGTGTTTACATCACTTTTTCTCAGTTTTCTTCCCAGAAGGAGCCTGTAAGAAAATCCCCAGATCCGTTTTACTATTTGGGTTAGATTGAATAGGTGTTTGAGGTTTTGCATGAAGCATTTCCTTCTTTAAGGGGAAATATTGCTGCAGTATGTGATTTCTTTTACTCTGTTTGTCTTTCAAAACCTCTCTCATCCAGTCCCAAAATGGTTATTGGAGACGATTTTGTGGAACAACTTCTAGAGGAAAATCCTGATGCTTATTTATGTGTTCCTCTGGATTTCAGCCATGTTTTGTCTGAAATGTTGTTACTTGTTCTTGCAGCTAGTATCTAACGATACATCTGTGTTACTGAATCCTTTTAAGAGCTGTTTATGTGAGCTGCTTTTGCAAAACTGAATCCTTGGACACTGGAGTGCATAGGTAGAATTATGACAAAAGTACTGCTTTGTACAGTCTGTCACCTGTCAGTTCCTTTTGATAATCATGAGTGTCTATATTTTGAAAGAGTGAATAGCATTTTTCTGTTCATGCCCTTCATTTAATTTTTCTGAATTTCATTAAAAGCACAGAATTCAAAATCAGTATAATTATCTGAGCACCTCATAGGCGTGCTGTTTGTTTCTACCATTTCCTATTGCTTGTGAATAAAAAGGTCACACAAATTGAGCTAAACCTCCAAATAATGAATTCATATCAGAAAATTTGTGCCTTAAAAAAAAAGAATTATGACCATTTTCTGCAAAAATAAGAAGTTGTCAGTGTATTGTTCCTGCTTGCATTCTACCTAATATGTTAATTTACAATTTTGTTAACTCAGTCGCAAAGCAGCCCCAAATAATAGAAGGTGTGCCATTCAACAGGAAGGTTCCCCCCCAAAACCAAGTGAAAGGCTTTATTGAATCCTTTTTTCCAGTTATTTTCAATTGCCAATTTTCCTGAAGGAAAATCGAATTTCGTTTGCGATTGCTAGGCTCCAAAGGTAGTAGCAGCTCAGGAAACTCAGCGGCGTCTCTGCATGCACAGAAATACTAAGTGTCCCTACAAGTCTCTTTGGATCCTGCTCAGTATTCCTGTGATTTCAAACAATAGAGCCTTTGAAACAAGAAACCTAGCTATATCACTATATGTGATACATTATTTGGAAATTTCAAAGTGTTTGTGTCCTGTGTCCCCTCCCCCACTGCTTCTCCCATTGTGCTTGTTTGCTGGGCATGATTTAGACTGGTTGAGGGCAGTAAACCATACAAAGATTTTAAATTACTAATGCAACATAAATTGGACCATTCTGCCATAATAATTCCCAGAACAATTCTTCGGGCATTTATCCTTCCAAATAATTCTTTTATACTTATATTTCTACCTGCTTTGTCGCTGCATGTTCCGCACGTTTATCTCTTGTCTGCCGGTATGTCTCTAGCTTTCCAGCCAGTGACTTAATTCTTCACTATACATGTAGATTCTGAAGTTGCTATACTAAGTTGTTATTCGCAGCATCCTTTCCCCACCCTCTCTCACTACAAAGGATCAGGTTAAAGTTTCTGGTTACTTCCTCAAAAAGGAGAGATGCCCCAGTCCAGCAGATGTCTGCCTGAGTTTTGGGTACTTCTCTCTCTCCGTTAAAAATCAGGCAAATCACATTTTCTCTGGATTGAAGTCTTTGCTTTGATAACATTGTTTTATTTTTTTATTGCTCCCTCAAATACCCCAGTAAACCCTAACAATGTTTTTTTGCCTTTTTGCTGAAACAACTGCCTTCACTGCAACCAAGCCATCTCTTCCTTACATTAATTTCAACTTAATGCTCAGCTCGTTTGCTCCACGTTTTTCAAGGCTCAGTCTTAAGCAGTATCTAGTCACTTATTCTGGAGAAATCTTTGTGGAGCTTTTCAGCCCACTTGGGATTTGTTGGTGGTGGTGGTGGCGGTAGAATTGTCAAGTTATGCTGCTTCATAGCTTACCCTACTTCTTGGAACACTGTAGATTGATTCAGCAACCTTTTTTTGCACAGTGAAAAAACGTTTGAACACCTTTCCCCTCCCTGTACCATGCACTTAACATGTGAGGTTGGGGTTCATTGTGTGCACCTCTTGGAAACAAAGTGCTTTGTCTGTAAGGCACACCTGCTCCTACCTGAATGCAAAGCAGAGTTCCTTGGGTCTCAGGAGAAAACAATACAGCTACTACTGTTAACCAAGAATTGTTATCTGTATGGTCCCAACCCCCAAATCCCCAAAAAATATGTTGTGACAAATGAGACTGGCCTTGGCTGTGTTTAAATGGATGACGAAGCAATAAGCTTGATGATGATTGTAGCAAAACATTTGCAACTGTGCTTTTTTCCCCTGTGTGCTGCTGCAGCAAAAACATTTTCCACATGGTTTTTAGGATCAAGCAAAAGTACACGTATTAATGGTGAAATGTAAATGAGGGGGAAAGAAATAAAACTCTTATCTGGCCTCCTTTCGAAGTCCAGCTCTGTCTTTGTGTTCCATTTCATTTCCCAAGAAGATTCTTCCGTTAGGGTGGTATGCCCCCCCCCCCAAGTAAGAGGCAAACTGCACACAAATGTAATGTTCATTTTGTAAAAGAAGCTGTGGGTGGCCTTGGGCGGAGGTGGGGGATAGAGGTCTAGCCCTTTCTATCTGTGTTGCTGTGAGCTCTGCTCCAGATCCCCCTGCTTGAGTTGCTGCTGTTAGTGTGTTCAGGATTACAGGCTTCAGCCTGCATGTTTCCCCTGCCATTGCAAAGGTGTAAAGTTGGTTGAGCATAATAAGATTTTGCAGTGCAGCTTTATTCTGTAGTAAGCTTTTCCCTCAGTGACTAGCAAGACTAGAGCAGCACCTGGTTTAGCACGGCGCTCTCCCTGCTGCCATTATAATCCAAATTAGGAAGTCCCATAGCTTTTATAAAAAGAAACTTGCATTGGAGTGATGGCAAGCAGAATGTTGATGGATTTGAGTTAATGACGTTTTAAGTTTGCCTCCTTGAATGCCCGAGCATAATTTGTACGACCCTTGTAGAAAGTTGTAATGTTGGCCTCCCCAAAGCCCTTTGCTTGTCTTTTCAAAATTCAGGAGAATTATTGGTTTCCTTTTGCAACTTATTTCTGACCCTTTATTTAAGCTCATAGTGTTTCATTCAGGCTGGAGGACTGTCTCTTGTTCTGAGTGTTACACTGTGAAATTTGTAAGCAAACTGGAATGGATTGACAGGAGGGCAACAAAGATGGTCAGCTGCCTGGAAAGCGAGTCTGATAAGGAAAGGCTGAAGGAACTGCGTGTGGTTTTCCCAGAGAGGACTAAGGGAGACTATGATGGCATTCTTAAAAATACTTGAAGGGCTGTCTCATAAAATAGGCTTTGTTTCTGCTACTAGAGGGGGCAGAGTAGATCTAATGGACTTAAGGTTCAGGAGGGTAGCTTTCAATTGACCATTAAGTTCTCCAATCCGTAAACTCAGTTCAACAATGGACCAGTTGTCTAAAGGGATGGCGAAGTCTGCCTCACTAGAGGGCTTTAAGGTGCATCTGGACAGCCATCTCTTGGGAGATGTTCTAAACCAGCTTTTTTCAGCCTGGTGCTCTCAGATGGAGTTGGGACCAACTCCCATCAACCCCAGCCAGTGTGACTAATGGCTGAGGACGATGGCAGTTGTAGTCCAAAGAACGTGGAGGGCACCCAAGTTGGGTGAGGCTGCTCTAAGCTGGACTTTCCAGCTCCAGCAAGAAGTTGACAAGATGCCCTACAAAACTTCCTCCAACTCTAATCTTACCTGTATTTATGGCCCGACACAGCAGTTTTGCCTGGGTTCATATTAATTACATGCAAATGCTATTTAAATCCTGCTTTCAGAGTGCAGGATCTAATATCAGTTCCTCTGGATGGAGACCAAAAGCATAATGTATATTCTTGTGCCAGTAAATGCTGTTCTTATCAGCCCTGCCTTGTGATTTCTGGAATCTCAGTGAACTTGAGTATTCTAGGGCTTGCCAGGCAGCTGCCACACCCTGCTGCCTGTGCACAAGCAATGCCAGCAGGAAGGAATTTGGGGTCTTGTGTGTTGTTGAGAAATCAGGTCACCTTGAGTGGCACTCCTCTTTTAACACACTCTGTACTAGAGTTTCCTGTATACTCTCTGTCCTAAAGGAAAGTGGGGGTCAGTATCACTGTTCCGAATATTCCTTGTTTCATTCTAACACTGCTTCTGAGTGTATCGCAAGATCCAGACACCCTAGAAAGGGAGATATGTTTGCATAAACTTGTTTGAGCACAATCTTCAATTTAGCCCCCATTTTCTCCCTCATGGTAGTAAGTGCCAGATGGTACTAAGGCCAGATGCCTGAGTAAAGTTCACAAACATACCTACTTCTGGTCTCAGACATCCCTTGTAAAGAAATCTGTGGTATTACAGAGCTCTAGAGCTTAAAACACTTAACCTTGTCCAAAAGGTGCTTGTTGTCCTTCAAGTGAGCAGTTAAATCTCCAAAGTGTGTACATGGAAAAATAAATTCCACTCCCCCCCCCTCCTAATCTCATTTTTCATTAAAGAGGAGCTCTTTTTTCTCCCTTAAAAGAATAATATATGCCACTAGAGGTCTTGGACCATTTCATGCTGATTTGCTGTGTGACTTATACATATGGCAAGGCACAAGAGCAGGGCTCAGGTTAGCTCATCTCCCCTCACCATATGTCAAAAGCCTACTGCCTGGATTGGACTTTTAGGTACATCCTTCCATGCATCTATGCCTCACCCACCTGTGGTGGATGACAGAGCATAGGGACTGGACATAGCTGCATACATGGTCCAAGCCCAGTCCCTTCTGCACATTCTTGGGCTGCCCAAGTACAACCTGTCATGTGCAAACTGGTTGTTTTAATGTGAGACAAGTGGGGAATAAGTGGAGAAGAGCTGGGTTTGTAGAACATGTAACCCAATTTCAGTGCAGAGCCCTCCCTACCTGAAGCTCCAGTCTCATTCCATATAGCCATCTTCCCCCTTCAAACCAGGTTAAAACCAGGTTACTTCATTCCAGTGATAGTGTTGCCATAACGAAGCAGCAGGGGAAAATCAGCTGCCAGAGGTTTCTGTCTCGCCTTTGGGTTTTTTCCTCAGCTCTCTCTGTGCTTCTGCTCAGTACTTCCGAGACACTTCCATGGAATCATCTTACTGACTCTCCTTTTGATTTAAAATACTTAACATCATGCTTTTTAGCAAAAGCTTGCCATGTGATTGCTTCCTATTCTGTTCTCGGCCTTCACTCTGCACAATGCGTACACACACCCTGTTTGTTCCTGCCTCCATCATGCCTTCCTGGTAACAGCACATAGCTCTTCTGCCTATGTAAATGAAGCTTTGCTTTCTTCCAAGTTGGACTCTGACAACATTCTGCTGCTGGCAGCTTCACACTGAGCATGACACAGTGCCACACAGAACATTCCATGACATCACAGCATCTTAGCCAATGACTTTTGGGGTTGCAGATAGTAGGCAGCAGGTTTTGGCCTTCGATAAATAAGAAATGTCAGGAAATAGTTAAACATAGAAATATTTATTGATATTAAAAGCAAATTCTAGTAGTAGAATACGAAATTCAGAAGACATTTTAATCAAGATATATATATATCAGTTAAGGCATACATTCCAGTCTCATGTCTGTAATAAATATGCTATAAAATATTACAGAATATTCTTCTTTAACTATTTAAAAGGAGTAGTACCCCATATATATTTGAACTGATGGCAATGGATATAGTAGTATAAGGTTAAAAAGAAAAGAAATATATAAACACTATTTAAAATATCAATTAAATTATAAAAAGGCAAGATTGTTTCTATCTTCAAGGTCCCTTCCAGAGGGCTTGGATATAAAAGGCACTCTTGTTAATATACATTAGCTGATTTTCGATCTCTAGTTAATTCATTGCAGTTTACTGCAGATCCCATGCAGCCTGTTGTACAGCAAAAACAGTTGATGCTCTCTGCCCAGTGGCTGCATTTGTTTCACACAATTTGTAAGAACACATGGGCTGTATCTGACCAAGTCATCCCATCAGCCCAAGGACTTCTGCTTGCACAACGGAACTTCCCCTTCCTCTTCCTGAATGCTGCCGCACCCAACCACAAATCTGTTCTGGAGTTTTGGAGGAACCACCAGAACAGATTTGGGGTGCACAGGGGGAGCAGGAGTTCCAGTGCACACGCAAAAGTCCTTGCGCCAACAGAACAACTTTGGGATGCAGCCCTACTATACTTTTAGGGTTTTTGTCATGAGGATTCCAAAACTTTAAAAGCTGGAACCGTTAAAAGGCATTCTCAAATACGATTTTGAGACGGTAAAGATGTGCTTGTTGCATGATTGCTACAGGAAATAAGAACATCATTTCACAATCTTTAGAAACCATATTATTTCATTCCTAGATAAGACAGATGGAAAGGCAGATCTTGTTTTTAAGTTTGCAATTTGTATTTGACGTAAAAACTTGGCCAAAGTTTGGGCGCAATCCAGTCCATGCCCTGGCCTAGGGCCTCTGTTGGGCCAGCTCAGCTCTCAACATATGGAAGGAAGACATCAGAAGAAGAGCAGGAAGGGAGGGAGTCCCACATACGCAATCTGCTCACATGGGAGAAGGGTTTGGTCCCTGTGTACTGTCATTAACCTGTTATATTCTTAACCTTTACAGCAACTTTACATACACAAGTACTGCCTGTTTCTGTGCTCTGTCCCTTGTACGACTGAATAACATTCAGATCAGGTGGATTTGGTGAAATTGACTTCAATGGGTTTGTGTTATGTTAAATCCAACTACTACTACTACCACCAGCATTTTGTGAATTCTGCAGATAAGCTGTCCTCCTCTCCAAGACAAATAGATGGGACTCTCTCTGCTTACAGAAGAGCATCTGGTTCCTCTTGTAAATATATGGATGCTTTTCATGACCAAAGCACATGCTACGGTTCCAGAATCTGTAATTTGAATGTAAAACCTACGTGGGCTACAAAATACATTTCTCTTTGTATTCCATATGAACAATGTTCACATGTGGAAGAAATTAAGGCAGCAATCCTATACGCACCTGAGATTAAGCGGCACTAAACTTAATGAGACTTCTGAGTTAGCATGCATAGGAATGCACTGTTAAAAAAGGCATTTTTAGCAGACAAGGGAAATATTTACTTACTATTCTGAAAGAATAAGGTGGACTGATACCAGTGTGCTTGTTCTCGTGCCTAGCTCAGTGTTGGGCTTCAAGTGCCTTTTTTATTTTAACTACAGCAGTTAAGACTGAAGAGAAGGAATATATCATGCTTTCTCCCCCCTCTATGCTAAAGGCTCATAATAAATTTAATATGCAGTCACAATCGACTGAAGCACTGGCACAAACAACCACTGCTTTTGTAAGCATATTAATATAACAAATCATGTTTGCACTCGCATGCCTAGATCACATTTCGGAAGAACCTTAGATTAACCAGAAACCTCAATGAGGTTTAGTGCAACTATTGCTAAATTGTGAGAATATGACTAGCAGCTGGAATTCCCATACAGCCCCAGGGATGGCTGATCTGTTCTGCATTACAGAACAATCTTTGCCAATACAACATCCAGTCTGCATTCATGAAGGCTAGGGATTCACTTAAAAAGCTTGGATTCAATAAAAGTTCCAGGCTGTTCCAAAGAGCTTCACATATTGAATGTGGCAGACAAACCTCAGCAATGGATTCATGGTATCAACTTCAGACCACAACACCCTAGTTCCCTCACGGCACCTGCAATGATTACCGTCCAATGTGTAAAAATCTAGGAGTTCAAAAGTAGAACAATGATCAAACCTGCAATGTTGGATTTATCAGCATCATGCTCTAACCAACTGAGCTGTACAGCGAATTTTCTGCCTCAGGTGCCAAAATAACCTTGGATACGATGGCTTTGGATACAATGCACTTTGAACTGGAGGGCAGGGCACTGTTTGCTGTTCTGCCTCAGACAACAAAGTGCTCTGAGCTGGCCCTGCAACCCCTGCTAAGTGTTAAATCAACTTCCCAGGACTCTCCAAATTGCTTGCAACAGTTTGAAAATTGATTTGAGATGATGGGAGAAATCTGATGTGGAATTATGAGGGTTTCTGCAGATGAATCAGGATGCTGGTGTTTATTAATAATCACCATAATTTAAAAAACAATGTCGCATCAACCCGCTAAAAGGGATATGAAAGGCCATGCCAAAGTTAGGCAGAAAGTAAACTTCCCATTTAGTGCTGCTCAGGAGGAGGAGGAGCAAAAGTCCTACTTCATCCCCAGCTTGCTCAATGCAATTAATTAAAAGCAACAAAGAAGAACAGATAAATAACTCCAAATTTTTCAGCTGCATAATTCTGCACAGTTCAGACAACCTCTTTCGAAAGGCTGTGATAAATCAGTATATGGCTTTGGACTCCCATAATCTTTCTCTTTATATATATATATGTACAATAAAATCTCTTCTATGGCTTTCCTGTGAAATTAAGAGGAAATTTCCTAATAACTTCAGAGGGGGGAAAGCTGGGAAGAAAATGCCCACAAACAGCAGAAAATTTCAAAGTAGAAGATTTAGAACAGCATATAAATCAATTGAAAGAGCCCATCTTTTAAAACCAAGATGCACTTGGATAAAAGCAAAATTAATTATTTTTTCCCCAGTGACATGTAGTACTCAGTTAACACTTTCCAAGCTTTTGGCGCCATGAATCCTTCAGGGGGGTTTTCGCCTTCACGAGCCAGCTTCCTCATGCGTGTGCCAGAAATGAAGTCAAATTCATTGTGCCTAGTAAGCAAAAAAAGTTATCCACGAAGACATTACAAATACAGTTGTACCTTGGTTTTCGAACAGCTTAGTTCTCGAACATCTTGGCTCCCAAACGCCACAACCCCGGAAATGAGTGTTCCGATTTGCGAACTATTTTTGGAAGCCCAACCGACGGGGCTTCCACGGCTTCCCATGGGCTGCAGGAGCTTCCTGCAGCCAATCAGAAGTCGTGCTTTGGTTTCTGAATGTTCTGGAAGTTGAAGAGACTTCTGGAATGGATTATGTTCGACTTCCAAGGTATGACTGTAGAAACAATGAAATACCAGCAGCAACGCACAGAAGTTGCAACTTTTCTGTTCATCTTAATGAACATACAAATGAGATGAATATGGTTGCAATGGCCTCTCCAACAATCCTAGAACTGAAACCCAGATTTCAAGATTGCGCTTCACAATATCACGCAGGAGCAAATCAAGCCCATGAACCAGAACATAATGTTCGCCGTGCTATTTCTCTATGGGCACTTATCGACTGGGCAGGTCTTTTTGCAAACTCTGATTTTGTAATATTCCAAAATGAATTTTGGACAGAGCGAGCTGCCACGCAGCTACAGGCAGTTATATTTCAACATCCTGGCTAATCCAAAACCCAGAAACAGATTTTTCAAACATTTTTACATGCTGCAAAATGAGCCTCCCCACAGTTTTGAGCAATTTGAATTAACAACATACACTTTTTTCATCTGTGAGGCTTCAATTGCCTTTCAACATACCTCGTGCCATTTCATTTGAAGTCTCATCATAGTTCATGTGGAGGAGAATGTGGAAAAGAACCGTTTCTGATGCACATGGGCACATAGGCCTAGGTAAGCCATTACAAAACCACTAAGCCTCTGCTACAGGTGGTCATTTACCGTGTCACTTACCTGTCTGGATCATAGAAGACCATTGCCTTTTGTACTATGCTGTATGCTGCTACTCGGAAGGGAATGATTTCCACAGAGTTCAGTCCTGGAGCCATGCTGAGCACCTTCCCACCTTGTGTGGGTTCGTACAGATCTTTCTTGGTCTCTGGGTGAGGCATACCGGCCGGATCACGGCCCACAATGTAGAAATTGGCTCCAGCAATCATCCGAGCCCGACAGTGCCACTGGACCTGAGGAAGTGCCACAGGATTAGAGTTTGATGGATGGATGGATGGATGGATGGATGGATGGATGGATTGAGTTTGGCTGGAAAAACTTTGAGGGATCACAGAATGGTAGACTTGGAAGTCCACAACTCTCTGCAATGCAGGAATCTCAGCTAAAGCATCCATGACAGATGGCCATCCAACCTCTGCTTTAAAGCTTCCAAGGAGGTTGGATGAAAACCCATAACAAATTCATGGTCCTCCCTCAACTTTCAGCAGCCATTCCATCACACTATAGGAGAGGAGAAAAGGCAGGCTACAGGACTTCTCCCTCGGCTTTGCTGGAAGATCAGCAATTTTACTCCCCTCTCCATTTCCCCCCAGCTCCATATGCTCACCACAAAATCCCTGTAACTAAGAATTAGTGCCTGAACTTGATTTTGCCTGCTCCCTCCCAACCCCTCTTTTGTGTTGCATCTCTTAGATAGTGAGCTTGAGGGCTGCGACTGTCTTCTCACTGATATTTGTAAGCCCTTTTGAGCTTACAATGGTTTTGCACCAGTTTGCAATGTTTATCTCCAAAGAATCCTGGAAATAATAGTTTAGGTGAAAATCCTATACACATTTACTTGAGAATAAGCCTCACTGAACTAAGTATGCACAGGATTGTTCTCTTAGTGAGGGCATTGATCATGTTCTGTTGGAGATTTGTAGTCCCCATCACTGCAGCTACAATTCCCAGGGAATTCCCAAGACTTAAGAGAAATAATTTAAAAGGAAAAGAATCCCATTGTAGGGAGAAGCAAAGGAGGACAGCAAAACGATGCATACCTCTGTTGGTCCAGCATACAACATTGGAGAAGGAAAAATGGCCACAATGGTGGACTTTGGATCCAGCACGTGCTCCTCCAGCACTGCAGCATGCTGCTTCATGCGCCACTCGAGAGGCACATCATCATCCTTGGTCCATCCCCCGAGAGGGTGCAAGAGCAGCACAGGATGCTTATAGCCCCTCTCAAGGAGGCGCCGTTTGGTATCCTGCATCAGCAGGGCATGTCCGTTGTGCACAGGGTTGCGCAGCTGGAAAGCAAACACCGCATCTGAAACATAAGAAGTGGGAAATGCAGATGCAGGAGGATCCAGGACATGCAAAACTGCACCACGATGCTAAGCAGTGAAAAGTAGATGGTATGGACCTACATTAAACGCAGCAGCTTTTAATATTTACAAGCTTAATAATAATATAAAACATACACACACAGATCCCTAAACCAAGGTAATAAAGTAGGGATGGGGAACCTGTGCCCTTCCATGTTGGATGTTGCTGGACTGTAATTCCCATCATCCCTGACCGCTGGTTGGGGCCAATGGAAGCTGGAGTCTAGTGACTTCTGTAGGGCCACTGGTTCCTCATCCCTGTTAATAAAGCCAACATCAGCGTTGGAATTCTAGCTTGAATATCATTCACTCCTGGGAGGCCTTTGACTTTCTATAGTAGGAAACTATTTTTTTTTCTACACGGCACGATCCAAAGAACATAACTTTTCGTTCTCTCCCCGCCCCCAATGAAAGAGAGAATCATATTGTTTTCATTTCTAAACATTTTATGGTCCGCCTCATTTTCAACATCTCTTGACTTGCACAACAAAAAAAATCCTAATAAAAGAACAATAAAGCCATCACAGAGACACTTGCAAATCTGCACATCAGAAACAATCATCCTAATAAGAAAATTCAGCATCCTAAATCAGAACCTCTCTTAAACATTGCTCTCCAACAGAGCTGCTCAACGCCAGCTATGCGCTCAGGAAAACTCCTGTTTTACTGCCTTTCTGAGGCTTCGAAAATGCTGCTGTCCTATCATTTGGAAGGACAGGACAGTCACCACTGTGTTAGTCTCAGTGGACTACAGAGCAGGGTCAAACCATCTGCTTCGGCAGAACTCCTGGAGGGTGGGAGTAGATGAAGGCAGGAATTGGTGTCTGGATGGTGCAAATCTTTTAAACATGTTACCTTAGTGGGGGACTCCACTTGGGCTCAGCATCAGGCAACACAATGTCTTGGATCAGTGTGGTTTATATATGTTCCTTAACACTTGCAGGACATCTAGTTCCAGAGTGTTGGAACCACCAGGGAGAAGGCCCTGCTCCCTGCCACATGGTACAAGCATTGTTGCAAATGCAAACACTTACCAGCATTCATTTCTGCGAACTTCTGCCTCAGCTCCAAGGGAGTCAAGCGGTATTGGTCCAGCCCATCATTCCACTTAATTCTCTCTAATACAAGGAGGTCTCCACCAGCCAACCAGTCTCCACTTTCCATCACCATCTATCAAAGGACACCACAGTTAATTAAGGCAAAATGATACTTATAATGTAACTGTGGGGTTGCAGCTGCTATCCATGGTAAAATGATGGAGGGACCTTATCGAAGAGGTTTTGTGGTGCTGACTGCTTAAAAAGCAGAAAAGTGGCAGGAGTGGCAGGCAAACTGTGGCTTCCAGGCAGTTCAAGAAAGTTCAAGATAATTAGAAGCAGAGAATGACAACTTTCGCTTCTCCTTTCCCAGCTACATGTTTAGAAAAACATTGCTTGAAAATTCTGATATCATGGCCATATTGCCATATACTTAGATCTCGGAACTTTGCCTATTTACAGTAGAGATTGTCTACTGTTGCTAGCTTCTAATTCATAAACTTGATTTTGCAATCAGTTCAGTAAGATTTTCCAGGAACTAGGTTGGAAGGAGGGACATATGGAGCCCTGAGCATGCCAGGGAGGGTAGATGCTGTTCTCACTGGTGCATTCTAATCTGTCCCCACCCCCCATGCGCTGCCATCCTTTCAATTTTTCAATTTTCAGGCAGTGCTTAGGTGAGAGGTGCAAAGACTCAGGCTTAGCTGGAAGGCACAGCCTTCAGCAACCCCAGCAGCCATTCAAAAGGCCAGGGGGTGGGAGGTGGACTGGTGCAAAATAGCCATTGAGACTTCTGCATACTTCCTTCTTACGAAACTTGCTATCTTTAGCTCCTAATACAAATATGTATTTATTTCAAACCTTGCCAACCTTCATTTTAAGAAAAGAAAAGCTCAAGGCATTTAGAAACCCAGTATTAATAGCTACAGTAAACAACAACAACCATGTGTTGTATTCAGTGTAGCGTTAAGCATATTGTTCTGTCAGCACAGGCATTTCTCACTGTGCAACGGAATGATCTCACCCTCTCCTAAACCCCCTAAATCTGATCTGGGGAGTTCCACTAATCCTCCAGAGCACAAGTGGAAATGATGTAAGTGGCACGTGGGGGGACGACCCATTGCACTAGTGCAAATCCTTGCACTAGCACCATAATTTAGTTGAAAAGCGCCCAGTGTAATTACAAATGTGACTGTATCACCCTTCTCACCTGCCCCAAAATATAAATGTTGTGAGCAATTAAAAAACATAGCAAGCGGCTACTAAGACCCCAAAGTTTTCCCTGATAAGTGAGTGAGCTTTTACATTGCCATAGGAGGAAGGTATGCAACTACATCTCTTGAAAGAGTCCTGGGGCCACTCCCGAGGAGGCCCTAGTTCTTGCTGCAGCAGAATTTATGTTTTCTATTGAAGTGATGCAGAGCTATCAACCTAAATAGGTAGACAGGTTGCTCATATTCACTGCCACAGAAATAGAGGAACTTATTCTGTGATCGCTTGCCTTTACATGCGGGTGCTTTGCACATGTGGTCCCCCAAACACGTGCGCAACGTTCTTCTTTCCTGTGCTCAAAAAATTCTGGATTTTGCAGTATGGCCACCCTCCGCCCATTGTACTCCAGTGTAAATGCATTGCATCCTTCCAGGCGTTTCTTGTCTTCCGCAGTTATTGGTAGTACAATTGGAATGGTCAGGTTAATAACACCATCTGTTGAAAGAAATTTTATTTCAATTAACATATATATATATATATATATATATATATATATATATAAAAGTACATCAGGGATGGCTTCACAGATGTTGCTGGGCTCCAACTCCAGCCAGCATGGCCAATAGCCACTGATGATCAGAGCTGTGGCTCAACAACATGGGGGGGGGGGGCACACAGATATGTGAAAAGGATGGTTAAGTTGCTCATCTGGAAGCACTGAAATGAGAAGGTCCTTGTCACCAATTGTAGGTTTTGGCGATTTACTTATGTAATCAATCAATCTATATATCATGCATTAATGTTAAAACAAAACACCCAGGGGAGCTTACAACATAAAACTTTAAAAGAAAAGAAAAGGGTGGGACCCCCAGGATAAAAACAGCAGCAATTAAAAACAGATCCAGCAGAAATTGATATGTAAAAGAGAGAAAAAAACTTGTCCCCATCCAATTTCTCCATGCCAAGACACCTCCCAATCAACTGCCCCAGTTCACAGTCTAACAACCATATTTTGAACTAATTGTAGTTTCCAAACAGTCTTCAAAGACAACTGCACCTTTAACATATTGCAGCAGTCTAATCTGTAGGTTAGCAGAGAATGGATCACTTTGCTAAGGTTGTCTCTGTCCAGGAGCTGTCACAGTTGACACACCCAATGGTGAAGGGTGCTCTGAGTCATAGCACAGAGATTAGAGGTGAAATGTATTTGTTTTATAAATGAACCTTTTGGTGTTTCTGCGCCAAGGGCAATTTGCACTGAAGAAATCAACCCTTCAAAATGCAATAAAAAACCATTTGCAATAATTAAAGCACCGGAGCAATGAAAAAACATTTTACATTAAATCTGTGATTAAAACCAGGTTAAATAACACCAAAGTACGGGAAGTCACAAGAGGGTACCGTGGATGGCATAATCTCATACTTTGGACTTAACTTGAACTGACTTGAAAGGTTGAACACCAAATGAGCTACTAAATAAAAAGTTTATTCACCTTGTAAAAAACAAACACCCTTTCATACCACTACAGTTTGTTGGTACAACATCAACCTCAACAAAGATGTTAGAGGATGCAATATCTACCTCCTTATTGGACTTTCAAGTTGTTGCTTTTAGTTCGAATGTTACAGATCCATACACACTGTTCCTCACATGTTGCCACAAGGCATGAGCATTCAGGTGCAAGTAAGGATTTCTTCATCCACTTCAATAGGAGGAGCTCTGTGTCAACATCCCTTTATGCACACAGTACTGTGCCCTCTTATTGGAGCGAATGGGGAAAAACACACAGGAACACTTAGGAGTGGCTGTGCAACTCCTGGATCCCTTAGTTCAGAACCAGAGTTCAGAACGATATGATGTCTTGTAATGATTACTGGTTTGTTTGCTGATTGCTTCCAAGACTCATATAATCGTTAGCATTTTATATGAGTGACCTTCAGACCTTTGCTCTTCACCAGTAGCTGCTCTCTTTTTTTTTAAACTAAGGTTTGTTTTCTTTGATTTTGCAGCAAAATTTATCTATAAATTTGTAGGGATGCCATATTTTGAAGAGCAAAAAAAGAGGAGACATTGGCCAACTTCTACTTTTAATTGTGGATCTCTAGGATGACTCTACCCATGAAAAAGAGCAAGTGTCCTGGAAAAAGAGGACATATGATTGCTACACTGATCAAATGACATATATAGCCATAAACTCTGCACAAATTGCTCCTTCAAGTAGGTGACTCAGTGGAGTCACAGCACAGCCATAGCAAGACTGACAGTTCAGTTCAGTTCAGTGCGCTCTCAAATCAGCAGAGTGGCCTGCTCAATTTCTTCTGCCACAGCTGTATTTTGTCTGCAGAATTAAGCTGCCAACCAACAAAGCTTTTTCAAAGTGTTTTTAGGTCTGCCTCAGACTCAGTCCAGGCTTATATTTGGTCTGGTCAACTGAAATGCCTGACTAGGAAAAAGAGGAGTTTAGTGAGCAAAACCAAAAGGGATTAATAAATTATTAGGGAGTTCTCTGGATTACGGTAGTTCACTGACTGGATCTCCTCTGCCTGTCATACCCAGCTGAAGTTAGATATTTGTCTTTCATGCAATGGGGGAAGGAAAATGGTGAGTGTAGCACTCCTCCAAGATATGTATCCATACATGTGAAATATGTTTTCATTAATGAAAAATTGGGCCATTTTGTGCTGAGAGTGTGTACTCCATGGATTTGAAGGGCAAGGTCAAATTCTTTGTAGGGTCATCAATTTGCAATAACCCTTCCTCAATCCTCACCCATATATTTGCTACCAAAACCCATCGTGCCAGCACCAAAAGGCTGGTAAGTGCAAACACTGGACTCAAAACGAAAAGCAGGACCCAACTATTTGTGGAAACAAAACACTTCTAGCTATACATCCATTACAATATAACATCACTATAACATCAAAATATATAATAGAACATCAAAACACCAGCTGTTTTTGCATAGACTGAAGAAGGAACACAGGGTGCGAGACAGGCCTAAGGCACAAAACAGGAGTACTTTGAGAGTATTTACAAGGATGCAAAGAAGCATTATCTTCCCAAAGATGAAGGTGCAGCAAAGGAGGTTCTGGCCTCAAAGAAAAAAGTCTTTTAACACGGTAATATGGAAACTCAGTGCATTCTTTCCTTACATGATAGTGTTCATATTGCCTTCAACACAGTAAAGTGCTTAATAAACAAATATACCGTATTTTTCGCCCTATAGGACACACCAGCCCATAGGATGAACCTAGTTTTTTGGGGGGGAAATAAAGGGGGAAAAAATTATTTCCCCCCCAGGCGCGGAGCTTCCCCCAGCCCCCAGAACAGGCAGCTCTCCGCAAGCCGTGGGAGCCCAGCGCCGGGCTCCCACAGCTTGCGGAGAGCTGCGCGAAGCCTGGAGAGCGAGAGGGGTCGGTGCGCACTGACCCCTCTCGCTCTCCAGGCTTCAGCGAAAGCCTGCATTCGCCCCATAGGACGCACACACATTTCCCCTTCATTTTTGGAGGGGAAAAAGTGCGTCCTATAGGGCAATAATACGGTACCTAACATGTCTCGTCCCTCACACCAATTTTTCCAAATGCACATTATATTTCCAAATGCACATTATATTTCCAAATACACATTATTTTTCCAAATGCACATTTTCAAAATGCGTATCCACCCCCCCAAACACACACACTAAAAAACCCTGTCAATCATGCTCTTGCTCATTCCAGTATGTGCAATACTGGGTAATACCCAACATCAGACCTACTCAGAGTTATGTAAATTCATTTATTTCAATAAGTCCACTCAGACTGTGACTAATGTTGGCTATCACACGTTGAGTTTATGCCACTTCTTAGCATCAAAATATCACTTTGCCTTTCTGTTTTGTTGTGCATCCAGTGTTCCTATGCCAGGATATTTACAATCAGTTTTGTTTTGTTGTTCAAACACAACATTTACTTTGTAAAAACTATACCCTCTAGTAAACTTACCCAATTATTTTTAGCTGGTGGTTGTTTTAAAGCTCGCAAACATATTAAAACTTTTTTTTGAAGGTTTCAGTTCATAAAAAATATAATCAATGACAAATTTGAAATGAAGTATCATGGCAGTTTTAACCATTGAATGCATGTGATTTTCATTACAATTTCAAAGTCAAATTTTAATGGATTTGGTGATTATTTGCACTACCCTAACTATCTTTGAGATTATCCATCTGATCATCTTGGTTATGGGTTGGATCCAAAGACGCACTAGCAAAAAGCAAGTACAGTCATTAGCACTGTTCTTTGAAGACTTTATTTAAATCCTTTACATTGGGGCAAAGCAAGCCTTAATGGCTGGGGTACAAAGTGAAGGTCTAATCCAATAAAGTATCTTGGACTACACTGCAGCATCCAAATAAATTGTGCAACTACATTGGACACATGCCATTCACCCCTGGAAAGTATGGCGTCATGGCTGGAGAGCAAACATGTCCCCATTGAAAAGTGCTTGCAATAGCCACTTAACAAACATTAGGAAAGCCAGGCTTGCTTGGCTCTTGGTGCTTGGGGATTTTAAATAGCTGTGTTGGCAAGTGGCTGCTGTAGGTGCTTTTCTGCATTCCAGCTGCGAGGGCTTGCTTTGCACATATGTCAGGGATGTAAAGTAAAACCAGTTAATGTGTGGAATCCAGAGCAATAATAGCAAATGGTATTGCGGAAACAGAAGAACTGTTCTTGTGCAACGCTCTTCCACAGCCCTTCCATGATCAAAAGAGGTTTTCTGCTCACGGAGGGGGAACCTTTGAATCCAAGCCACTGTGCAGATTCTGCTGACCTTATTTTAAATTTGATACTTACCAAGTCTATAGGTCACCCATATTTAATCCATGCATAATCAGGAACTTTTAATATGTTCATAGTGCAATTCAACCAGATGCATTTTTATTTAAGTCTTATCAAAAGCTCTTTGGAAATATATAGATTTTAGAGATAAAACTGCGGATTCCGCCAATGGCCTTATCGTCAAATATTCAGCGTATGGGACTGGAGAACTGGAGAGCTGCATGTGGGTCAGTGGCTGACAAGTTGCACATGGCTAATATTCAGTGAGGAATCGCCTTAAACAAAAGAACTGAGTGCAAGCCTGATCCATGGAAATTAATAAGAGCTTTGCCAGTGAGGGCTCAAAGCCAATTAAGACATATCCTTTCCCAGCCAATAAAAATGCTTGAGGAACCTTGTACTGGTAACTGGTTGGATCACGAATATACTCATAACGGATTGCAGACCTCTACATCAAAATTTTATTTCCATAACATACATTTTCTAACTTTTTAAATGAAAATCTCATAACTGTAATTATTTTCATACCATAGTGGGAGAAGAAAACAACTGAATACGTACCAAGCTCGGATATATCAACTCTACCCCTTCCTGGCAAAATATAAGCACAATTATCAACCATATTTTAACTGGCCCACCCCCCACCCCCAGTCAAACAACTTCAATTTGATGTTCTAACCCTCAACATCCTCTTGCTTCATTCAGACCAATGCAGGAAGAGAGAAAAAGGTTCTCAAGGCTGCAGCTAACGCAGGTGCAGTTGTGCATCCTGTTCTGTATTATGATGCTGGAACCCACTGACTGAATCTGTCCTTTTATGCAGGTGAGAATGTAGGTTTTTATTTGGGGCCACTAGTTGCACATGGTAAGGGCTCTGAGGTTTTCCTATTTTATGTTAATAACAACAACTTAAAAGATTGCATGTGTTATCTCACACAGGTTCTTTGCAAATAAATATTATGGCAAGCAGTGGAATAGGACTTAAGTGAGTAGGGCTCCATTCCACTTTCCTAAGATTTCCAGGTTGTGTATTCTTTCAAAAAAAACAAAACAAAATCCGATTTGCAGGGGGCAATGGTGGGACATAAGAAATGTGTGCATACCCCATGGGAAGTAAAGCATCCCTTAAACGACTTTCAGCTCTAGGTTTCAGGGGAATTTAGTTACAACTAACTTTTGTTGCATTATGCCCAGTAAGTGATCCAAGATAACTGAGTGAGATTCATGCATGTGGGAGTTTGAACCCAAGACTTCCTAGACCAACACTCTATTCCATTACATCACAAATAGCATTTAAAGACTTGGGAAATAAAGAGGAAAGCTTGTAAGACTGCCTGAAATGTTCCCCCAAAACAAAGGCTTAGGCTTTGTGCATTTTCTGTGGCCCTTGGGAGTGAGGCTAGGTCTAGTTCAACTGGACACGCCCAGAATCTGGCATGGATGCACCTGAGTGTGATCAGCAGGTTTTTTCACATCTCCCAAAACAGCAGTAATGTAAACTGTTTCATTCAAAAGCTATGCTCTAGTCACCTCTGCTGAATTTCCCGCAGTGTGCATATAGGCAGGCAAAAGCTCTAAAGACAAAGTGTAGGAACGGGCAAATCATACCATCAAGCAAGGTGCCAAAATGGATAACTTGCAAGTATTCTTTCTCCCGCATAAACCCTTTCAATGGGCTGGCCCAACCTTCACTTAGGACTTGAACCCACTGTAGATCCAACTGAAAAAAAGAGAACACCATATGGCAGATTTACACCACAAGTAAAGACTGCCTGTTTTCACACTTTTAAGTATTGCAAATTACTTTCTAATTAAATACAATGGAGTCTCCCAATTCTTGTTTGGCCCCCAAAAAAATATTTTATTAGATAAAATAATAATAATAATAATAATAATAATAATAATAATAATAATAATTTATTTATACCCCGCCCATCTGGCTGGGCCTCCCCAGCCACTCTGGGCAGCTTCCATAGAAACCAAAAATACACTAAAATATCACACATTAAAAACTTCCCTGAACAGGGCTGCCTTAAGATGTCTTCTGAATGTCAGGTAGTTGTTTATCGCTTTGACATCTCGTGGGAGGGCGTTCCACAGGGCAGGCGCCACTACCAAGAAGGCCCTCTGCCTGGTTCCCTGTAGCTTTGCTTTTCGCAATGAGGGAACCGCCAGAAGGCCCTCGGCGCTGGACCTCAGCGTCCGGGCAGAACGATGGGGGTGGAGACGCTCCTTCAGGTATACTGGACTGAGGCCGTTTAGGGCTTTAAAGGTCAGCACCAACACTTTGAATTGTGCTTGGAAACATACTGGGAGCCAATGTAGGTCTTTCAAGACCGGTGTTATATGGTCTTGGCGGCCGCCCCCAGTCACCAGTCTAGCTGCCGCATTCTGGATTAGTTGTAGTTTCCGAGTCACCTTCAAAGGTAGCCCCACGTAGAGCACATTGCAGTAGTCCAAGCGGGAGATAACCAGAGCATGCACCACTCTGGCGAGACAGTCCGCAGGCAGATAGGGTCTCAGCCTACGTACCAGATGGAGCTGGTAAACAGCTGCCCTGGACACAGATTTGACCTGTGCTTCCATGGACAGCTGTGAGTCCAAAATGACTCCCAGGCTGCGCACCTGGTCCTTCAGGGGCACAGTTACCCCATTCAGGACCAGGGAATCCTCCACACCTGCCCGCCTCCTGTCCCCCCAAAACAGTACTTCTGTCTTGTCAGGATTCAACCTCAATCTGTTAGCCGCCATCCATCCTCCAACTACATTTCCACTACTAAAATACAGGCCCAATTACTAAAAAGTGTAAGTTACTTATGACCAAAACAAAAGGCATAAAACATCATAACCACATGTTTTTTACTAGCAGGTGTCAGTCATTATGATGGGCAGGTTATGTTGTAGGGAAACCCATATACTGTGAGCTGTATCTCCCCAAGAGATTTCTCATGGTTCATAACCAGATCACACAATGCCAGCAATATTGGGAAACCTTTGCTACAATGCAATATTATCCCCACATGTAATTCCTCTCCCTTCAGTAGCAATACCAACCATTCTCTGATACAGTGGTACCTTGGGTTACTTATGCTTCAGGTTACATACGCTTCAGGTTACAGACTCCGCTAACCCAGAAATAGTACCTCGGGTTAAGAACTTTGCTTCAGGATGAGAACAGAAATCGTGCGACAGCAGCGGGAGGCCCCATTAGCTAAAGTGGTGCTTCAGGTTAAGAACAGTTTCAGGTTAAGTACGGACCTCCGGAACAAACTAAGTACGTAACCAGAGGTACCACTGTATAGGAATAAATAAAAGGTGCACTTGGATTCATCATTAAGGCAGTAAACCCGGCAGTTCTACCCGGGTAGACACTGTGTAGGAGGCAGGTTTTGGATCCCCCTCACAGCTCTGGAAATTTACTGCTTGCTTATAGCCAGTTTATATCAACATAGCCCCAACTCAAATATATACGAAGGGCATGCAATTAATAATAATACACACACAGCCCTCAAAAAAAAAGCTAGCATTTATACAGAAGCAGCCAGATATTAATTTCTAATCATGCAGTTGTAGAAGCGTAAATGGCTGCACCTGCAAATATTAGCCAGTAGATGGCCACAGGTGTCGTCAGAATCATTTTGAGTCCAATTGCATTGGGATCAAAAGCATCAAAGATAAAAGAAGCCTGGAATAAACTCAGTGTTGACCAACGGTTGTTAAATCTTCATTTTATGTTTGTTTGTTTTTTTTAAAAAGAAAACAGCAAGGGCATTGCATTTAAAGAGATCTATTCTTAGCTTATACAAGGAGTTTCAAACATCTTGCCCTCAGAGAATCCTTTCTAAACTGATTTGTCTGTAAGTCGGCCACAGGACACCTGTATGTAGCTGAGTACCTTAAGGAATGTTTTAGACCCTGGAATTAACACAGGGTGTGGACTGGGGCCACTGGGCCTTGGTGTAGTCCTGGCTGAAGTGAATGACTAACCTAGAACATTGGTCTTCAGATGATGAAGTTCCCTCACACTTACATGGTTGTGGCCTGATCTGAAGTGGGCCACAACAACAGCACTACCACCATACAGATACACAGTAAAAATAATAATAACAATTAGGAAATGGGTCCCCAAACTCACAGGTAAGTTAAAAGTTGGTGGCCTAAGAATACATCAAACACTCTCCTTTAGCAACTTAGTGCATTCTAGAGGGAGACTGGCAGTGGCGAACAAGCAGCCTTTTACTCCTCTTATTATTATGAAAGTCTGGATAAGCTTTAGAGGGTTCCTTAGAATATGGTTTGAATATTATGGAACTGGGAAAACCTGAGGTATATGCAGGATTTTGGATTCTGGCTCCCTAAGGCATAATGGCAACCCATCTTGTAAACTCTCTCATTCACATGTCCATGACACATAAGGGGGCCAGCAACTTCTGCCAGAGTTAGCTGAGAGGAAACGAGTCTTTCTGAGGAACCTTTCCATAGTGTAAATCAGGATGGGAAATCCTTAATTCTCCAGATGTAACTCCCAACAAGCCCAGCCTGCATAGCCAATGGTCAGAGATTATGGGAGTTATAGTTCAACAAATAGTTCCTCACCCCTGGTGCACCCAATGATGACACTAAGGCATAAGGCAGCAAAGAAATGTTTTAAGTACTGATTACATATGACTGTATTTTACTGAACACACTGAGAAGGCTATGTATATTTAGCTGGACTCTGATTTCCCTAGGTCTACAGTAGACAGAGTGATATGGATGATTATCTGGAACAGAACTATTTATCCAATTTACTCTCGCATCTTGCATTTGAATAAGTAGATCCTAGTCTACAAAGGCATATGCCACAGTGAATGTGTCAGTCCTTAAGATGCCCTGGGAATGTTTATTTACCGCCTTTGCCAGCCGCCTCTCTACCAGGTAGGTGGACAAGGTGATGGGCAATGAACTTACAATAAGTTCATAATTAAAATCTACAAAGATCACTTCCAAAATGCAATACAAACAGGAAAACAACTATTTTATAATAAATATATATCCATTAAAATCCAGAAGTAGTTAAAAGAAGCCAGTAAAAATCTAGGATTGGAAAGCATTCAAAAGGCAATCCAAGAGATTTTGATACCCAATGCAGAACATTCAGATGGCACCCCTCCAAGAGTAATAAAAATATACTAAACTATAAAATTGGCAAGCTGATGCAGTTTGCTCGATCGGCTTGATGGCAGAGCTAGTTCTGGGTCTTTTTTTTGTTATCTTCTGATAGAACATATATAGAAATAAGGATTGGAGAGCCTTCTTGGGAATATACTGGCACAGGCTTTAGTCCCATCTGCACTATACATTTAAAGTAGCATCATTTCACTTTAAACAGCCAAGGCTTCTCCTCAAAAGAATCCTGGAAACTGTAATTCATTAAAGGGTGCTGAGAGTTGTTCAAAGACCCCCATCCCCTTTACAGAGCTACACTTCCCAGAGAGGTTTTAACAATCAAGCCCTCTTCCCAGGGATCTCTGGGAATTGTAGCTCTGTGAGGGGGAATAGAGGTCTGCAGTCCTAACAACTTTCAGTGCCCTCTAGCAAACTACAGCTCCCAGGATGCTTTGGGAGGAAGCCATGACTGTTTAAAGTGGTATGATGCTGCTTTAGATGTGAATGAAGACGGTGGTGAAGTGGCACCAACAAGAATTAGTGGCTCCATGCACTGATAGACCTCCCTGATGCACAGTGCACCAAACAATGCATAATCCTTGGAACACAGGAAGGAATGTAAGGGGGAAGAAATCCACTACCATTGGATGGTTTTGCTACAGCAGATTAACACAATTTCACTCCTCCAGGTTACTACTCTCTTACCTTGGTAATCTTCACAGAAGGCAGTGTATTGGCTTGAGCCCGAGCTTGTTCAGCTTTATTTTCAGGGACAAACAGTTCAAGGACATCTTTGATCGCAGTTGGTGGAACAATGTTCTAGAGGATAAAAAGAAGATGTGAAGGCCCTTAGTGACAATATTCATTTTTTAAAATGGATCTGGGAAGGGGGGGGAGAGACATTCATGCTTTTCTAGGTTTCGTTACTTAAACAGTGTACCTGATCTTGCAAGAGGTCCACAATCTGCTGGATGCATTCAGTGACAGAATATACGTTGGTTTTCAGCACAATTTCAGGCGCTTCTGGTTTCTCATAATCGGAGTCAATTCCAGTGAATCCTAGAGTGTGGAATATTCATTTACATAAACAATAGCATGGCAGTCAAGTGGTTAAAAAGGGCAAGGAAATGTGTTCTCTTTCAGGACACCCATGCTTAGGAATGGCTTTTGCATCTTTTGCACGAACTGCTGGAGACCTCTCATCAACTACTTAAGTCAAAACACTACAGAGAAATTGCTACCTTCCAAGGCAGCAGAGTTTACTATCTGGCGCATTGGGTTTCAAACAGGAGAATGTGTCACCAGAGTGCCCCTTCCTTCCTGCAACACAGCTGTGTCGGGTCCATAGCTGCAGTTAGCCATGGCACAGCCATGGGAGGCCCCTGGCATCTCTCAGCTGGGTATCTAGTAACACAAATTCAGACTAGGGCAGAGTTCAGCCAAAGCAAGTCTGCTGCTCAAGGGAGACTTCTGGAAGAAGTGGGATGGGGGGTGATGTGAACTGGGGATTCCATGCGGGGAATAGAATACATTATCAGTAGATGCAAAAACTGGCATACCTTTTATTTCTCCAGCTCGTGCTTTTTTATAAAGGCCTTTCACATCCCTGCTCTCACAGATATTCAGGGGAGCATCCACAAAGATTTCAAAGAAAGGAAGTCCAGCTGCCTCATGAATGTTTCTTGCATTCTGGCGGTCCTGTATAAAAGGAAAGCAGAGTAAATAATAGCATACTAATGCTAACATTTGTTTCCTTTTAAGTTACAGTACAAACACTCACACAGAGAGAGACATGACAGGACATTGATACAAAGCGCTCTCTCTCTCTCTCTCTCTCATATTATTTGTATATTTGTTTCTAGGTATTTATCCTGCTTTTTCAGGGCATCTACCCACAAATAGCAGCAAAACAGCACAATACGTCAGCATTAAGACAACATTTAAAATAAAAGAAGAGATATACCCACATTTAAAATGTCAACATCAATCCAAACACGGGATGTATCCAGACCTACAGGGCACACAAACATAGGACACAGCCTCTCTCTCTCTCTCTGTCAGAAACATGCTTATATTTTATAAACAGAATTCTTTTGCATAATGCTGAATAAAAATATTGGACCAACCTCCATTCCAACACCCCTTGACAATGCTTTACATGGAAACAATATATTAAAAGGGCTGTATTTTTAGCCCCCAAATGTTGAAAGAGGAAGAAACAAAGTGAGGTTTGGCCAAAGGGGTTGGCCTCTTTCCCTTGGCCTTTGCCCCACCCCCAGCTGGCCGTCCATTGTCCTCCCAGGCCGGGGGCCGGACAATAGCCACCCTGACCCAGGTGGGAGGCACCAGACCAGGTAAGCCCGCTCAGTGTCGCAAACCCCACCCACCTGTTGGGAAATGAGGGCGGAAATTATGTAGTATCTTCTTTCCACAAATATTAGTAAAAGTAGCTTTTACAGCATGGGAAATATGTTGTTTTTCTTGAAAGGTTTACCTTTGAGAATGGAGAAATGAAACTTGTTATGCAAACAAGTCCGGCATCAGCAAACAGCCTGGCAACTTCAGCAATGCGACGGATATTTTCTTCTCGGTCATCAGCAGAGAAGCCAAGGTTTTTGTTGAGTCCGTGACGAATGTTATCCCCATCAAGGGAGTAGCAAGGGATGCCATGAGACACAAGGTACTCTTCAAGTGCAAACCCAATGGTTGTCTTGCCAGCACCAGAAAGACCTGTATTAATAATAAGCAGTGCATGAAATCTATGATTTTTCATGGGTTCAAAGGACCCTTCACATTCACAAATATGTCATAAAATAAGTTCTCAAAGATCATGCAACTAAACTCATTTAATAAAACATTTTTATTCCTTTATAAACAAGGAACAACAGGAACATCAAACAACAGGTATGTGTGTTTGTCTTTGGTCATGTATGAGTTTCTTTATCCATTGACTGAGCTGCTGGGAAATGTTCACAAACATTCTAACTGCTCAGGGTAAAGGTGTCTACAGTGGAGTGTTGACTAACAGAATGGTTTGTGCAAAGCTTCTTTCAGTCCATTTTGGCTACGGATAGACACACACAAAAAAGCTCTAGCTGGGGAAATCAGAGCCAGGGAGCTGCTGTGGTCACCCAGGACTGCATGCGAACAATGGCTCTACATGAAGTCTCAATTTCTGAGCATCCAGTGACAGTAACAAATACGTTGCCTCACATATGCGCATATGCCACACACAGATACAGGGCACACAAAAATCAGCTGACACACAGAGGTTGTCACCCCCTCACTATTTGTCAGATGAGCCACACTACTGGCAAGGTTGGTGGGTGTCTGTGGCAGGAACAAATGAAATAAAAATAAAATGGTTGGAGAGCCAGGCACAAACCATGGGCCAGCAATTCACCACCACTGTATTAAAGCATTTAGAACTCACACCTCTTGGCCATGCTGAACTGAACATTAAACAACACCTTTTTCTCCTTATATGTGACTTATAATAATGGACCCATCAGTTGCAATACAGTAACTTTGTCCACTTGCTGAGTTAATCATGAGTACGATACCTGTGAGCCACACTGTACAGCCTCGAAAGCCAGCTCTTGAGCCCACGACTTGCCCTCTCTTACTCCTGCTAACGTGGTGAGCTTGGTAGACCACATTGGTGGACCTATGGAGATTCTAAGCACACAGAAACACACACAAAAAACATGAAATGAAGCCATTTATGCCATGACTGACAGTAACAAAACAACCTGAATGTATCATAAAGCAAAAATAATAAGAAGGAACACACATTACTGCGCAACCACAGGGCTATGAGACTTTACAAAGGGGTTTGATCCTCAGGAATCTTCAGCCCTCTCAAGTGGGCTCTGGGAACAGAGCCCCCACCCCCATGCTTGCAGAACGTACTTCTGTTCATGCGAGATAGGACACTATACACTGAACCACTGTGCTATATCCCATACTGTTTTGGAGCACCCCTCAATCCTCAGGAGCAGCTTTTGGGCTGGGGCGCAGGTGGCTGAGCAGGGTAAGGGGTTGGAATCAGTGAAAACCAGGTTCTCAGCCATGCACAAGCAGAAGTCCTTTCAGTTAACTTAAAGGTCACCATTGGACAACCCTTCCTTATCTCAATAAGTCTTACAACAATCCTGGAAGTCAACATCCCCCATATTTTGATTCTCATACCGCAGAATCAGGGACTAAGGCTGCCGATACATTTAAAGCACATTTCCACCCCGAAGATTTCTAGGAACTGTAGTTTACAAAGCTACATTTCCCAGCACCTTAAACTAAATTTCTCAAGTTTTGATGTGGCAAGGTGTGTGGTTTAAATGTATGGCGTGTACACAGCCTAAGAGTCACAGACAGAAGCTTCCTTATTACATTGAAGAGAGATTTGAAAGGAGGACTTTGCCTATCGCACTCTTTGAATCTTCACTATAGCATCTCCCAAAACTCTATAAAATTCCAACTAAAATCCTTTTTTCTTTATCACCATGGAGTCCCAAGTAAGAAGCTTGTCTTTATAAACTCTAGAAACGTTCAAGGTTTGTTTAGCTCTGTACCCTGCTGGAATTATTTAGCTTGCAGGAAATACCAGCATGGGCCCAAACTCCCTTTTGACCTGTTCTTTCTTCGCCTTTTAGCTGAATCATTCTTAAAGAGACAAAAGTCCCTGGCAACTGTGTTTTGTGCGGAGTAAATCCACAATCTCATTCATCACTCCCAACAAATCTCCTGGTGTTTCAATATGCATAAGTTTCATATTATTACAATCAAGCAACCTTATGAACCTTTTTAAAAAATCAGATGGGTAGAAAGCAGTGTTCGAAACTCCCATTGTTCTAGGTGCATTTTGCGACTGGGAATTTCATTAACGCGAGCCGTTTCTGAGCTCTGGGTGCAGTACTGTGCTTAAGATTTCAGATTAAAACTGCAGAGTGGAAGGAAAGGAGGAGCTTTTTCTGCCTCCCCACTTTCAGCCACTCTCTGAAGACTGGAGAAGAGACCCTCTTAAGAATATTAGGGGGGGTGGGCAGGAGAAGGACTAGACCATGTGAAAAATGAACATAGTATTTTAGCTGTAGTTCATTCATTTTCAGCTTGGTATTCTTATTAAAAAAATGTGCCTAGACATTCCGTTGTTGCATCCATAATCTAAGCTTAAGATGCCATTTAGCTCCTAGCTTTCATATCTCAGTTTCTAACACTGGTTGAAAGTGGGCTATACAAGGTCTGATTGTTCACCAGGACATACCGCCTTAATCCACAACCATTCAGAAAAGTAAACAGCAACAACTAGAGTACAGCCAAAAATGTCATCATCAAAACTCTCTGTATATATATCAGACGTTTGAGAATGATTCCTAGAAGAAGATTGCAACTCTATAATATAAACATAATGTTGCTATGCTTTTGTGCTACAAGTTGTAAGCAGAATATATCTGCACTGTTGGGTGAGAAATGTTTATTAAAATTTGACAAACGCGGAAAGCTGTCTTTACCAGTGCTGTACATATAACTGAAATCTATCTTTCTGATCTAAAAGAAATCACAATTATTCATAGACCTTATCAATCTAATGCAAATATATTCTAGAGAAACATGTATATTTACAATGCCGTTGAAGTCCCAAGTCTTCAAAGAGAGAGTGACAGCGTTGGTTTTTCACAACACATCTGCATCCCAGATGAAGCAACCAATCTAGAAAGCATGAAGCAGTATGCAAAGTGCAGACTACCAACTACTCACCCACTTCCTAGGCTTCAAACTATAACACTGCTAATGTGCAAGGCAAGTGGCGTTGGGAATGCTGATACTTTTGAAAATCCTGTTTCAGTGACAAAAAAAACCTCCAAATTAACATGCAACATGCTTGTACCTACTACGGCATCCTAGGTAAAGGTAAAGGACCCCTGGACAGTTAAGTCCAGTCAAAGGCAACTATGGGGTTGTGGCGCTCATCTGGCTTTCAGGCCGAGGGAACCAGCATTTGTCCACAGCTTTCCGGGTCAGCATGACTAAACCGCTTCTGGCATAACGGAACACTGTGACAGAAACCAGAGTGCACAGAAACATCGTTTACCTTCCTGCCACAGTGGTACCTATTTATCTACTTGCACTGGTGTGCTTTTGAACTGCTGGGTCGGCAGGAGCTGGGACCGAGCAACGAGAGCTCACTCCGTTGCGGGGATTCGAACCGCCGACCTTCTGATAGGCAAGCCCAAGAGGCTCAGTGATTTAGACCACAGTGCAACCTGCGTCCCACTGGCATCCTATCGTGATACAGAGATTTCTTCCAAAGTAATAATAACATACAGTTTCTGTTCTTTGTCAATTTCAGCATTCACACTCTCAACCTAGCCAGTGTTGGTGCTGGGCACAAGTCCCAGCAGGGACAGAATTAGAGCCTGAGAGCATCTGCAGAAGAACCAAGGTGGAGCAAAGGTAGCTGAAACCAGCAAGACTGTTATTAAGAGGCAAAGGGAACACCTGCTTCCCGTCAAAACTTGCTTGTGTTACTTACATAGCACCAGCAACAAGAGAAGAAGAAGAGGAGTTTGGATTTGATATCCCACCTTTCACTCCCTTTAAGGAGTCTCAAAGCGCCTAACATTCTCCTTTCCCTTCCTCCCCCACAACAAACACTCTGTGAGGTGAGTGGGGCTGAGAGACTTCAAAGAAGTATGACTGGCCCAAGGTCACCCAGCAGCTGCATGTGGAGGAGCGGAGACGCGAACCCGGTTCCCCAGATTACAAGACTACCGCTCTTAACCACTACACCACGCTGGCTCTCAAGGGCAGAGTGCAGGTTCAGAGCCTCTCTAGACCTCCGCCCTTAGTGCGCATTCATGATGATTTGTGCTGCTGATGGCACTGAGGGGGTTAAATGTGTCCCTGCTGTCGATCCTGTTTGCAGCTGCAAGGGTTTGGGGCAGTCTTAGTGCTTTGTTTTCAATCAGCGCATGTCCCATAACTCAGAATAGGCCCCATAACTTCCTGATGGCATCCTTTTGTTTTTCGCCATAGCTGGGGTGTGTGGCACTAGTGGGGGAGTTTTGCCCATGGTGAAGCCGCACCATGAAGCTCCCAGCCTGTGCGTGTGTGTGCAAATGCACATGGGAGGTGACAAACTGGGTCTTTGACCTGGGTGAAATAAAGCCTAGTTTTGCCCCTGCATGAAAGACATTTGGAAAAACCACAGGTAATCAGCCTTTGGAAGAGGGCAAGGACAGCAGGCGTGATCACTCCCTGCAACACAGAGAGAGAGCATACATTTTGAAATATTTTTAAAAAGAACAACAGAAAGGAAACTGTTTATCTGCGTCCCCAAGGAATGTGATGAAAACAACTTTATCCTGAATAGAATTAAGAGTCAGCAACTGGAGACTCCTGGGCCAAATCTGCCCCGCTATGAGGAAAAACTTGCTCCCTCAAGTGCCGATGTAGGCCCCAAAATAATGTGAAATAAGTGTGGGAACTGAACTTGCCAGCAGGCCCACTTAGGAAGCCAATGGAGCTGAGGAGATGAGCTATAACCCCTCATTCAGTTCTTAAAGTGGTCTTCCAAGAAAGCTAGCTGACAACCAGGGATCTAGGTTAAAGTTAAACTTTAAAGAATAAAGTTTAAAACAGAGCAGCTTGTTACAGTAGCAAGTCACTAACAGTTGTACACCTTGTACCTTTTGAGGTTTTTCAGGGAAATGGTGGAAATGCATATTCAGGGAATATTTTAGATAGCAGGGCATCCTCCCTCAGAATAGGCAGGCCACTGAACAAGATGTTCCTTTAGGAACTCTACAGTTTGTGTACACGCTGTCCTCATTCACTCCTGCATAGTGCATGATTGAGCAGGGTATTCCTGAGTCCAGCCTTAGTCCTCAGTGTCTCCAGTGCCAAAAAGGCTTCCTTGTAGCCTAAAAAGCAGCAGTCTGACATGGGGGTACAGAATCTCCTACATAAATACTCATTTATTCCATGGCCTCAGCTATAGTTACCCACCAGTGCCAGAGCAATTGCTCTTTCAGAATCTCATTTTTCATTCAGTGCTCTTTGAGCAAACTTGAGAGAAACCACTTTTGCCCACTGGTACAATCTTAGCACTTTGTTCCTGTTAATTTTGGCACTAGTACCCCAGTCTTTCGCCTCTACTGGGATATGTAACACAGAAGGTTTTTTTTTCTCCCAAGGAGATCCACAAAGACAACCTAGTTACCTCAAACAAGCAGCCATTCAGCTTGGAGACAGACAGACCAAAATGCCAAGGTCTCTGAACTGACAAAAAATTTCCTCCTCAGCTGCTGGCCCAACAATACTCTAGCTGTTAAGAAATCAAGCTTTCATGTATCATTCAACATGAAATGCAGCACATAAAGCTCATTTTAATATACCTAGATCTTTCTGTCTGTGGAACTGCAAGTGCTGTTACAATGAGGCATAATCAGAACCAATTAAGAATATACAGTCAAACGCCTTGCAAGTCAAACGTTTTGGCTCCCGAACACCGCAAACCCAGGAGTGAATGTTCCAGTTTGCCAATATTCTTTGGAACCCAAATGTCTGACGCAGGTTCCGCGGCTTCCGATTGGCAGCAGGAGCTTCCTGCAGCCAATCCGAAGCTGCGTCTTGGTTTTGGAAGTCGAACAGAGTTCCAGAATGGATTCCGTTCAACCTCCAAGGTACGACTGTATTTATATAGGTGTTTATATGTCACTAGGGACATGGGTGGCGCTGTGGGTTAAACCACACAGCCTAGGACTTGCCGATCAGAAGGTCGGCAGTTCGAATCCCCGTGACGGGGTGAGCTCCCGTTGCTCGGTCCCTGCTCTTGCCAACCTAGCAATTTGAAAGCACATCAAACTGCAAGTAGATAAATAGGTACCGCTCCGGCAGGAAGGTAAACGGCGTTTCTGTGTGCTGCTCTGGTTAGCCAGAAGCAGCTTAGTCATGCTGGCCACATGACCTGTCTGCGGACAAACGCCGGTTCCCTCGGCCTATAGAGCGAGATGAGCACGCAACCCCAGAGTCGGTCATGACTGGACCTAATGGTCAGGGGTCCCTTTACCTTTACCTTTACCTTTACCTTTACCTTTACCTTTACCTTTACCTTTACCTTTACCTTATATGTCACTGTGTTTCTGTTCACTAAATGAGTAATTATCCATACTTCAGGGACCCATCAGGAATATGCCACCCATTGAGGGGAAAGAAAGGAATCACAAAGCTGTGACAAAGTGGATATTTCATATTGGTTTTATTGATTTGGCTAAAACATTGCTAAAATGTGACAAGGAGAAAGTGGCAGTTTCAAGATTTGTTACAAAGTATGACAAACCTTATGGATAGTCTTCCCAAAACAGAGAAAAACAATGTGTTTCAATCACATAGACAAAAGAAATCCACACTGTTTTGTCCTCCTGCAGCAATGAGTCAGCAGTTTCATTAACAAATTTACAACTCATTTTCCATAGTAACATATAATAAAATACAACCTTTCCCCCTTCTATTACTAATAAATTAAGGAAGTAATTTATAGTCATGGTAAATTATAGCGAAATGAAGGAAGCAATAATCTTTCGACTGTAAATCGTCACTTTACAAGTGGAGATTTTTCAAGAGATCCTTAATCATTTGAGGCGGAGCGCAAATTTGTTCTGAAGTTCCACAAGCTAAAAAGGTGCAGCAGGGCTAACTAATACGGTGCCCTCCTTATGTTGTGGGACTACAACTCCCATCAATCCTGCCAACGTGGCCAATGGCCAAGGATTATGGGAGTTGCAGGCAGCATGTTGGCACAGGTGCAGTGACATTGGGAGAAGCACTCTGGCAAGATGGTGGAATGGGGCCATCATGGGAAAAGCATAATGGCAGCAAACCCCTTTAAATCAATGGCCACAACCCCATGGATGGCACAACTTTATACCAACCCCAAATCCGGTGCAAGAAATCCCCCCCCCCATAAAGTCAACATGAGGGTTTTTTAAAAAAACCAAAAACAAAGCAGTACTCTGTCAACAGATCTGCTCATGTCACCATGGCAGAGCCTAGATTATCGTGTAACTCCACATGCACCCTATGAAAACACATTACAACAAGTATGCAAGCCCCACAATGGTGAGACCACTTCTCTGATATTATGGCACGTGGCATGGAGCTGTATATCTCTGGCCCCATCTTCTGCACAATTAGACCCTTGCACAGCAGAACTCTGGTGATGGAAACCCGGAGAAAGGGCACTTCGCACAAAAAAGGGATACCTTTGCACAGAACAGTCTGTCTTCAGAACACACCTCAGAACTTGAGTTCACTGCTACACTTCTCTGCCTACAGCTCTAAAGCACCTCAGCTCGAGACTCCAGGTACAAATACGCCATACCAAACTCTATGCCGCTCCCAACAACTGGGGGTGCCAGGCAGGACTGTGTGTACTCTGCCCAGGGGGAGCTGCATGGGTGCTGCATTGTACAGGCTGTCCTTCCTCCCCTTTGCATGTTGGGCTCATAAAGCAGTGCTTGGAAGGAGCATAAGGGGGCTTCAGACCACTGTCTGAAGGGATGCTTGGGGTTTGGCAACAGCAGACTTGTTACGGGCTGAGTCTGTAGGGCCGATGAAACTGGGGCACTGCAGGATTGTCTTGCATGTTGTGTATATGGTGGTGCAGGGATGTGGGCTGGGGGTATATCCTTATCACATTGTGTTGGCTCTCTCAACGTGTGAGCAGCATTGGGTGTCATTGCTGGCACAGTTCTTGACTGGTCCATTGGCAGCGTTTCTAGGGATGCTGGGGAAAATGCCTGTCATTTTTATGCCATTTTTGTATTTTCTAGCTGTATGGTTTTTCCATCCCCTCCCTGAGTATTCATCACAGCAGCAGTATAGCTCCAGTCCTAGGGAAAGGTAAATATGTGTGCCCTTGGGTAAATGGGAATGTGTGCAATGCCCATTTTCCAACACAGGAAGGGCAACTGCACATAAATAAGATTTTAAAGCACACAAGAAAAACTTGCAAAACAGAATCTTTAAAGTTTGTAGAAGTTAACACACCATCCTGCTGCATTGTAAACACACAGTTCATATACTGTATATCACACTATTTTCCTCTCAATGTTGAAATGAATTGATTATTTTGAGTCATTTCTGTAAACTGATGAAATTTGTGTAGAAGGCTTGAAAAGTAAGTTTTGCCAGACGCCTAGGAATTATTACCCATGAGCTGGACAATACATCCAGAGTGACCCTGCTAGCCTGAGAGACCAGTGAAAACATTTAAGGTAGTGGAAGATGATACAGCAAATAAACAAGACAGAACACCAAAAGTTACACATGAGGTTCGTGCATTTTTATTTTATTTTTTAAAAGAGAATTGCAAAAATAAAAATCCAACTGCAATGCTGAAGTTGCTTTTGTTCACTGTGGCTGCTTTTGAGAACTGCCACCAAAGTTACTCTAAACACTGCTTTTAATTAAATGGACTCGAGTTGAAATGGCAGCTAGACAATAATGTCTGTTCATTAGTCCAGCAAATTGAAGGGTTCCACTTAGCATTAGTTCCACAATCTAGTGAAAAACTAGATCAACTGATTTCCGATCCTATGTTCTGACAATAATATAGAGGGAAATCCAATGTTGCAGGAGCAAACCTGCTCATGCAATGGAATTTTCCCTTCTTCCACTTGCTCCTACAGTCCTCCCCCCCCCATCCCAAAATGTGCTCTTAAGGGTTGGGGGACCCAATAGAGCAGCCCATGGGGGTTGATGGGACCTACAGGGAGGATCTTTTGACAGACCGTCTCTTATTTTCAAGTTAATAAGCTACTCCAAGTAACCTTTAGGGTTCCTCAGTTTGACAGAATAATTACTTTCATGGTACTCTTTTAATGAAAGTGACTAGGTAAAAAAAAAGTTAAGCAAATATGAAACATAGGTGGAAAAGGTGGAATAAATCTCATAGCATACATTTTCCCCAAAGCAAAGTGAATGCAAGTTTCTACAAAACAATCAAAAGGGCCAACGCACATGAATAAAAAATGGGAAATGCACTTGAATGTTTTGTTCCTTCCAAGATCAGCCAGTGCCTGTGTATGAGTCTTTTTATATTGTATTAGACACACTTTTCTTCCATTGTCATTTCCTTTAAAACACATGCAAAGATCACGCAATAGCCAAGGTCCTGGTTTTACAACAGCTTGCTGACCACTAAGGCCATCTCCCATTTTTTGTGTGAAGCCCTAGACAAGAAAGTGGCTATTTCTCCATCCCTCAAGGAAAGAGTTTATCATCTGCACACTTCTCAATTCACTTCTTCCTGATCTTCTGAGCACAGGAACTGAAGAGGGTGGATAATTACGCCATAGCTATGGTTCAGCTTGATGAGCCCTTCAAACAACCATCGGCCCTGAACAACTGCCCTGCCTTTCCAAATGCCATTACCAGCCATATTCCTCAGGCAGAGCAAAAGTTTAACCCTAGACTACCTTATCCTAGCTTAAATTCACATATAAAATCCTGTCTAAGCATCTACAACAGCAGGCAAAAAGGAGCTTTGTATTCAGAGTAAGGATGGGTTGCCTATGGCAAGCAACATGAAATTTGCACAACACAGGCAAACTATAAACATATCCAAATTGCTATGGAAGGATCCATAACACTGAAGGACAACCAAAGCTGAATCCTGAGCAAATTCATCATATTTAGATCCCACTGGGCTTAAGTTGATAGTGACCAATTTTCCACAAATAATGAGCTCCAAGCGCATGTACTATACTGTAGCAATGGAAGAGCAGGTTTAAAGAAAGTTCCTGTTTTAAGTTACTACCTCAAAGTTGTAGCAGGACATAGTATGTGGGCTTTCTAGACTTTGCATATATGTGAAAGTAGAAAATGCTTAGGTACTATTTCAGAGCACACAACATACCTTAAGCAGCTGCCTTGCACCAAATCCAACTGTCACTCCATCTAGATCAATATTATCTACACTGCTCCATCAGGCATCTTTCCCAGCCAGACCCAAAGATGTGGAGGACCAAACCCGCAAGCTTTTGTATGCAAATCACATGCTCCATATGGCCATTCCCCTCTCTTCTTCACTACCTTAAATGAACCTGGGACTCAACTCAAGTCCCTTCTGTCCAAGGGGGAACCATAAAAGAACATTACCTTTGTTACTGCTGCACTGGTTCAAGATAAGCAAGATAATCTTCATCATCATAGATCATAACACAATCATCTGTGTTAACTGCAAAGCTTATCTAAAACTGATAAACCCAAGATTAAAAACAGAATGTCTCCCACTTTTAAGGAGTCATATTGAAACATAGTTGTTCTCAAGTTAATGCAAGCTTCAAAACCATTCTGATGAACCAAAACATAGCTCTTGATAAGGTTGGGGAAATTTCATTCTTCTCCATTTTCCTGCTAAAAACATATGACCTCCAGCTCAAGAATTTTTATTTATTCATTTGTTAAATTTGTATACTGCCCTATAACCATAGATCTCAGGGAGGTTCACAATATGGAATCCCCTTGCCAACAAAAGTCCGTATAGTTAAAGCTATGGTTTTCCCAGTAGTGATGTATGGAAGTGAGAGCTGGACCATAAAGAAGGCTGATCGCAGAAGAATTGATGCTTTTGAATTATGGTGCTGGAGGAGACCCTTGAGAGTCCCATGGACAGCAAGAAGATCAAACCTATCCATTCTGAAGGAAATCAGCCCTGAGTGTTCACTGGAAGAACAGATCGTGAAGCTGAGGCTCTAATACTTTGGCCACCTCATGAGAAGAGAAGACTCCCTGGAAAAGACCCTGATGTTGGGAAAGATGGAGGGCACAAGGAGAAGGGAACAACAGAGGACGAGATGGTTGGACAGTGTTCTCGAAGCTACCCGCATGAATTTGACTAAATTGCGGGAGGCAGTGGAAGACAGGAGTGCCTGGCGTGCTCTGGTCCATGGGGTCACGAAGAGTCGGACACAACTAAACGACTAAACAACAAAGTCCACAAAGCTAACCGGCACTCCTGTTGCTGTGCTTGACGTTAGCCCCGCCAGACAGATCAGTTAACAGGGCTGATCATCTAAAGAAGGAGAGAAAGGAAGTGCCTGAAGTCAGACTGGTGCTGTGAGGGTCCAGGTGGCTAAAGCAAAGAAAAAAGGATTGGATGAAATAATACTTTTTATCTGAAAAGTTAATATTAATATCAGTCTCCTGAATGCCTCTATAGCAGCTGGCTCTCCGTGTGTGTGCATAATCAAACTTGACAACCCAGTGCTGCTCAACAAAGCAGATAGCGTTAAAGTCAACCTAAGGCAAGTATTTTACACATTAAAGTGCTGAATAAATAAATTTAAAAATCTGCTTTCCATATTGAGATGCATACTGGACCTGAAAGATATACTGAAACAAAATTCTAAAGCAAAATGGAGTGTCGTATATTTTAGACAATGTTTATTTTGCTTTACAAGGCTACAAAATCTCTACTAACTAGAAATAAACCAGCTGTATTTCACCAATACTGTGTAAATTAATGGCATTATATATCACAGCTTGGAAGTAAACACACTTGAGGAAAAAATGTCAAGGGGAAAAAATCCATCATGTACAATTGCAGTAAAATCAGTTTATTGCAGTGTTGGATGTTAACATTTCACTATTATTACTTTTTTAGTATCTGTGATTTCTTGAAATGTGCAGAGCAAATTTATAATGTAGTTACTGGCCAACCTTATGACATTTCGTGCAACCTTATCTAAATATTCATACCATTCACGACACATTATAAATCTCCCTTTTTTTAACATTATGGTTTCAGCTCAAGATGTTCAGCTAATGCAATGTACTTAATTTCTGCAATAATACAAGAACATTGTGTTTGTTTAAAGTAATTGCTCTTATCCATAAAATGTTCTTTGATAAGCCATTGTAGAATTTGACCTCAGTCTAGAAATATTTCAGGTGTTAAACTCTGGCGTTCAAATTCTGATTGAGAGAGGAACCCAAGTTAGTATTTAACGTACTTAACATATTTGCTGAAGTAACTTTTTACCACTGTTAAGAAACAAGGAAGAAACTTGCCCCAAGGCAAATCAGATTAAGTAATGAGAAGCAAGGGGTGGGATGCAGGTCATATTCACACCAAACTTCCAATGCACATAGCTTCCCCCAAAGAATCCTGGGAACTCTAGTTTGCTCAGGGTACTTGGAATTGTAGCTCTGCGAGGGATAAAGTGTGTTTCCCCTTATTCTTTGGGAGAAGCCATGTGTATAAACAAACAAAAGAAATTATATTTGCCATAGTCCTGCCGTACTCATGCAGGAATTCAAAGTTATGCTAACATCAGGTCTAAATATTTGCATCAATGTATTGGTACAAACGAGGCATTAGGATGTTCTGACAATGCAATTATTTGCACACTCCAGTCTAAGCTCTTACTGCACGTGCTCTATTCTTAACTATTAAAAAGCCACTTCCCTTTGAATGATAACCTGTAAACGTCACATTACAGTCTTAAAGCAGCCAGTAAGGTGGAATGTAAAGAAATGGCTTCCTTGCTTGCTTGTTGCTCTTTGTAGCTATAACTCTTCAAAAGGGTTGCAGACATACAACTATTATACAGTATTATAATGTCCAAAACTGGTTAGAAGATCTCAGGAAGCTCCAGACTTAGGGCCAAGAAATAAAGCACAAGAGAGGTGATGGTGGGGAGAATGGCAGAAAACTTCTGTTATAACAAAGAGATGTTACTTGGCTCTAGAGTTGCTCATTGAATCCAACAAAATGCCTTTCTTTCGCCAAGAATAAACTAGAAAAGAAAAGAAAACATTCACTTGTGTTGCATAACCTTTCTGCAGCCCTAGATCACCAGTCTTCTGAGTTTTTAATGGTTTGGGAAATGAAACTCTTCTCCCCGGAATATATACATGAGAATGTATTTCAAGCACTGTTTACATTCACGACCAAAGTTTTAAATGAAATAGGCTAGCTTGCTGATCCTGCCTCCCATACTGATAGCAGCTGGACTACTGAACTGTTATTTGTGGATCAGTTGTAACAGCTTGTTTCTCTTCCTGTCTAGTATCTTTTTATTGGTGCAGATGGACTCTGTGTATCTTACTCGATTTGTGTTTTCTGAGCGGCCTTGGTTTCGTGCACTTTGTATCTAGTGAGTTGTGTTTGCAACTCGATTGTTAATGGACAGCTATAATTCTGTCTGTCTCTTTCTGTGTGTAGTATGTTGATCCATTTATTTTCTGACACCTGCCACGACTCTTGGACAGTTGGCAAGCAAAAGGCATGAATTCTAACTTGACCACTCTCAGCATTGCTGCTGCTGCAAGCCTTTAAGTTTGCAAAGATTAGAGAACTATCCCTCAAAACCACCTCATCAACAGAAAGCAGATCCCATCCTCTTCCGTAACATTACATTGGCATTCTATACTTAGTGATATATGTGGGTGAAATGTTTTCATTAAGCACCTGAGCCCTCCATCAACCTATTAACCTATGGTGCCTGAGAAGAAACTAGGTGTTTGTGACAGAGAATAACATAATAAAGGAGAGCAGTAGGGAAGAAATAGTTATTTTTCTACTTGAGGGAGTTTCTGTTATGAAAATAAGAATCCCTAGTGTAACTCTTATCTTCTGGGGGAAAAGTAATTTCCTTTTTTGGTCTCCACTGGATAAGTCTGCTTTGTATAATCTGGAACCAAATTAAAGTTTTCACATGGCAATGAAGTCTTAAACCTTAATTTCCACAGCATCACAATGTTTACACCTCTAAAACATAAATGGGGATCACAGGAGAACTGTACAAAAAACTTTATGACCCAGTTTCTCACAGCTACACATAAAATATACCAGCTGCATTGGATGCCCATACATTTTTTGTTTGAAGTTACAGTGCTGGTATGGACTTTTAAAGGGACCAGGTTCTCTGAAGGGCTGCCTGCACTCCTATGAATCTGCCTGGGCCTTGAGAGGCCCTGCATGTGTACCTGTAATCAAGATCTACTAGACTGAAATAAAAGCTGTAGAATTCTGCCCAATTTCAGAGATGGATGGGACCAGGATACTATCTTCCACTTGTAGGACAGATGATTTTTAGTTTGTTTTGCATGAAGATCTGGACAAACTGCTTGGAATTTTAAGACCTACAACTTCCTTGCTTGACCCTTGCACTTCATTTTGAGATTTGGGGGACTGGGTTGTTAATGCCACTTTGAGAGAGGGAATGGTTTTTTCCTACCTCAAGGAGGTGACAGTGAGACCACTCCTTAAACAGCCAAATTTAGAACCTTTGGTAATGAACAACTACCATCTAGTCTCTAATTTGCCTTTTTTTTTGCCAAGGGAATAGAGTGGGTGGTGACTTCAAAACACCAGTCATTTCTACTCATAGGCCTGCTGTAAAAAAGCCAAATACTTTTGATGATCATTCAAACATGTAATTAGCTACTCCTCCGATAACTTGGGGAGACCAAGAATTCTGTCTAGTTGACCAGGCTTGGAAACTTTTGAAAACTTAAAAAAACTGACTATAATTCTCTCTTAAGGTCCCTCACATTCCAGAAATAACTAACGTGTCTTTGTGTGGCAATACTTTCAAGACCTAGTTAGCAAGGCAGTAACACTAACTATCTGTACAGAATAGTTTTTAAGCACATTATTTGAAGTACAACAATTCTGCTGTTTGGAATGTTGGGCATGTCTCATTCTTTAATTCCAAGGAAACGGTTCCGTATGGCCTTATTTGAGCTGTTTTAGCGTATATAAAGTGTCATGTGCAAAATAAGGTACAAAATAGTAATGAAGATTAATCACTGCAGATTTCTGGATTCCAAACGGGCTTTTACCAGTAGGAAGAAAGAATGTGGAATTATTACAATGAAAGACACACAGTCATACGTTGACCTAATCTACAACGGCCTTGCCATGATTACACCTTGCAGTTTTCTAACACATCTTGGCACAGGACACATACAACTGAGCACACAGCATAAGCTAACCAGATTTTGCATCCTTTGGACTATGACAAGTCCCATGAGGATCTCTCTCTAATGATTTATTTCCAGCCAAAGAACTCCCCTAATGAGTAGTGACTAGGAAACAGCACAATTAATGTGGAAGAACAACAAAAGCAATGCAACATGGTTTTGCTGCCAAAAAGGACATAAATATTACTGTAAACCGTCATCTTATGCACACTCTGTTGATTTCATTGTTGTCTGAGCATGCATCCACTCTTCTAAAATTTGCTAAAGTCGGTTTATGTGATTATGTGTCAATTATCAGTAAAAAAATTAAATGCATTGCTGTCTGAAGCAGCCTTTCAAATACTGTTGAAAACCCACCCAGTTCCCACAAGTCGTTTCTTCCCCTGCCTAGCTGCTCACCATTTCTGCATTCTGTAGTATTTCCCCAGCTCAAAAAGAGCACCAAACCACAAGTTCACATTTCTCTCTCGGAGTAATCCCAGATGAGCAGCAAACCATACCTTATGGTTCTCAAGGTTTTGATTTAAAACAGGGATAGCACAACTCTTAAAATAATTGAGTTATCTAGAGCATGTCATTTGAGGACAGCAGTCCTGGGTCTCAATCTACAACATGTTTGCTTTAAAATAAGATCCATTGGAATCAATCAGCCTACTATGGAGCAAGCTGAATAGCTAGAAGCAGAGTAAACGTAAGTTAAATTTCAGGTTTTGGGGTCCCCCCCCATTTTTAAAAAGGAATAGCAAAGCAGAATGCAATTCTTACTTCTAGGTCGATTCCTTCATTGACCTCTGTATTGAAAATTTTAAACAAGTTTTAAACCCAAGGTTTATTAGCTCACAGTCCTGAAGTGTACACTGACAGATTTATGAGCTTGATTCAGTCTGCCTTGCCAGTACATGTCCGCCATGAGTGGCCTTCAGACTCTGCTCCCGATGTGAGAAAATCATTCACTCGCCAAGTGTATTGTCCTTTAACTTCCAGGCTGCCAACAAGGTTATCAAGTTAACATTTATTATGGCAGCAAGTCCATAAGGTTGACAGCTTATCCACTTATGTCCTGCAAGATTATTTCACTTATATGTATTACAGAGCTGTTATATAACATTCATCTAAGGAATTTCTAGAGGGCAGAGTAATAGTCTCATCCATCCTGGTGACTCCTACGTAGAACATTAATCCACAATGAAACTGTTACAATTTTGAAAAATAAGATTGTGAACTAGTTAACAGTGTTTAGGTGACCAATTTCCTGGATTTTAACAAATTAATTTAAATGATTTGCATATTACCAATCATATTAATATGTCTTGTCTGCATGCAAGGAGAAGAGCCACAGCTCAGTGGTAGAGCATCTGCAGAATGTCGCATGTTCAGCTTCCAGCATCTCTACGTAGGGCTGGGAATTGCCCCCTACCTGAAACCCTGGAGAGCCGCTGCCAGTCTGCAGACAATAGATGGTCCAGTTACAGGGACGCTTGCTCTGTCCCAGCTTCTGCCAACCGAGCAGTTCGAAAACATGCCAGTGCAAGTAGATAAATAGGTACCGCTGCGGATTAGTACATAAACAATGATGACAGCTAACTAATCTACATTCTCTGAACTACAGAGTGGTTATTCCAATGCATATTAGTAATGCTGGTAACAGAACAACAGTATCCCCCCCCCCCGGGTAAATGCACCCAGAATGTAAGGAAGCAATTGTCTGACTACACTTGCTATGCAGAAAGCTGTCCGTGGACAAACGCCGGCTCCCTTGGCCTGAAGCGAGTTGAGCGTCACACCCCATAGTCACCTTTAACTCGCCTTAATCATCTAGGGGGCCTTTACCATTTACCTTTACACTTGCTATGTATAGTGTTTGTACAAATAGAGCTTTTAATCCAGGAGAAGTGTTAAAAACACTTATCCGATTTTTACTCAGGATTTGCCTGTGAACTTGCACATTACCCATGTTTACATTCTGCACCTGTGTATTTAGGAAGCATGACCAAGTAAAGATGGATACCCAGTTATATTGCTCAGTATCTTAAGGTTTAGTCAGGTCAGGTGGCATGGGGGGTCATTTTGAAAGAGGCTGAGAGTGAGAGGAAACCTGGGAAATAACAAGTCTAAACCCAGCTCACTGTGAGGTAATGGTAACTCACAGGCAGTCTGAGTATAGGTTATTTCCTTTTTTTAAAAAAACAAAGATATTTATTGAGATTTTCAAAATGTTACAAAAAAGAGAAAAAATAAAATAGAAGCAGAAGAGAGTACAAAGGATAAAAATAATTGACAAAATAGAAAAAAACGGAAAAAAACCAACCCCTTCCCACCATATACGAAAAGATTCCAAATGAGAAAAAATGACAGAAAAAAAGAAAAAAAGAAGAATGCAAAAATCACAAAACTTTAAAAACATTTAAAAACAAATTCATTATTTTCAAATCCTTAACTGTCATTACCTTCTTTCTTAGACCTCCTCCTCCTCCCTTTCTTTGTATCCTTGTTATTAATTATCCCAGCAAATCCTTGACCTTATCTTTCTATAATAAAATAAACCTTAAAACTTAAAACTTAAATCTTATCCTTACCAACTTCTCATAATCATAATAGTCTTTAAACATCTTTGCTAAAGCCAAGTAATTTCATTCCAACATTTTTCTATCATTCATCAATTTTATAAAACAGTTCTAATGGTAGAAAAAAGAGGTATAAACAGATCCAATCTTCATCCAGCGTCCCTTCCTCCTGGTTCCGGGTTTTGTCAGTCCTTATTCCCGTCAATCTAGCCCATTAACCTGGCAACCTTATGTCCGAGGCCCTCAAGTCTCTTCCATGACCCTTCCGCGGCTCTTCTTCATACTTGTAACTGTATTTTCCCTTGTCTCCTGCTCGTGGTAACTCCAGCTTGACAATGTTTTTAACCCTTCTCAACAGATCAGCCCCTTTTCCATGTTCAACAATGAATTCCATGTAGTATTTAAAAGCATGTATCAAAGGCCCTCCAAAATTGAGAGCCCCCACAGTCCCAAACATCTCACGGCCCGTTGCCGTATTTGAAAAGTCCAAACATCCCAGCATAGGGGGGTCAATCCAGCCCCCTATTTCCAAACCAAGCCAAACTTTTCCTTTCCAGATATGGCTTTATCCCAGTTCATTTGTCAAATCCAAAAAATCATATTCCTGTTGGGCCTGTTCTGTCAAAACACACTCCTGAATTAATGTCAAAAACTCCTGTTCTGTCAAGACACACTCCTGATTTAAATCCTGAGTGGGCTCCACATATTTTCCCACTGTCTGTTCAAAGTTTCCCACTGCCTGTTCAAAATTTCTAGTCGAAGTCGCCATCCAATTCACCTTCTCGTGTAATTGTTCCAGTAGATCGTTTGTTTTATAGAGAGCATACAACAAGGCTTCTGAATACATTGTCCTACAAGGTCAGATACTTGTTCCCATGGTTGTAATCTGTAACAGCTGCCGACTCCCTGGAGTTAGTTACAGTTTCACAGTTACAATTTCACAGACTCCCCCTAGGGGGAAGACTTCTATTTATTCTTGCAACAAAGTTTCCTTTTTTAAGATACTTTGTCCATATATAATCCTTTAAAATGCTAAAGGGAACAGTGGAATCACTAGGTTTCTCTTCTTTTAGCCATCTGTCAAAAACACTTGTCTTTGGTTAATGAACTTCACGCGTCAGTCCTGACAGCCCGCTCCAGGATCAGGACGGAGGAAAGTTACTTCACTTTAAAGTCACTTTAAACAGTCCAAAAAGATCCCCCCCTTCTCCTACTGTCGAAGGGGGATTCCACAATTTTAAATGGTGAAATCCAATCTTTTAAAAGCGATTTCCTGAGCTCTAGTTTAAATTGCCTTTGCTTTATTCTGTTTACAAAAGAACGGAAGGATGACTTCCTGTTTAGACCTTCCCGTTCTGTACCAAATTCAAGTAAATTTTTAGAGTCCGATTCTTTCCTACTCGCAAGTCCTTATTTGATGTCCAGTTGTTCAAAGTCTAAGTACTCACGGGTGCTTATTTTAAAGTCCAAATTGTCCCAGGAAAAAGGCAGCGCTCTCCGGCAACAGCTATGCGGCTTCGCTCCACGGAAATAGCAGTTGACTCACAGCACTGCGCCACTTCCCCCTCTTCACTTCGGAGCCCATTAGTGGGTTCCTTAGCGGGTTGGGGGGGCGCTAAAGGTGCCCGCCGAGTCCCATGGTCACAGGCTTCATCCACCTGTGATTTTTAAGTGGGTCCCCGCTTCGCCGTAGCGGAGAAGACCCGTTTTCCGCGGAGCTAGTCCCTCCAGTTCAGAGGGAGTCCGCCATTGCCGGTGGCGCCACCCCGGAAGTCGGTTATTTCCTGCCTATACTCCCAGAAGTGAGGTGCAGGCAACTAACAGGTGCCCTATGTCCTAGGTTGCAATCCTATGCACATGAGGGCTTCTAACTATCCAAGAAAAAGGGGGAGTGGCATTCTTGTGTGCCTTTCAGAAAGCTGGATACGCAGAAAGCAGCACACAAACCTTTTGACAGCATGCAGAGAGACATCACCATCTGATTGTCAGTGTTTGAACATCATTCTGCTGTTACAGGCAAAGCTACAGTGGCTGGCTGGTTCAAAGCCAGGTAACCCCAGAGTACAGTGGTACCTTGGGTTACAGACGCTTCAGGTTACAGACGCTTCAGGTTACAGACTCCGCTAACCCAGAAATAGTACCTCAGGTTAAGAACTTTGCTTCAATATGAGAACAGAAATCGCGCAGTGGCAGCACGGAGGCAGTGGGAGGCCCCATTTGCTAAAGTGGTGCTTCAGGTTAAGTACAGTTTCAGGTTAAGAAAGGACCTCCAGAACGAATTAAGTTCTTAACCCAAGGTACCACTGTACACTTATTTGGTAGAGCAACCCTAGATCATGCCGCACACTGACTCAGGAGGAGGAGCAGCCTCCACTGGAAGCAATAGGACTTAACTTTCCAATACAGTGGTACCTCGTGTTACAGACGCTTCAGGTTACAGACTCCGCTAACCCAGAAATAGTACCTCAGGTTAAGAACTTTGCTTCAGGATGAGAACAGAAATCACGCAGCGGTGGCAGCAGGAGGCCCCATTAGCTAAAGTGGTACCTCAGGTTAAGAACTGTTTCAGGTTAAGAAAGGACCTCCAGAACGAATTAAGTTCTTAACCTGAGGTACCACTGTAAATATGACTGGAATCAGGGTACATAAAGTAGGCTGAGGTAAGCCCCAACCCAAAGCTAGGCACTTTTTAGTCTCATTGATTTCCCATGCTTAAACAAATGGGACTTGGTGGTACTGAAAGGACTTTGGCTGCAATGAGCCCTTAGTTTCAACTTTTAATATCCTGGCAAAGTTCCTATTACCAAGAATTGTCAAGCAGTTCAATGTAGATTATATGTAAATACACTGGGTATTTTATTTTCAGACAAAAACAAACAAACTACAATACTGTTTAAAAGTGTGCATTCCACTCACCCAGCTCTAAACATTTTTAAAAGCAAGGGGTCACTAATTCTGCTTTGTCTGTTGTCATCAGTTTATTTATGGGGTTTCCCCCCCCTTGTTAGATACAATACACCAACATATCCAGAAAACATGACAGCTGCACAAACCCTGAGGTGTCCCCTGTGGCAATGTTAAGCATTTAAACTGTTGTGAGTTGCAATGTGCCTAATTGGCTGTGATTAATGTTGGTGAGTGAAACTCTTTATCTACACATCCATTCCTGACATTTGGAGTTGTTTCTTAACAAGCACAGTTCAGATCTAAGCCAAGGACATGAGGTTCTAAAAAAAATAACAAATAGTTATGTAAGTGTAACATCCAACTAGGGAGAAATGGGCTTCTCTCTTCTTTATTTTGTTTTCATATACTGAAAGATGACAATCAGCTAGAGACAAAAGTAACCATGGTTTATAAGACCCACCCAACCTATGTTGGCAACAGGGCTACAAGCTTTCACGCTTCGTAGTTCTCTTCTCTTGTAAACAGCTATGTGAAGTCTGAAAGTGTGCACACCCTGATTTGGGGACTGCAAAAATCCCAGGCACATCAAAATATTATGTTGTTTCCTGGGCATATATGACATCTTTATTCAGGCTTTCTATAAGTCTGGGTCCTACAAACATGATTCAAAAAGACAAAGAAAAGAAGCAAACTTCATGCAGGTATAAAAAGAGAGTATTTATTCATTCAATTACATTTCTGAACACATTCAGGGACAACATTCAGGGCCACATTACTGTTTGGTGCTGTCCTTTGTTGTTGCTTTCCCCCCCTGCCCCTAAACAATTTCAAATATTTTCCCATCACTGCTCACCCAAAAGAAATTAGAGCAATAAAGAGTTACATCTTCTGTATTGTCACTTCAGTCCTGTGTACAATAAGATTTTTGAGAGAACCTTCAAACAGCCTAGGAAACACAAGTCAAGAGTGCCAATTTGTCAAACAATGAAGCTGAACGTTAAAAAGGAAGCAAATGAGATTAGAGAGCTTCCTAGGCTGCAGCAATCACAATATGAAGAAAAGCATGATAATAGTGGAGGGAGGGAGGATCTTACAGTGTTTCCACTCTCCTGTCATTTTATATCTCTTAGCTACCATACTTCCTCAAGAATGCATTGCAGTTGAAGCAGAATACATGCTACCAGCCAAGTAACTCTGATGAAATAATGTAAAAAATACAGCGGGATCACCTAGCTACAGGATATAAGACTATAATCTGGGCTCCAGCCTTGCCACAGAGATGTCTCTCTGTACCCGAGCCCTGACACCAGTTTCTGATTTATTAACATTCTTGAAAGAACCATATAACCCCAGCCCAGCCACAAGATTATATGCTCAGTATCTGGCTAGTCTCCTAACGGGCACAGAGGATGACGCTGTAACTGCTAAGCATTTCAGAACACTGGCTTTTCTCTTTGCAGTTTACACTGCTGGTGGTTTTCTTGCCTGAGCCACCTAGGTGTGTCTTGCTAATATCATTCCTTCTCCTGAAACAACCTCTGGCTTCCCGTACTTTGGGCCCCTCTTTCTCTCTGCTCTAGAAACACTGCGTTCTGGACCATAATTACTACAAGGAAGGGACTTTCCAGCATTCTGTGCTCAATGGGGACATTTCCAGATACAGAAGTTGTGTCCTGCAATCTAACTCTACTGGCACCTTGGAAGAAATGGCAGACAAAGTAGTTAAGGTGGTCACTGTGGAAACTTTGCAAAATTTGCTGTACAAAATAACTCTATCTCCCTAGTGGGTTTTGTTAGGTTCCCCACCCCCACCCCCGGAGTACCCCCACCCACTGCTTTTCAGTGTTTTGCTATAGCAATCAACTGCAGTAACTGTAGCCTGGTTTTAGCTGATCTTTATCATTAAATCCAACACAACTGATATTTATTGCTTGTAAGCACAGGTCATCGCAAATACAGTAAAATGCTAATTAGCACAGACCTAAAATGTGGATGGGGATGCGGGTGGCGCTGTGGGTTAAACCACAGAGCCTAGGACTTGCTGATCAGAAGGTCTGCAGTTCGAATCCCCGTGACGGGGTGAGCTCCCATTGCTCGGTCCCTGCTCCTGCCAACCTAGCAATTTGAAAGTACGTCAAAGTGCAAGTAGATAAATAGGTACCACTCCGGCGGGAAGGTAAACGCTGTTTCCGTGCGCTGCTCTGGTTTGCCAGAAGTGGCTTAGTCATGCTGGCCACATGACCCGGAAGCTGTACGCTGGCTCCCTCGCCCAATAAAGCAAGATGAGCGCCGCAACCCCAGAGTTGGCCACGACTGGACCTAATGGTCAGGGGTCCCTTTACCTTTACCTTTAAAATGTGGATAAATTATACTCCATTTAAAATGCAACCAAATTTAAAGTACATCTTAAAACGTCCTGGGGTTAGTCTTAGTTCTGGCTTTTTCAAATCAAGAAGTCCCCTTTACAAACCCTTGACATTTGGATCAAGTGTCTCACTTGGATTTTCTTTGCCACAGTTTCAAATAGTGTAATGTAATTTTATGGAATCTGTGTCTTTTGCCGCATCCTAGTATCCAGTGAAATGAATCCAGAGTTATAAATGCTCTTAATTAAATAACCACACTTCTTTTTTAAAAAACAGTTGTATATCTACACAGCGTGACTTAACATATTGTTATCACTCGTGTCTACTATGCTGATGGACAGGGGACCACATAGGTTAAACTTTGGGTTCTGTGCAAAGAAATGATGCTGGGTACTGAAAGGAAAGGTAAACCAGCTATATCACCCTGTCAGGTAAATGTCTCAAATACATCCCCCACCATAGCTAAAGCCCTATGCAGTCATGCCCTAAGCATCTTGACACAATACATCAGCGCCCCCCCCCCAATACTATGGCACCACAAAACAGACACTTCCAACTTAGGCAGCTTTCACAAGTCATGCCAAGAAAGTATTTGAATCTATAATTCATCACACATGTATGTTCCTGTTAATGCCAGGGAGAATGTTGAAGGAAACCACTTTTAAATGGAACATATATTTCAGACAATATAGAATTTGTACATAAATTCCCACGAGTGTAGGAAATGCTAATAAATCAATATTAATTAAGCACCCCTTGTTAAAAACTTGTTATTTTAAAATGTTAATCTAGAAACTTTCAAGCAAGCATTGAACTGATTTAGGCTTCAAATCCAGAATCTATTTTCAAAGCTTTTGATGCACAGAAAGAGACTTTTTTCCTCTGTCCATACGCAGAGTGCTTTCGCCCTGTCACTGAATAATCACAGGTGCCACAGTAGGCAAGCAAGAAGCATCATCAAAATTCCAGGATGCATTCCAACCAAGCAAAAGCACTTAGGGTGTGAAGCCGGACCACTATGGGGTGTGTGGCCTGAAGAGAGTTCCAGGGGCCAGATAGGGGGACCTTGGGGTCACTTGGGGGCCATGGGTGTGAGGCTCCCCATCCTTGGCATAAACAGTCCATAACATACCACTCAATGAGACAGGGTGATTGAGAAGAGGCAGGAGCAGCTGCTGCATTTCCATATAATTGCTCAGACTGTTCTTCTCTTGACAGGAAGGATCAGGCAAAGGATGGCTACCCCAGTGCCTCTCACTGCTTGCACATCCTTGCTCCCTAGGCTGTGCAATGGAATGACTGGGCCCCAAAGAAGCCCCCGGATGAATGAGTGAGCGAGCAAATAGAGGAAATGGCCACTGCTTCTAAGAAGACAAAGCCCAATCTGCTCACTCTCTTACTTGCTCTCTACAGGTGGTGAAGCACAGCTGAAGGTCAGGGAAGGAGCCGCCACCTGCCACTTGACCACCTGCGCTCTCCCTGTAGGCGGCACTGTAATGTGGACTGGGATGACAAAGAGGGTGGGTTAGTAGACAGAGGTGGCTGCTTGCGGTTCATGTCCAATCTGCATGGTGCCAAGAGAGGAGAGCTTATGTTTTCCTTGAAGTTCCATTGTACGTAACAGGACTTGCACACCATTCTCCTGAAACCAAAGCGGCTCACGTTTTCAGTGTTCCCAAATGCTTAGCTTTGGAGCATACAGAACAGCAATTCCTCTGTGTCCCTTCCTGAACGCTTTCACCAGAGTGACCCTAGGACCCGATCCTCAGCAGCTGACTCACCTCTTTTCACTCTGTCTCCAATCAGCACAGAAGGTGAGAAGATTTCTTCTCAGTAGCTACAAAGCTCTCATTTCTTGCTGACCAGGCAGCTCTTAGTTGTTGGAGGCAGGGGCCCCACTAAAGAAGTAATAGTCACAAGGTCTTTGACTCTCCCCCTGTAAACCTAGACCAGGACACCTGTGGTTACTTGGCCCTGAGACTTGCAGCCCAAACTCCTATACTAGGAAACGAAGCCCCACTAACAGTGCCAATTCTGAAGACGATGACTATGCCTTTAAAACACATTTGAAGAAAACACACACACACACACACACACACACACACACAGAGTTTATTAAGGAGTCCTGGGCACTGTAACTCCATGACGGGTAGACTACACTGCCCAGAAATCTTTGAGTGAAAGAATAATAGCATCGTAGAATTGTAGAGTTGGAAGGGACCCCAAGGGTCATCCAGTCCAACCCCCTGCAATGCAGGAATCTCAACGAAAGCATCCATGAATGTGCTTCGAAGGTGCTTTAAGGGTACCGTGTGCCTGAACGCAGCCACGACTCTACAACAAAAACAGTATATTTGCCAAGACACGGGCATCATGACTTCAATGCCCTCTCACACTCACACACCAGCCTAGCGGACTCAAAAGTTTGCTCAGCTCTCATGGCCAGAACCATGGCGTTTGGGAAGACACCCCAACCCAACCCAGCCCCAAAGTGCCAGTTTAACTCTTAGCCACAGGATGCTAACGCAACCTACCTCCTCCTCTAACAAGCTGCTTATTTGGAGGGTCTCTCTGACAAAAATCACCTTTCTGGCGGAAGAGGACTAGTAAAGGGAGAGGACATCCCCTGCCCCGCTGGTGGTAGACCCGGGGGCTGCTGCGCGGACCAGAATGGCATCTTCCAGCTGCGCCCTGGCGCGGTTGCCTCTGCCCCAGCGGAGAAGGGGGCTGCAGCCAGACGCCCATCAGCGAGAAGAGAGAAAAAGAAGCGCGCGAGCGCAGCTTGGCAGATGCTTAAAAAAAAAAAAAGGCGCCTCCCGCTGGGCGCCGGCACTATGCCGCTGCTGCTCCTGCTTCTGCCGCCGCGAGAGAACTGCTGAGGCAGCACCTACCATCCTTTGCTTCTTGGTGTCGGACATGTCGCCGGCTTCGCGGCTCCTTCGGCTCCTGGCAGCAGTGACGGGGTGGGGTGGCGGGCAGGAAGGCAAGCGGCTGGCTCCCGCGGGCTGCTGAGAAGCTGCGAGGGGAAGGGAGTAGGTATAAAAGCGGCCGAGGAGACACGTAGCACTTCCCCGGACCGCCTTTCCAGCCCACGGCTCACACCCCGCGCCCTCCTCTGGCTCCTCCTCTCGCTGCTTGCTCTGCTCCCGGCTGCCACAGGCGGGAAGAGTGCGGGGTTTTTTTCCCTTCCCTGTGAGGGGAAAGGGCTCCGCGAGAGTATACTCACAGGAAAACTTTTCTCCTCTCGTGCCTGCGTCCTTCCCGCCCCCCGCGCCAGTGAGGACCCGCGCTTTTTTATTGTTTTAAATCGCATCAGACGGCGCTCGCTTAACAAAAATGTGTGTTCTTTCTCCGATAGGGGACACCGTCTCACCCACGCGTTTCCCTGGCTATAGGTTTGCAGGCTGGTGCTGGACGGAGGCGAGGTCCAACCCTCGCCAAGAATCTCCCCTTTGTGCAACGAAAAAAACAACAACAACCCCGGGCTTTCCCTCGTCTTAAACGCTGGTTTAGGGAAGCCTGAGAGCAAAAAAGCAAAGTACTGTATGTGAAACGACACTCTGGGCATGATAGGCGATTCTGGGCTGGGAAAGTGGCTGCCTATTTTGTTTTTATATATAAACCCTGCTTCCCAGCCCAAAGCAGCTTGCAGTGACAGAGCCACGCAGGCAAGTAAAGGCGCGATATATTAGGGATACTTGGAGGTGTTTATAGCACTTCCTTCTGGTCCTCGGCAGTTGTTATCATAGCCTATCACAGCCAGCCACATCCGCAGCACACCTTTAAAGCACTCTGATGACACTTGCAACAGTCATGGAGTATCACCGGTTTGTCAAAGGCTGCTGACCTTAGAGAACTACAGTTCCCAGCACCCACGGAAAGAACATTTCCCAGGATTCTCTATGGCTGCTAAAGTGGCATAAGAGTGCTTCACATGTGTTCTAGAAAAAAGAAGCATGGAGGGTGTTCTAGAAGGAAGAAGGGTGGAGACATGGGTCGATGGATCATAGTAAGAATAACAACCCAACGCTGTGTTTCAACCCTACAGGCAGGGCGTGAGATGGCAGTGCTACCAGCACATTTAAAACACACACACAGCTTTCAGGCACAAAAGCAACACCGTGGCAGCTTCAGGCAGTAGTGCCATGAAAAGTCCTCTCCTCCATAAAGGTAAAGGTGACCCCTGACCATTAGGTCCAGTCGTGACCAACTCTGGGGTTGCGGTGCTCATCTCGCTTTACTGGCCGAGGGAGCCAGCGTACAGCTTCCAGGTCATGTGGCCAGCATGACTAAGCCGCTTCTGGCAAAGCAGAGCAGCGCACGGAAACGGCATTTACCTTCCTGCCGCAGTGGTACCTATTTATCTACTTGCACTTTGATGTGCTTTTGAACTGCTAGGTTGGCAGGAGCAGGGACCGAGCAACAGGAGCTCACCCCATCACGGGGATTCGAACCGCCAACCTTATGATCGGCAAGTCCTAGGCTCTGTGGTTTAACCCACAGCGCCACCCGCATCCCTCTCCTCTCCTCTATACACTTACCTTAATTCTTCTGTCCTTCCTCGCCTCCGCTTCAAGACAACTGCATCCCTGTATTTTCTTTCACTCCAGCTGCAAAGAAGCAGCAGTGCTAGGAGAAGCTCACACACTTGAGACAATTTCCACAGGGGCTGTTCTTGTTAGCCTGTTGCTACATAAACAACAGGAAGCTTAAAGACGGGCAAATTTTATTATGGCATAAGATTTTGTGGACTGGAGCCCACATCATCTGACAAGTCCACTATATATAATACAGTATAGAAAGGGCAGGGATTCGTTGTTGTTTTTCAGGAATCCCTAGTATCAGAGCAGAAAGCCAACAGTGCAAGATACACAGCCTGCCTTGGCCCTAAATTGTTAAGTGTTGCCTTGGGGAGACTGGGAATGTGACACTGAAAAAACTGAGTAGCTGTGTGAGCCATGGAGGTCCAGATGTGTGAGAACTTCAAATGCTATAATAATAATTTATAACAATTTATTATTTATACCCTGTCCATCTGGCTGGGTTTCCCCATGTTGGCCCCAAAGAGCTGCTGCAGATGCATTTAGGAGCTCATTCTTCATTTACTGCAGTGAGAAAGGCAATATAATTGGAAAATAAATTGATGACACCTGTTCTTTCTTCTTGTCGTGTGTAAATAGTCAGGGCCGGCCCAAGACATTTTGGCACCTGAAGCAAACCGCAAAAGGGTGCTCCTTTCCCTGTTAGGGAAGAATGGGAGAGTAAAGGTCTACATTGGAAACAGGGGGCGGAGAGAGAAAGCTCTACATCAGGATCATCTGCCCCTGTGGATCCTGCCGCCTGAGGCAGTCATCTCACCTGGCCTCCTTGGTGGGCCAGCCCTGTAAATAGCATTATAGTGGGAAGGTAAAACCGGCACACATCTTGTGGTTCATTGCACTAAAATAAACCCTTTGTACAGAACAAGCAATTGCTCTGTCACACATTTTAAGTGATATAGAAGGAGAACATGCTATACTCTATAAGCAGCTGATTACATAGATAAGAAAATGTAAAACCCAGCCATAAAACGTGAATAGCTAATCCACAGATAGGTACTTATGGTGTGATAAAATTTCCATTATGTCACACACACGAGTTTGAACCAACAACATACTGAGAGTCTCTGTACTCATTTGGAATATAATCCATTGAGATTTGTTTGTTTGTTTGTTTGTTTGTTTGTTTATGGCTACAAGAGTTAAAACTGGGCTGGAAGATCCAGCAAAAACTTTAAGCATCACAAAGGAAATTGAAGTAAAGTGTTAGAAAACTATAACTGATGTAACTCCAGGTAGGTACAGATAAGCAGAGAGCCTTTTTTCAAAAGCAGCACTCTTCTCACTCCCTTCCTCATTGAACTGGAATCTGTACACAATATTTCCTGGATATCATTTTAAACTGTTGGTCACTTTTGCTAACAAATATCTAAATAGAGTGAATATGTTGGCCTGAGATATTTCTTCTTGAACAAATAAAAACTGCCCCTCTGGCAACACAACACAGCTCCCTTCTTGTAATAATGAGGATTAGTACAGATTAGTATAAATTTACTACATTTATTATTCTATGCTTCTGTTGTTTCAGAAGATTTACTTACACACTGTGAATTCTCTCAGGGTTGCTTTTTGTCCTACAGCTGGTGAAAAATAATATCTCATGAACACATATTCTCATACTTGTGACAATGAGCTTCCCTAAGACCAGAAACAATATTCAAGCTTATTCAGGTATTAGTAAAATTAAGATGGCTGACTGGGAAACGTGGGAGTGTGTGTTACTTCCCTGCACACACATCCCATGTCTTCTAGCAGTTCATAAGTTGTTAAAAAATAAAAATAAAGTGTCCACTGGTAAGAGCAAGGGAAGGGGCTTGGCCTTTTGCTTTTTTTGTTTCCATACAGTGGCCCAATGTAGTTGCTGACTGTTATTCCTAAATATGGTTTGTTCTCTTAGAACAATAAATTGCAAAACCTGAAAAATGCATACTGAACACTCATAGGTAATAGAGTGAAACTGGTTTACAAACAACGGTCCAGTTTGCATGTGAAGCCGAGCTAAACTATGGTTAAGCAAGAACACATGAGTGTGCAAGTACAGGTCGTGACCATTTTGCGGGCATTCAATTGACACATGGGTCATTTTGTACCCAGAAGAGGGCAGAACAGGGGTGAAACAGCAGCGAATAAATACCAGTTATCACCAGGGAACATAACGCAACAAAAACAAACTCACACCTCAAACAAGTCAAAGGTCTGCATGAAGAGGAAAACCCAAATTGATGTTTGTTCCGACTGAGTGCTTTCCCCAGGATTGGGGGGAAGCAGTAGGTCAAGAGGAAGTGTGGATAAACCCACAGTGAGTGCACAGTAAATGGGAGTGTGAACACAGTCTCCACAAAATGAAACCAGAGATCCATCTCACTGTCTGGAGCGGGAGTTTCCAGGTTTTTATTGGAAGCGATTCAGCCTCCCCAAGGATGGAAGTGAGTGCTACCCATGGAAATCAGTGGAGAACACCAGCATCTTAGTAGTGGCTGGGCAGCAGCATGCCTACTGCTGTGCAAAAGTATCAGCAAAGATAGGATTTACTACTCTATTGTCATATTCCATGAGAAAAAAACATTTTGAAATAATCCTGCCAATGAAATGCCAGTGCAAATATAATATATTATTCCCATATTGCTGTTTTGGAGGTTGAGAGAGAGCAAGAGAGAGGTTCACAAAAGCCATGCAATGGAGCCAATATCAATACTGCAGGTTACAGGTCAAATGCTTGTGAAGTTTGTCCTTGCATAATAGGTTTTAGGAAAAATAACAGGAGCTTTTTAAAAAAACAAACAAATGTGTATTAAGTTAAGCATGTAAAATACACTCCTGATTTGATGAAGTGTTGAAATACCCTTGTGTTTGCCCAAAGGAAACAGAGTACTGTACTCATCTTTAAAGAGGTTTGTTTCCTACCCCCCAGTCTGATGCTGAACATCCATAGTAACTCACGGGATTTTAACTTTTGCTGGGCTGGTTGCTCACACATGCTAGATTCGTTGCTTGCCCAGCCAGTAGGGACTGCCGCTAGAAAAGCGGGGATATTGCTTAAGAGGTTGCAAGGCTCCAGAATCCTGTGGATGGAAGGAATCAAGGAAAGCAGTCGAAGTACCTGAGGCTGTCTTTCATGGGAGAATACTGTAACTGGGGGGGAGCGACAGGCCTAACACACACACACATATCCCATTTGTTGCAGTGCTTCCCAGGTTGAACAGACTGGCAGGAAAAGTAGTAATGTTTGCTCTTGAAATAAGCTGGCTGGGGCAGGATGAATTTTACAGCCTGAGGGCCACATGTCAGAGGCAGGTACGGCCTGAAGCAAAAGTGGATGG